TTTTATACGCATATTTTTATGGATTGAAACTCTTTGGTTCCTTCGATTTCTGGGATCAGCGCTCTCGCTAAGCGGTACTTGTTGCGTGAGCGCCGACCTCACCATCCAGTCTTGAATTCCAGGTCAACGGCAGAATTAAGCAGCGAAAGCTTGACGTGCCGCAATGCTTGGCACGGTTCGTCCTGCCCTCTAACGTCCTCTGACCGTTACCGTGGCCGCTGCCACTAGCCGCAGGCCATCCTCGTCAGAGCAAATAGCGAACAACTTAAGTGGTTGAAACCCACCTCACCACGAGTAGATGAATCGGAAACCAGGCACTCCAAGCAACTGAGCTATAAGTGAGCGCTGGTATGTGGTTTTAATGACTTTGTTCGGTTTTGACATTGCAATGGTCTTTTACTTTCTTATGCTGCTAATAAAAACCGTCTAGGGTTATCATACGCAATGCTGTCAATTATAACAGAGCAGAGCTGTCTGCTGAGCTCGGCAAGTAACAGCTGCATGCATTGTTTTCGCCACGCATTATTTTCGGTGGATTAATTTGTAACCAGCCAAAAATTGGTATTTGGTTATAAAATTGTGAAACTCTGGCGTAAAACGCCTACATCAGCCGTTAAGTTCCACGAACAAGGGTTGCAAAAGAAAGCCTTGTTGCTACATTGGGGTAAGCAATTCTGGGAAGATATATAAAGAAAAACGAGCGACATTATAACGGTTCTGAGCCGTGGTAAGTGTGGCATTTGTTGTATTTATTTTTGGGTTCTGTCCGGCTGGGTTGCATATTCGTGCTGTAAATTCCCTATCACAACAGCTTGCAAGAAATACCTTATCCATGTGGGGGGAAATGGAGCGACAGCCAGAACAGTAAGATATTAAGATTAGTTTAGTTGGGTCATGCATCTTCACATCGGTGTACGTAGGGTTCTGGCAACTGTGCGCTGTTCCGGCGAGAGTTGAGGGCGTGCCAACATCACCCAGCGTATAATCCCTTCCCTCCAAAATTTTTGATGTACGCAGTGGACACTAACAGGCGGAGCTGCTCGACTCAGTAGTGAGAAAAACGTGGTGTGCTAGGTTCTGAACCGATTAAGTAAATTCATACTTAGTTGATACAAAGTGCATTGATTGGATATGTCAGGTGTTTTTAGCCACCCCGATGTGTTTGTACACGCAGTGTAATTTGAGGGCAGGAACAACGGCACACCGCGAGCATTGCTCCCCATTCGTGCGGTCGAATGGAAGAATGCCGGGCCCACAATTCAAAGGTGCTGGGCGTTAACCCCGCAATAGGCGCACTGTTCTCTCCGACTGTATTACATATGTATATATATATATATATATATATATATATATATATATATATATATACATATGTATATATATATACATATATATCCCTTCTGAATCTATTCTAATATATACGTATATGTATATATATATATATATATATATATATAATAAAGGGAACGGCATTTGCACAACGGCATGATGGCAGCGGCACCATCAAAAACCTTAAAAAAACACTTTATCCGTAACATCTTATGCCGTAAATCTATGAATTCAAGTTAAAAATCGACGAGAAGGCATTGCAAACTTAAGTGCCCAAAACTGAGACAGTGGTAGACGGGAACATGCTTCGGTCGCAGATATTTTACAGAATCGTAAAACTAGAGATCCTTTATTAAAAAAAACAACAAAGACAGAGATGTTGAAGGGCACCAAGGTAGTTCTTGCCCCAACGAAGATTACAGGCTTCGTTCCGCATCCTTCATTAGTGAAGCAACAATATCTCAGTCCCAACGCCTCGAAATGCACCTCACGGAAGGGGCACCAAGAGATCACACGCAGTACGACCGCAGTACTCGTCCCACGCGCCAAATGCTCACACACAAAACACTGAAATTTCAGCACCCGCAAACGACAAAAGAAAGCCCAACATTCTAGATCTCACTCATTCATGACCACACGCCAGTCCTACGTAGACAAATTCATCAGACTTTTGATTTATCTCCTTGGAGCAGCGTCCCAATAAATCACACAGACCAGAAACATGACGCCGATAAACCACGAGGGCATTGAGCCATCGGCATGCGGTATTGTGAGTTGTTATGTTGGTTGTGTAGATCACAGTGAGGGATGTTAATGGTGCCTTCTGCACGGCTGGTGAATGGTCTGTTTTTGCCCGGCCAAAACGGCAATGAGGGCTATTCCATGAGACGTTCATGGTAGTCTGACTGCTCATGTTTTCTGTCCTGATTTGAAACGTGTCAGTTGCCAACACGAGATGAAAAGCTCAAGCTGGCTGCGAAAGCTCAAGGCTATATAAATAGCACCTAACTATTGAGCATTGGGCAGCTTTACACCAATGAGTATTGCTTTCCAGCATTGATAGAGCATATGTCAGAAACGTTGGGCACGGATGGTGTCATAAGATGACACATGTATTTAGGTGAGCTACCTTTTAATCTAATCGACAATATTAAAGCAACGCTTGAAAGATCAAAAATATTAACCGGAAGCTATCCAGAGCACAAGATATCATTCTTCTCAAAGGTCTAATATATATATATATATATATATATATATATATATATATATGAAACGAATGCTGGCAGTCGACCAAACGGGGCCAGCTTGGTGCGCTCTGTCGTGCTGGGGTTTTGACTGACTAACGGAGGAAAGTGTGCAGACAGCTGAACAAACTGGGTCAACCTGATACGTGCGGCCTTTTTGGAATATACTATACAGCACATACAGCTCTCCGCAGTCCTGTCCGGCAGCAAGAGCGCAGGAAAACTATTTGATAGGCCGGATCGACTTGCCAAAGGTAGTAGGCACCAACAAACGCGCGACAAGCTCTGCATAGCAAGTGCAATGAGCAGGAAACCATCCATGCATAGTATCAAATACCACACATATATTTTGTAATCTGGGAGGGTGGACCAGCGGGGGGGGGGGAGGAGGCGCGGGCCGTCCTACGGGTCATGGGCAGCCAGCGCCCTCTGGCAAGTTCACTACAGAATCATCCAATCACAGCGTGCTACGCCGTAGTCTGGTGGGCTGGCAGCACTTTTTCTCGGTGCACTTAAGCGTCGGTTCTCCAAAAGTGATGTTGTTTTTGTAATCGGTATTAACAAAGTCTGGAAATCAATTTAAAAAAGCTCCGAGATGACCATCTTATGCACAAAAGCCTCCCCCAAAAACAGGAGCATTCCTTCATTCATGCTGTTACTCTTGCAACACAAAGTTGTAACCGAAATCAATGATGTCGGTATCAACAAGGAAGTACTGAAGTACCTACGTTGTGATTCCAGAACAGACACGATTTTTACATTTCCTACAATCGAATAAAGATAAACTGGGTCTGGTCATGGTCATGACCACAATGCTTGGCGAATTGTTCAAAACCGTACCATCAGGGTTGCCTAGAAAACACAAAAGCAGGCTATAATCATAGCCAACTGGCTAGTTCAATCACAATTGATGTGTTCTGTGTGTCAGTAAAACATTCAGAGGGCAAAACAGGCTTCCATATCGTCGTCCTCTCGCTCAGAAAGTGCGAGATCGGAAGGAATCCACAGGAAGCGTCGTCGAACGTCGCGATGGTTTTTGAAGTTAAAAGCGTTGTACGATCTAGCGAGGGTTGAGGATATCTTAAGTTAATTCCACTCTCACCAGCATCCATTTGCCATGGTAGGGCTGTCGTATCGCAAAATTAATTGGAGGAGGGCGTGCTGGACAGAAAATCTGCCTCAATATTCCTCCAATATGGCCCAAAACGGGCTTATTATCTCCGGACTCAGCCCACTATTTCTCTAAATTGGGGGGGGGGGGGGACAGCTGAAATCCCGAACAAACAGGAAGCAACGCTCCTGCACTCTGCTCCTCTGACTGAAGATGGTATCCGCATCTGTACAGCGGCTTGCTAGAGCTTTGAAGAGTCGCGACATCACTTGAGGCATCACTGAAGCAAAAATTACCTCAACTGTTTTGCACAGGTTGAGATAAACCCTGTCAGAAAAACCTAGTCACGGAATCAAAGAAGTTCTCCAACCCAGACATGGATATCTAACCCGTGTACAAAGCTAGTGAGGGTAGACATCACTGTTGTCCCCACTGGTGAGTAGGTATCGCATCGGGCTGTCACTTTCGATGACTTGGCGCGTCGGAGCCGGTGTGTGGTGCTGACCTGCTGCACTGCGCCTCCTGCCCTCCGTCTGCAGGGAATTCCAGTTCCACTGCGGCTTATCTGACCTTTCCGGCTTTGAAAACAGAATAGCATTACGTAGCAGCTGGTTTTTATTGAGGCAGGCCGCAGACAGGTCCGACAGGCAGCATGCAGGTGGCATTCAACAATGGCAACCAGCTTTAGGTGATGGGCTGTTACGATATCGAAGGCCCATTTTATAAACTGTCATATTCGGACTTGATGACATGAATACGCACGCCAGCATAATGCTCCCAGAGTGGAGAATGAATGTAAAGGAGTTCTAAAATGCTGAGAGCTTAACGTCATGACGCACGCGTGAGACCGATCACGGAATAATACACTCAGCTCAGGCCACATCTTAATGTTCATAACGTTGAATACGCCAGGATTGTGATTGTTATCGCCTATGTGCAGGACTAAGTAACCACCAGAAATGAATCTGACGCACATCACCACTTCTGCCAAGTCAAAGCACATTTTCAACGAAGACGGACGGAAGCGCGCTTACATGCCAACGTGATCTCCACTGGCACTGCGCATGAACACGTTCAACTAAGAACGTGACGAAGACTGAGCCCGTGTGTCGGTGGACTCATCACCAGCCCATCACCTCACCTTCATCCACCGCCCGCGCACTGTCACCACGCTCGCCACACCCGCCTGCTCTGCGCCGTTCAGCGCCGCGGCCGCGTCGCATCTGCCGCCGCGCCGAGCCTCCGCCGGCCGGCGCGATTGTAGGTTAGCGGCGCCACCGCCGCGGCCGGCGCGCGGTGAATAGGGCCAGCCGCGCCTCTTATAAAACGGCCCGCGCCGACCGAAGAGGCAGAGTGCCGCACAAGCAGCCCTACGATACACATCCAGTAGCCTAGGCCACCCAGGTACGTGGCTGCCGGTGTGTGAGCGTGTCTGTGAGAGCGAGGAGCCGCGATCCGAGACGGAGTCGGAGTCGGAGTCGGTCCAGTGCGCGGACGTGGGACGGCGCGGCCTGCAGTGACTCGGACCAAAGCCGCACCGTCTACCACCGCGTCTGGTGTGCGCCGTGTTGACCAGTGACGCCTCAGCCAAGCTGCCTTCCCTTCCCCTCTTCATTCGCCCGGTCAAACCCCTGGTTGTGCAGATGCCTCGAAAACTGTACATTTATCGGTAGACGTTATTATTCAGACTCGCTCCGAACTATTGCTTCCTCATCTCCCCAATTTTGGTTAATTGGCTGTTGAAGCGCTCAAAGCTTATCAAATTTAATGATTTGCCATGACCTCTACGAATCGTTTGCTTGTCCGTGCAGAGTCCGAAAGAATAGAGCCTTTAGTCTTATACGCCTAAGCGACACATGCATCGAATTTCAAACGTCCAGACATTAGCATATGGGTTCCAAAAATGCTCAGGCATCTTTGCGAACGGACTCAAAGCCAAGGATACTAAATTTACAAACTCATGATGCTAGTTCCGTGGCCTTTCAGTCATAACCGGCTTTCGCAGTTGCATCATCGGTATAGCCGGACACCGGTTGAACTTGACAGTGGTTGTTACCGGTCTGAGCCTGCTGTCACTACGTGTGGCTAGTTCTTATGCCGCGACCGCTTCTCAGCACGTGCGCCCCTTCCCCCCCGCGGCAGAGGTCGTTGCGTCGCTTCGGTCCAGGACGTAACTGGCGCGGTGGTATGCGCCGCGACTCCGACCGAGCAGGCGTGGTCAGATCACTGCTGGCTCCTACCGGGCACGGTGGGACCGGGACCCCTCCAAGGGACACCGGGACCGGGACCACTCCGAGTGGGACTGGACTGGGAACACTCAGAGCGAGACCAGGATCGGGACCACTCCGAGTGAGACCAGGACTGGAACCACTCAGAGCGAGACCAGGATCGGGACCACTCCCAGTGGGACCAGGACCGGGACCGCTTCGAGTGGGACCCAGACCGGGACCAGTACCACTCCGAGCGAGACTGGGACCGGATTCCCTAGGAATGTGCCTGGGATCAGTGGAGGTTTGGGTGCTGTCCTATGAGTCTGGTGTGTGACCTGTCATATAGGAACCTTCGGCTGAATCGTAAATTGTCGTCTTTCGTGTCAAGAGTATCCTGGTCATTGTTTTTTTTTTCTGAAATCATCATTGTAGAACATGAACTGATCCGGTAATTCATAGAAAATATCACGTCACCCATGTTAAACATTGGATGTTTACTTCGGATTATTACGAGACAGTCCTTGCCACTTGAGCTGAAGTAAAAACATTTCCTTTGTTGCCGTGGATCTATTTCTAGCGTGCCGTTTTCTATGCGTGTGATGTGACCGTGCACTGCTGTACAAAGCTGTACATACACCATCACCCGGCCGGCGCGATGGCGGCTCATTTGACGGCGAGGCCCCCGGACCCGCCCGTCCCGCCCGGCTGCGTCCCTTCAGGCCAGGCGGAGTGTGCCAGTGCACTTTCGCGCTGGCGTACGGGCCCCGCCACCACCGGCCGCTCGCCTCCGCCCGGCCGCCGTGTCCTCACGACACACTGACCGGGCGGGGGCAAGGAGTCAGTGGGTGGCGGCCGCGGCCGTGGGCGAAGGTTGCGGCGGGTTCGGTGACCGGTGCGGCGCAGTCCCGTTACCGGCCGCCAGCCCACTGGCCCGGTAACGGGCTGACCCCAGCCCAATGAGCCGCCGCCGCGCCGCCTCTAACATCGGCTCGTGCGTGCGCGTGGCGCACAGACCTGCACATAGCGCCTCAACCGTATCTTGTGCACTTGCAGGACCGTTCAGAATGAACCGTACTCTGTGCGCGCTCGTGGTGTTGCTCGTTGCGGCCACCGCACACGCCAACGAGCTTAGCAATGTTTACGACGAGGCTGAGCCCGATCCCCGCTTCTTCTTTATCAACTCCAACTCCACCTCGCTGTCCGTATCCTTCACCTCGCTGATCTACGGCCTGTTCGCCCTGCTGGCCCTGGGCCTGCTGGCCGCCCTGCTGGCCTTCTTCCTGTTCGGCTCGGGCGGGGGCGCCGACACCGGCTACTCGGGCTCCTCGTACAGCTCCTACGGCTCGGCCAGGGCTGCCGCGTACGTATACACCCAGCCGCCGACCGGCGGCGTAACAGGGAGGTGGCGGGGACATGGACCGGGCGGCGGGCGGCACCGCACGCTGCTGCCCGCCCCCCTACGCCTACAGACTAAACAACACCATATCGACAGGTAAGGCGGCGAGCGAACAGCGCCCCACACTCCAACAACAGGGTGATGGCAGGACGCCCTCATGGAGATGCCGGCACCGATGGAGGGTGCGAATTCGGCTCTCGCTACGACTTGGCATGCAGTCAGCCGGAGGGTGCATCGCAATTCTCCGCGACATTACATCGGTGTAGGATCACATCGACATCGACATCGACGATCACAGCATCACATCGACATCGACTCACAGGACCATCAGCGGAAGATTGCTTTGGTCTCACGGCTTCACTCGACCCACGGTCGACAACATTTCCGCATCAAACACTATCCCGCTCAGCCCTCGGGTTAGCTCCCTCGCCTTGCCGGGAGGCAGGGACGTGCAGCCAGCACGCGCCGCCGGCAGTGCCTGTCCGGCCTCGGCGGCGGCCTCGTCCAGCTCTGGCAGCCTTCCGTCGGCCAGCCAGCAGCCCACACAACTGCTCGCTGTTCACAGGAAGCTAAGCCATGTTGCAGCACATCCTCCTCGCAGCCCTGTGCGCCTCGGCGCTGGCCCAGGGGGCCGTTGAGCCCGCCGACCAAGACCTCGCGGCCGACCCGCGCATTTTTTTCAACAACAACAACACGAACCTGACTATCGGTCTGAACTCGTTGATCGCGGGCGCGCTGGCGGTTCTGGCCGGGCTGGCCCTGCTCGCCGGCCTCGCCTACCTCGCTTACCTGTTGTTGGGCAACTCGGGGACCGGGTACAGCGACTATAGCGGGTATGCCGACTCCGGCACCAGCGGCTACAGTGCCCGCTCCTCTGACGCGTACGTACCGGCCTGACCTCTCCCGCATGTGTGCCGCTGTTGCAGATAACAGCATGTACGCTCATTTGTGGCTGTGTGCGCTTGTGGCTGCCGCCGCGGCGCAGGGTGCTACCACGCAGAGCCCGACAGGCGTCGAGCCCCGCTTTTTCTTCCTGGGCAACACGACGGGTGTGACGATTAGTCTGACGTCGCTGTACGCTTCCATCCTGGCTGGCGTGGCTGGTCTGCTGCTGCTCGCCGGCCTGGCCTACCTGGTCTTCCTCTTGAGCGGGGACACCGGGGAGACGGGCTACTCCGGCGGCGGCAGCGGCCACTCGGGCTACTCAGCCCGCTCCGCGTACGTACACGGCTGCCGCGGAGGGTGCCCCAGCCAGCGCAGTCAGCCGCCCGCCCGCCCGCAGCCCCGGGACCGGGAGGGAGGGAGGGAGAGGCGCAGCAGCAGGAGAGAGGTAAGTCGTGGCCGATCTGCATCAGCTCGGAGGCGCCTCCTGAGACCCGCTCCACCCCGCATGCCTCGGGCCGCCAGCCTGGCGTTCTCTAACATTCATCGTGTCTCACTAACAGCTGTGACGTGGCGTGCGCGTGGCGACCGACCTGCCCGAGCGCGTGACTGACCTCCAGCCGTCACATACTAACATGCTCCCGATCTCCACTCCTTACAGACTAACAACACACCATGAGGAGAGTGAATGCGCTAACCGCCGCCCTCAGCGGCCTTGCCCACACAGCGGCCGACCTCTCCGCGCCGGCCGCTGTCCTCTCGACCTCGACTGGCCGCCAGTCGACGTCAGTCCTCACTAACGTCTCCATTGACGTCCTGTCTCTGGGCTTCGCTCTGACCGGCTTGGCGACCCTGCTGCTCTTCATACCGCCCCTCATCTCCTTCCTCTCCGAGCTGTTCCGACGGATAAAAGGCGGCGGCGGCGGTGCCGGGTACGATAAGCTTGACACGTCGGGGTACTCGTATGACTACGACGACTCGGGCTACCGACAGCGCAGGTGAGTGCTCTCGCTGGTGCGGGGCGCGCTTGGCTCCCGCTGCCGTGCGGCATGTTCGGATATGTGTCGTGTGTGCTGAGGCTGACCTGAGGCTGACCTGAGGCTGACCTCCCTGTACATATCCCCTCCTTGGCGCCAGCCCGGCACCCGATTTTCACGCAGTCTTCATTTCCAGGCGTCATGTCCCAGTCGTTGACCCTCGTCCTCCTTTGCGCGGCGACCGCGAGCGCCTTCGAGGTCGCTGACCCTCTGCAGGAAGAGCTCGATCCCCGCTTCCTCTTCTTCAACTCCACCGGCGCGCTGATCCCCATCGATGCCACGGCCCTTTTGGCCGGGATCGGCTTCCTGGTGATCCTCACCCTACTCGGCATCGGCATCTGGCTGCTCGTCTCCTCCCTGGCGCCTAAACTGGCGGTCGGGGGTGGCGGCTATGGCGGCTACCACTCCGGCGGGTACGGCGCCGGACATAGCGGCGGCTCCTCCTACTCCGGATATCAGGCCAGGTACAGACCGAGCTGTACATACGCCCTCCATCTGTACATAGCGCGAGCGCGCGACAACCGCTAACGTCACGGCTGCGCACCCGTTGACGCACTGATGACGCGACCAAAAGCCCCGGCGCCGACGCGCTAATCGCCTCCTTCTTTTCGTAGCATGTACAGGCAGCTGCGCGCCGGACTCCTTGTACAGCTGCTGTGGGCAGCGTGCGCGGCGCGCGGCACGTGGTCGGCCGCCGAGCTCGGCAGCTCCGCGGTAGAGTCGGCCGTCGCCAGCCCCGTGTCGCGGGCCGACCTGTCCGCGCTCGGCCCGGCCGCCTCCGGGTCGTACGTGGCCGAGCTGCCGGCCGGCGCCGAGCAGACCGCCTTCCCTGACTACGCCGCCTACCCGCCCTACTCCGCCTTCCCGCCCTACCCGTACCCGTACCCCTACAGCGCCTACCCGGCGTCGGTCAGCGCCCCGTCGGCGTCCGACGGCGACACCTCTCGCCTGTTCGGCTCCATCGGCAGCGCGCTGAACCCCGCCAACCTGTTCTCCTGCCCCGGCGGCGACACGGGTTGCGTCGTGCAAAAGATCGCCGCCGGCGTCTTTATTCTGGCAGCCATCGGGCTGGCCGTGTACTTGGTATACGCGCTGGTAAACGGCCAGTTGGGCTCGTTCAATCTGGGCAGGTAAGCCTCAGCCTGCGTGTTGCTCGTGTCGACTGACTCAGCACGCCTGTCGAGGCCGTAGCACAGTTGTCACGGCTAACCAAACGTACGAGAAGAGCGCGCGCTGGCCGGCCAGGGGTGGGGAGGGAGGAGGGGACCGAGCGGAAAGCGCCACTAATCTAGAACCACGATGTACAGTGTACATAGCCGCTGCGTCGATACGGCCGCGTCCGCCTCGCGCCGCCTCAGGGCGTGACCCGCGTCCTCCGGCCAACCCTGTACAGCGCCACCGCCACCGGCGCGGTCCGCCTCACCTGGCCTGGTCCCGGCCGCGTCTGTACAGCCTGCCCCGCCCGTCTGCGACCAGGTCGCCTTCGGCACGGGCGACGCATATTCTAACACGCCTCTGATCTGCAGCCGGGACGGGCCCGTGCCAGCGGCAGGTAGAGTGTCCCGCTGACTGGGTGGAGGGGCGCATGGCCGCAAACTAGCAGCTGTGGTAGCGGCGCAGCCGGCGCCACGGCCGGGTACCGCTCTGTAGAATAGCGCTTTCAGTGTTGTGGCAGTAACACTGAGTAACTCGCTGCTTACTGGCTGCTTAATACTGCTTCGTGTGCGCTTTATTCTGTGTCGTTTTTTTTTGTTACTTGTCGGCATATTTTCTGCAAACTTACAGATTTTTTTGTTTGTTACATAGAGCATCGCTTTCAAGCCCAAGTTCTCCGATCCAACTTTTACACTTGTTTTCATAGTCAAATTAAGAAGACAAGCTTTTCCACTTGCACATCTGAATGTTGATTTCGAGCTTCACAGTAACGTACCTCGCTCAAGTACGACGGAGCGTGCCGTTCCTCCCAGCATTGTGACGCCACGCTGTGACCTCAGGTCTGCTGACCCGTACTCCGCCATCTGGGACAAGATGTCCGTGCTCGACTGGATCGCCATGATGGAGGAGGTGGGTTCCAGTTTTGGCGTGTCGCCCTTCGCACGCCTCCCGTTGTTCCCGCCCACTGTCAAGGTTACAATCGCTTCGTGCCGCGCCGCGCGTGCGTGACGTCCGCGCCGGAGCAGCAGGCCCGCCGGCGCCGTTTTTTGCCGCACTGAACCCGGCTCTGACGTGACGCCGCCGCACGCAGGTGTACCGGAAGTTCGACGCCACCAGCCTGGAGTGCCAGCAGCGCCTGGTGTGCGAGCTGCACCAGAACGAGAACTCCTGGGGCACCACCGCGCGCAAGATGAACGACGCCTTCAGGTGAGCCGTGCACCATGCTGCAAGGCATGCCGCTGAAAATCCTCCGCGCCTCGCGGCTCTTGCGTTCTTCGGGCGGCCCATTCCCTATTTTGCTAGCCTCAAAGAGTGGGGCGGGAAAATGCGTTCGATGTCTATCCGGCTCAGGTAGCGGCTAATTAGTCCGGAACGGGCTCACGGGTGCGGCTGGTTTACCGCCGGCGCCCGGCGGTCACGGGGCTGAACGAACGTAACGCTTTCGCGCCGGTGTGACCCGGCGCCGGTCCACTTCTGAGCCGGGGCCGGGTACGAGCCTCCATCTGGGTCAGGTGTCCAGCCGGCGCGTCACCCCGGCGCCCATCGGCGCCCCAGCTGGCCCGCTGCCGGCGACCGTTACACCGCCTCGCGAGCGACGGCGCCATCTGACGCCGGCCGACGGCGGAGCCATCTGCCGGCGGCGCGTGACACTGACCGGCACCTCCCGTCGGCAGCTACCTGCAGTACATGGAGCTGCTCAACCTGCCCTCTGAGCTGCGCATGCTGCTGGATGAGTACCTGGACGCCGCCAACAAGGGCCGGACAAGCGAGAAGAGCTGCGCCGACCACTTCGCCGGCTGCGAGTTCAGCATGAAGACCCTCATCAGCAAGTACAACGGCTCAAACGCTCTCTGAACGTCGGCTCCCCGGTCCGCTGCTTGTTAACGATCCCGTTGTTAACTTATTAATAGTTATTTATTGACGCGTGTGACGAATACGACGCCAGTGACAGAATGCCAAATGGACGAAGACAGTGTGTGCTTGTACTGACCGACTGAGACGCACGTGCACAGGCAGGACGGGTGACGCATGACATAGGGTAGTCCTCCATTCGAATCTTCATACCCATCCCGCGTGTTACGCGGTAGAGACACTAGTAGTTGCGCCACGCAGCATTCATGCATTCGTAACGAGTAGTGTCAGTAGCTACTGCGGTTAGTCGAACACATGACTACGGCCGTTGCGCGACTCAGAGACGTCGTGGGGGAGGGGGGATTCGGTGTGAGCAACCCTCGACTGGCGGCGCCGGGCCTCCGGACCCTCCCGCCACTCAACGCTAGACTGTGACTTGTTTGTTGACCAGTACTTGTTGATTCTTGCTCATGCCTCTGACAGGGATTGTTTGTTGTTACCCGCTGCCTCCCCAGACGTGACGCCTCGGATATTACTGTGTTATTTATTGCATCTGCTCGACCACAATTGACGTGATAAACCGCAATGCGACGGGAAGTATGGCAATAAAATTCCTCTTCATATATACGACGGACAATGCTTTTATTACTCTGATCGAGTATGACGCGCGAACGACTAGAAGAGCGCCGTCCGAACACCGGGGCAGAGCGCGCAGTCTTACGATAGTGATCGGTGCGAGAGGACGCGTTCGACACTGGCGAGGTTGCGCCACCCTGGCTCGACTGGAGAGAGTGTGGGGAGGGGAAGGGGGGAGGGTAGGCGTCATGGGAGCGGCGGCCGCCCACCGAGACCTTCTCCGTCATGGGCCTGGCGCTGATCGATCGGGCCAGCAGTTCCGGGTTTCTCCCCTTACCGCGTCAACTTTCGCCGCCGACTAGGGCGCGGTTTCCTCCCATCCGGGCTTGGCAGAAGAGCCTCGGAGCCTGGCTTGCCGCGGTCCCCCAGGTGCCCCCCCCCCCCCGGCGGCGGGTCTGCTGCGGTCTCTCGGGTCTCCCCGGCAGTGGCCTCCTGAGGAGGAAAACTGTCCACGACAGTCTGGGCCCTGGGGGTCCGTGCCTGTATCCAGGACGGATCTGGTGTGACGTGGTCTGGCCCGGATTGGTCCAGTGCCGGGCCCCGATGAGCCAGTGACGTCGGTCTCTGTGACGTACCTCACCATCGAGGCTTTTCTCCACGTCGGCAGCGGCCTGTGCGCTTCCCCGTAATTGCACCCAAGCTAGCCCAATTACATGACGCAACCCGAACTGGATCGCAGATCTCGGAGCTACGGGCGGGGTTCTGGCTCCTGCTCTTGGCGGCACCACGTGTTTCACTGAGGTTCACACGAGCGGGCGCGAGAGAACTTTCTAACCTATGCCAACCTGAGGCTTTTACCGTGGGCAAGTTTCGGTCCACATTATGATGCAGACAGTCGGTAGGCGTCACGCCGTTCCCCCCCCCCCCCCTCCCCCACCCGTCGGCGGTCCGCGAACCCGGCACCACCCACGCAGACGGTGGCCTGAGGTGTATGGTCAGAGTCGCAGCCAGGTGCGTCTTGCCAGAGCCAGCGGGCTCTCTGCGCCAATAGTCGGATGGCTGTGCTAAGTCGGAATATAAGTTCGGGCTCGCTGCATGCCGGTCTGGTCTGGAGCCGTCTACGCACAGTCTGACCAGTGCTGGGTGCAGCCATCGGTCTGTCTGTGCACAGCCAGGTGAGCGGATAGTTCGAACGCAGTCAGAAAGCTGCTTGGCTGTCGTTAGGGAAAGCCCACCTGAACACAGCCGGACCATCGAGGTGCAGTCGGCTATCCGGCTGGACACGGTGGAGGCTAGCTCGACATTGTATGCAGCCAGGGAGCCAACTGGAGCGCGGCTCATTACGAGCGGACGTGCCCGGATCGCCGTCAGCCGGCGCAGTCTCACGCCGCTGGCGGCGTCGGCTTTCTATTTTTGAGCCAGAGAAATGCTGACCCGAAAGCTGCCAGCCGCGGGGGCCCGGCTCCATTAGAAATTCCCGGCCGGCGACACGCTTCCACTGGTGGTCGGACGGCGGCGACCGCCGGCCGGCCGGGCCAGATGGCTGCTCCGGACCGAGACGGTGCTCCGGGGAGGCTGAGGAGCCCCGCTGGACACAGCCGCTGTCCGGGCGAGAGGCGAGGGATGACTCGGCACTCACGTCAGCGAGCTCCCTCCCCCCCCCCTCCCTTCCCCGCCCCAGACGCGGCTCAGCCGGATTTGTGAAGCGTTTGGACGTTCTCCCAGCCTGTTAGAGGATGATGCGGAGAAGAAGAAGAAGAAACTTTTGGAGATGCGGGTGAACTCAGGCCGTGCATTAAGCGCCCTTTACAAGTATTTGATTTCCCCCTCTATGTAAAGTTTTACACCCAACCTCTTATCACCGACACTCATTACCACCCAGCCCGTGGTTTCAAACACCACGGGAGGGGGGGGGGGGGGGACACTAGCTGACTCGAACCATTATCTAGTCCTCTACTCCGTCGTGACATACATGATCGGTAGCATTTACTTCCGCACGCACGTGTCTGGTGTGCTATCTGGCTCACATCAACTCCGCCGTCTTGAAGGACTCGTCGACCTGGCTGAACACTCCAAGTCCCCTGAACTACCATTATCACTCGGCCCATTCATTGGTTTCCCACCTTTAAAAGTCCCAGAACTCTGACTGCAATGATTCTCTTGCTGTTTCGATGCTCCGTTGACTGGTGGGTCTTTCCTGACGGTCTTGCAGGGTCTACCTTATCGGGTCTTGCGCTGATGGATCCTTGACTCAGGTGGTGTCTCACCGAACGCACCATGCTTGCGGCGCTCCATGGAAGGTCGGGGCTAAGTTCCCTGCTTAAAAATCCCCTTCGTTAAAGCCGTTCACACTTTATGCCGCGACATTCTGCAGAGCTTTGTCGTCGATATGGGTGTTATGAGAGGAAGATACGTGAAGTAGCATTGCGGCGCAGTATTCCTGGCACGACGTACACAATAAGCCGAAGTCATGATGGAGAAGTAATGTTGCCACAGTTCTAGGTTTGCTGGTGCAGAATATGCTTATCAAACTGCGATTTTCTGCGCGTCCCAGAAATCACAACGTTCGCGAGTTTTTTTGTGGGCCCCGATCCTTTTGGGAACCAGCCCAATTAATTCAGTCTCTCTAGGCGAAAGCCGGCCCAGCCCTGGCCGGGCCTGGTGCCGCGGTACCTCAAAGCAGTCAACTTCCTTCATCGGAACGACTAGAGCGGGATGCGCCATCTGTGATAGCCTCCCCAACTGCTCCGCGGCGCCAGCTGGGGCAACCGATCAGACCGCCACGCGCGGACCGCCACGCGCGAGCCGCCACGCTCGGGCCGCCACGCTCGGGCCGCCACGCGCGAGCCGCCACGCGCGGGCCGCCACGCGCGGGCCGGACCGGTCGGTTCACATGTCACGAATGGATTTAATGAATTAGGTTCATTGGATTGGATTGTTAGATTCGATGGATTTACGATTCGCGATGATCGACCGTTCTGAATGCCTAACCCAAGCTGCCTGACGCTGATTTTCGTAGCAGGAATCACTTCACGTTTTAAGTTCGTTTCGAATCACTTCGTTTTCAACGTCAGAATGAAAATAACACTATTCCCCAGTACCTGTATGACTTGTGCTAACTCACAATGCAATCCTGTCCAATCAGAGCAAATCAGAGGACGTCCAAGGAATTATAGCATAGTACTAATTGTGTAGCTTCAGGGACATTCAATGCCAGCATTTAATCAACTCCCGTTGATAGTTTACTCTCGGTATACAGTCGTCCTAAGCCGCTGTCCTTCTCCATCAACACTCGCATCAAGAGCAGCTATTGCGTTTGCAAACGTTGCTGCCTTGTGACGTAATTTCCAGATCTTTAATCTTCAATCTTTTGCACACCGGGTTGGATTTTTCATTAGCAGTGTACAGATTTTTCAAACGTGGGAGTGAGCGAGGGAAGTGAGTGAACGAAGGTGCTGGTGTTACAGGTGTTACAGCCATAGCTGCATGTACACTTACATTGGATCACAAAATGCAATCATTCGCGCATCGCTCACGTGTTGCGGATACACAAAGGCCTTTCACAATGAATGAATGTCGTGAGAAAGGCGAGGAACGGATACCAGTGAAAAGGAAGAGGAAGACATGCTGAATCAGAGTCTAAGTTGGGGTAAAGTTTGGGAAGGACAAGGGTGGGTAAGGATGGCGCGCTCTACTCCTAGCATCGCACCCGTCTCGCGGGTGTTCAACGGCGCTGAGTGCCGCATTAGGCGAATGGCGGAAATGATCCAGTAAATTCACCATTTTACTCCGGGAGTAACATTGTCTGCATATAAGCAAAGAGCTGTTCTTTGTGATGGCGGGAGAATGTTTCACATTTACAGATATTGAAGCAAGCATCAAATATGACGAAACAAGATCACTCACAACTATTGGTATACTTTTCAAGTGGAAAAGGATGCTTTAGACAGCACGATTCTCTGTTTAGTAAATATGCTTCTCAATACGTCATGGTTGAATTACATCATCGCACCTTGCACAAAATTGATTGAGAGCCAATTGGTGGGCGTTATATGTGGAAATCGCGCTCACGAACGCCAGATATGAATGCCACAACCATGACATATTTTGGCTTGATCCCCGCATGGCTTATGAAAGGGCAGGATTTGAATGACGTTATAATGACGTTACGAATGCCAAGGGGACTTTGAAATACTCTCCCGGTAAACCTTTTCCCGTTTTCGCGGCTGTGTAGCTCAGAAACTAGAGTGGCCTAGGTCTTAAGGAGGGAAGGATTTTGAACAGCATCGAAAGTTGCCCGAGATGACGATTTCAGTTCGAAACCCCATATAAATGTGGAACATTCGCTTCAACAGACTCTGCCTTGAGGCTCACTCGGCGTGCATCAAAAGGTGTTTTGTTGCTGGCCGACCTGCATAGCTGTCCTGGCAATTGGAAAGCTCGAGCAACTCAACGAAAGAACATCACAGAGTACAGATGCTGATCCTGATTCTAAAACATGCACAGGCCCATAGACATGAGTCACGTGACACCCCACGACTGTCGTCAGCCAGACGTCACCGGCACGGCTCGGGACAAAAGAGAGCCGGGAGCCACGACCCCCGGCTGCCCACACCACTACGAGACAGTTCCCTCCTCGGGTCCGCGACCCCTGGCTGCCCACACCACTGCGAGACGGCTGACCCATCCCCGGCTCAGCGCCCAAACCACTAGTTGCCATGGACCTCAGAGAGAACTCTCGCTTAGAATCTCTGGACCTCTAACACCACGAAATCGTGAGCCTTAACCCACCGGTCCGAATCTCCGCAGGCGAGCGTTCCGCGCTCGAGACAAAGGTACACAATCCCGTGTGTTTATTGAAAGCTTTAACGCCCAAGGCATGACGGGGATGGCATTTTGGCGAAAGCGTAAGCTTGCGCTGCTTTCCAGTTGTCGAGCAAATACACACGTGCCTAACGCAAATACCCCAGCCACTCGCCACCTCCATCTTAACGTGGCGTTTGTGGCATAATGAATCGTTGTGGACCTGTAACGTAACGGAACCGTGTACATGGTGGGGTAAAAACATGGTCTTTCATCTGGCTTATTTTTATTAAAGGCCAACTTTTGGGATCATCTCAACCCCTTCCTCAGCCTCGGTTCACTAATAACATAAACTCAAATTATAACACGCCCAGACATACACACACGCGCGCACACGCACACAAAACGACAGAGCAAAAGACCGGAATAATTTCCTCTAGAACATCATTGTGGAATGGTCTATGTGAGACAAACACGCAGAGGTTTAAAGATCCAGGAAGAAATTAGATTTAAAAGATTTGAGCGCATCGAAAGGCGCTCTAGACACGAAGCATTGCATCGCGTGCGAGGAGGAGGAAACCTCACATTATGAGGCAAACTGAACAAAAAAGGAACATTGGGGGGGCGTCTCCCTTTCTAGGACGGCCGCTAACAAGCTTTTCGATGCAAACTGGTGCGGCGATAGCGGGTGTAATTGCCATGTTGAGATCGTTAGGGCCAGAGCAGATCAAAACCGGGGTGGCCGGGTGCCCGGCGGTTAGGTGTCAACCTGGCCACGCTGGCAGGTTTGGGACTTGGCCGTATCATTACGAAACGGCCCGACGGTGGGAAGTGGCGAATTACGCGTTAACTTCAACGTTCATGCGTTACGTTTACTTTACCCCACTTCATGCGTATGTGCTTCATCTTTTTCTTTTTTCAATATGCAGTTCGTGCGTGAATGATACGGATGTGAAAGAGTGGTACAAGGCTCCACTTGTGTCACATAGATATTCACTTCAACAGTTATCAAACCGATGTCAGCAAAAGTGTAAAAAAGGAGAAATGTTGTTGCGTCATGTGCGCACCATAGATGTTCTGACGAGGGTTGTATTTCTCGCAGCTACATAACATTTTCCAGAACGGGAGTGTGTGTTTAGTAGGGCCGGTGTTTTTTACTGTCATGCAAGTGACGCGGTCAGTGACGGCACACTGTGCCAGGTCCAGTAACAGCACGTCCACGCGAATCACTTTCAAGCGTATTTCTTGGGAAAGAGGATAATTTTCTACATCCGATGTAATGTTTTGCGCAAGTAAATAACTTGGCTTAAACGACACATTATTTTGCTTCATTTTCTGTTTCATGATATTGTAGATATAATAAGTAACTACTGATTTCCGAAGCAATTTCAATTGCGTTGGTTGCCACGCTTGTTATTCGTTTGTTGCTAGACATAAAACGGAACGAAACATTTGTGCGCATGACGACCTTTTATGGAAAAATGCGAATCGAGAAGCGTCGAGTAGCACCCAATCGTCCCACTGTCCCATATCTTCCCGATCGTGCCCATCCCGGCATCAGGCTACAGGTCACAGGTCAATACGGTCGCGACCCGAGTGTTTGGGGGCATCAATTGCTCCAGATTTCAAAACCAAGTCGGACTTGTAGTTTTACTGTAATTTGATCGGCTAATGGGCATTAGGCCGAGCTGTTTAACATTAAAACTTATATGAGCCGTGAGTAGTATAACTGGGTTATGGTATTCGAAAGCATCCATAGATATAACTAGACTCTGAGCAGGACTGATAACATTACCCGTTACCACCCCGAGTTTCTAAAGGTTTTTCATGCAATCGTTGAAGCAGATTGGTCGGCGCTTCGGGTGTGATGACCCGGGGGGGGGGGGAGGGGGAGTACAGATGCTCGCTTGTCGGCGAGGGATGGGAGTGGAAGTCAGCGTCGCTGGTCTCGTGCGGAATTTGCGGAAGGGCTTCAAATGGAGTCATCTGGTGCCACTCCGGTGTCGTCGGCGGCGCGTGTAAGCGGGGTGGGTACTGAAAGAGCTTGGGGCGATCATGCTGCACCACGGCGGGTGACGGGTGTCGTCAGGGACGCGCCTGATCGGGGACTGGCTGCACCGCGGCGGGTGACGGGTGTCGTCAGGGACGCGCCTGATCGGGGACTGGCTGGACCGACGGCGGGTGACGGGTGTCGTCAGGGAAGCGCCTGATCGGGGACTGGCTGGACCGCGGCGGGTGACGGATGTCGTCAGGGACGCGCCTGATCGGGGGCTGGCTGGACCGACAGCCGGTGACGCGTGTCGTCAGGGACGCGCCTGATCGGGGGCTGGCTGGACCGACGGCCGGTGACGGGTGTCGTCAGGGACGCGCCTGATCGGGGACTGGCTGGACCGACGGCCGGTGACGGGTGTCGTCAGGGACGCGCCTGATCGGGACTGGCTGGACCGCGGCGGGTGACGGGTGTCGTCAGGGACGCGCCTGATCGGGGACTGGCTGGACCGACGGCGCGGCATCATGGGGTCGGGAGTCAGCTGAGAGGTGGGGAAGATGGCCGATGACTTGGCAGCCGGTCGGTCGGTAGATGGGAGACACGTACGGAGGCTGCAGAAGATGTCGAGGCACGGTGGAGGCTGCCGCACCGAGACGTGCTTGCGAAAGAACCGGGGGCTCCGCAGGGGTCATCCTGTCGAAGCCACCGACTCGTATCACGTATTGGTCGAATTGCCTGACCTCGATGACCGAGCCGGTTTTGTTCACTTGTTTGGAAATGCGCCAACTTGATTCCGCATGCGAACGAGATCTCCCTCTTGCAGTGGTGGTAGGCGTCGCGTATCTTCGGACCAGCGTTCCACGCTCTTCTGATGCCTGTTGCGGAGGGCATCTCCGCGAGACGCCAGTGAGCTGCGCCACGTCTCATGCGAGTGGTACCGTCAGGGGGGGGGGGGGGGGGGGGGGGGGCGACATCGGGACGAATCCCGGATGGGGCAGCCGAAGCGAGTCATTGTCGGAGACATCTTGGTAACCCGATCAGGCCTGTTTCGGTACTGAAGAACGGCACGCTGGAAGGCGTCGGTGTCGAGGCCGCCGTCCTGAGCGGTGTCGTCAGTGATGAGGCCTTTCATCGTCTTGACACCGATTTCTGTGCGACAGCTGCTGTGGGCGAACGGCACCGGCCACACTCTGTGGTGGACTCCCCAGATAGGAAAAACTGACGAGTGGTGGTCGACGCGAGTGCTAGGCCGTCATCCGAAGCCAACTCGTCGGGTATGCCGAATGTGACGAAGGTGCGGCAGAGGCAGCCGATGAGATCGATGAGACCAGTCTTGCCGAGGCTCAGCTGTTTCCACAATTGGCAGGCTGGAATACCGATCCGCGATCACCAGGCGTTGACACCCTCGATGGCGGAAGAAATCAGCGCACACGCACTGGAAGGGTTAGGCGGGAGATTCCAGAGGAAAGGGCGGTGCAGACAATTGATACTGGGGCCATCCTGTTGCGGTGGAGACACACAGCGCGTGTTGAGGCGATGTCGCCGGCAAGCCCGGGCCAGAAGTCAGAGGCTTCAGCTCGAGACATGGACGTGACGCCTCGGTGGACGGACCGTGGGGCCGATAATACGTCTAACCGGAGGGATGAAGGGATGACAACTCTGTTTGACACCGGGAATATGTATGATGTTGAAGCGGTGGCGCAGGTTTTTCTCCCGAAGGCTGTGGAGTCGCTTGCTTGGTGTGTCCTCCAGGGGCCGGTCACCGAATATTTTTATCAGCGGCATATGATTGGCAGCGATAATCAGGTTACTGTAGCCTAGAACGAAACACAGCGCCTTGGCCAGGGCGACAGCCGCCGCCACAGCGTTGTTCTTGACTGATGCGTACCGGGATCGGGTAGGGTGGGTAAACCTGCTGCTCACAAGAGTGGTTTTCCAACCGTCATGGTAGCAGAATGGAACAGGCTGAGTGCACACACATTGCTTTTGGAGGGGTCAGAAGTCCACGCCCGTCTTCGACCAGTCTGTTGCGAGGAATGTCGTCCGAGGTGAGTCGAAGATTCTCACACCCTCCTCAATCTCGCTGATGGTGACTGACAAGGAGTCTTCTGGGAGTCTTCGAAGAGGGTGTCGAGCTGGGGCTCCCAGTAGAATGAGGTCTTAGATTTCAGGAGCTCGCGGAAGGCCGCATTTTCTCTGCCATCCTGAAGGTGTAGGATACCAGGTTTACTAGGAGCGGATGTCGGTGATGTCCCTCGGCGACGGGAAGTCCCGGATGGCCTGAGTGAAGCGGTCACATGGTCGTACGCTCTCCAGGGTGACGTTGAACCCCGCGGACTCCATACCGTCTTGAGCGAGGGCGAGTTTGGTGGGGTTTAGGGCGATCCGGTTACGACCACATAAGTCTAACCACTTGACGGTCTGCCTGAAACACTCTTCTATGGAGCCTGACCGGAGAAGGACATCGCCGATGCAGTTGGTCTTCCTGGGCAGGTTGGCGACAATCTCGTCATATATCTGTGTGTATGCATTTCCAGATGCAGTGCAGCCTTGCGGGCGGCCCAATACCGATGTTGTAAACGGCCCCACGGTGTTATAAAGGTGGTGGGCTGGCGGTCTTCGCGTCGCAGGAGTGCACTTTGGTAACCGTTCCGACAGCCTAGGACTGTTTTCTTCATGCTAACGGGGACTGACCTGGCTTGGTGGAATGGTGATTGGGTGTGGTGGGCCTCCCGAGTGGCATGTTAGTTCAGGTCTTGGAGATCCACGGTCCTTCGAGGTGTGCCATCTATCTTGGCAGTAACTACCACGCAGTGACACCAGGTGGCAGGCCCACCGATTGGGACAGGCTCGAGTGCCCCTAGCTAGACGTCGCCGTCGAATCTGACCTTTCCTCTGCCTGCCAATACCGGAGCACCGGGAGGTGTGTGGTGCGCGACGGGAGTCGAGTCAGGGTCTACCATCAGTGCCAACAGAGGGGCTGGCATGGTGGCTAAGGGCTGGTGGGGATATACGTTGAAAATACTCGCTGTGTGGGTATCTTTGAGGTCCTGCTCCAGTTTTTTACGAGTGGCGTCAGTGGAAGCCATGGGTGGCGTCTGCGGAGGGGGCCGAGGGCGCTCACGGCAAGGGCAGCCGCACGGCGCGTTCGATGTTTCGCTCGTGGCGAGGATGTCCGGTGCTGTGGCGTCGCGAGATGTCGCGAGTGTGGATGAACCGCGGTGCTTCTCGCCTCAAGACTGGAAGTCCTGGGAGATGATGGCGAGGGCGGAGCACGCCTCTCTGCTGAGGAGGAACTTGTCTGATTCGTTTGTGACCTCCTGCCTGGTGCAATGGGGCGACTCTGTTGGCTCGTGTCGGACAGCCTCAGAAGGACGGCTCCCAAGAGCAGGACTGTCTTGTTGTTTACCGCGGTTAGCAGTTGACGTGGATCAGGCCTTTGTGGGTGATGCCGAATGTCCTAGAGAGCGCTGGGGCCAGTCACCGCAGCTTTGGCAGCCAGTGTCGGCGCACTGCGAGTATGCGAGACTTACTGTTGCGCGGTGTGGGGTCGACGCCAGCGCCGGTAGTCCTCACTCGCCGTCTCGGCTGCAGTGTCTGCGGTGGGTTGAGGCATGGAACGGCGAGACATACACTTTCGGCCATGTCGCCGTAAACGTGATGCCCGATAACGATCAAGTTCAGCCCTTCAAATGACTTATAGGTAGTCGAACAGGTGGCCGTTGAAGATGGCGCCAGTGTCGTTTTCCAGTCCGTTGGACTGATTGGGGTGAGGCGGGGGCGGGGGCGGCGTTTGAGTCCGCCTTTTGACCCGGCATACGCACTCGGTGTAGTGGTCCTCGCCACAGTGACGGCATGTCTGCCCGTACGCTGGACACTCCCGCTGCCGTGGCCTCAGGACGGGGGGGGGGGGGAAGGGGGCGTGTTAACCGTAGCCGAGGTTGCCGCAGTATCCACAGGGTTCTGACAGCTGGTGCTGAGGTCCTGGAGGTTTTGGTGACAGTTGGACCTTCGTCTTTCCTTCTTCTGTCTGCGGCAACTGCTAACGGACGCCAGAGTGGTGGCTTGGCAGTCGCGTAGCTGAAAGGCGGAACGTTTGCCTGATTACTCCGCCTCGGCGAGGCGGAACACGTCTCCCAGGGGCCTCCACTGATTTTCTGCGCCCAGGATGTCCCATCGCATGTCGGGATCGGCGATGCCACGAGTGAGGGTGTCTCGGATCGCATCGCCGGTGCAGTCAACGTCCGGACGGCAGTTGGAGCGCTGGACTGAAAACCGACAGACGCCTGCTTGTCCTCTCAGATGGGCGCCGAGCCCACGAACCAGCTCGCCGCGGTCCTGTCGCATGTTTGATAGGGCGACTCGGGCGACCGTTGCGTTCTCCTCCCTCACAGTCAGCTGTTTGAAAGCAGCGAGTGCTTCCCCTCGGGCTGTGAGGCCAGGCTCCCGCCAGCAGCTCGTGTGAGGTCTGCGCAGTGCGGCCTTACAGTATTGCCGAAGATAAATGGAGACGTCGGTGCACGCCAGTCCAGCAGCGTCGCGGTATTGCTCACATCGGGTGATGAAATACCTCCAGTCAGTGCAGCTGCTTCCTGCAGGGATGACAGGTCTCTGGAGCTTGCGAGTGCCTGGCTTGGGGGCGCCCGATGACTGCTGTTGTGACTGGTGAGGAACGCAGTCAAGGTCGTCGACGTATCGACACCCATCGATCGCGCTCTTGACGGCTTCCATCTCTCTCGGGAGCCTTGCAAGTTATGGACGCCAACACAGATCAGCGAACACTCTGATCAGCTTTTCATTTATTCAGCACACAATGTTGGAGCACATCTGAGAAGAGACAACCATCAGCAAGGCACTATCAAACAAGCAGCAGAGGGGGCTGAGAACATTATTCTGCAATAAAGACGTGACGTAACATGGCCTGGATGGGTCACTACCTATCTTCAAAAATGCAATATAACGGTCGGGTCAGAAACGGTCCTTTATTTAGACACGGCCATACACTCACAAGCGCATACCAAAATGCACACGGACGCACACTCATGTACACGTGCATATATGCAAACGTACGCACACGCGCAGATACACATCAATAATTGCCATCATGAAACGTCCCAACCACAAGGGCGGTGCAAGTAAGTAGCAAGGCAAGCATTCCTGCTATGCACTGGTGTTTACCCGCCAAACGCCAAACGCCGAAACGCCAAAAAGCATTAAAGTGGTTTTATTGCAGTGCTTTGAGTTCCCTGGATTTTGGCATACACTCACCAGATATACCCATGATTTTTTATGAAACGGACTAAGAGACGGAACTTACCCTTTGCTGGCCACCTGACCCAAAGAGTGTTCCTTGTAATCGCTTTACTGAGCATCCAGCGCGAAATCAGGCGCGATAACGAGCTCCAACATAATTACACACTGCTCGATAGCTAAACTGCGCTGAGCTGCGGTGCAGAAGTGAATTATTTGCGTTAGAGTACGTCAAATGAAATTTTTAAAAATTAAACTAACCCTCTTTTTAGCTGTTTCAGTAGCTGTGAAAGTGTATTGCAATTTCTAGCCGTGTATTTGACTGACATCCTATTTCACCGTATTTGATGGTCGATCACCAAATGGTCTGTCTACAATTCTGCCGCACTTTGTTTGTTTGGCTTTCCTGCATGGTGTGCGGACCTGGGTCTGCAGAACGTATGCGAGCTGAGAGTGGGTGGGAGCGAAGGTTCGAGGTAGGGGTCGTCATAGCATCCGTGTATGAGGTGTGCATAAACTTGCCAGTTGATCAGAGATGGTATGCCATGTTTCAGAAGCCTTTTGCACGAAGTATAGTTCCATGGGGTACAAGGACATTGACAAGAGTGACGATAGTCAGAATCAGTGATATACTTCCCAAACTGAAAAACTAAAATTCATGCGTAAGTTGGCATCTACTGACGTAGTTATGGAGGCCTTTGGATTTTGTTGTAAATGTGACTTAAGTCTCCCTTAGGTCAGTATTATGCAAATTACACAAACAGTGTGTAGTATGCTTTGCAAGCAATATTGCTCATTTCTTTTTGAAATTGGGCCCCAATAGGCAGCAGGCAACACCTCACCTGGCCAGTCCAGCGTCCTATTAAGCTTAAAGAGTTTTTGTGAACAGTTAAACATGTATAATTTTGTCATTTTTAATGATGAGACATTGCACCAGCTGTGATACCTCAGGTAAAATGCTAATAATATGCATCATGCAAGATGTATTGGGTGTAGCAGTGGCACTGCAGCAACAATCTCAGTGTATTTACATTGTAAATGTGAAGGTTTAGAGTTCTTTGATCTCACCAGTCTCATCACTCCAAATTGGTTGACACCAATCTCAGCACATGGTGTGATTGTGTTTCAAGTAATAGTAATCTGCTAAGCTAGCATCAGGAAAGAAACAGTCCCAAAATATTTGCAATTTAGAGATGGTGTGGGAATCCAGGGTGGCCTGGCCGGAGTTGGGTGCATATGAGTGCAAGGTTTAGTGCACTTATATAGTGTAAATATCTGGCCATGTGGACTGATTGTTGCAGGATGGCCTTGATGGTAATTAGTGTTTTAGGGCATGCTGACAAGGCAGGCTGCCTTTAAGGAGTCACTCATCTTGTTTTTTGCTGTTAATTGTGCTAAGTTCTGTATTATACCTACGGAAGAAGCATGGCAAAAGAATGATAAAGGAACAATATGCATGTGACATGTCTAGAGTGCTAAATTGCATAGGTCCCTGCCCTCTCTACCACTGATTACCTATAGAAATATTCATATACATATATTTATTAAAATGTAAAATAGGTGGTTTTGATAGAAAAGAACTCAATCTGGTTGCATCGTAAACTTGTTAGCAATTAGCAAATATCAATACAAATTCTGTTTTTTTAGAATTCCACATCATTAATTCCATTATTATTCCATTATTCCATACCAGCATTTGATACCATGCTATTCCATATATTGGTGCTGAATATTCTGCATTTTCTGTCACATTAATGGTAGTATTGCTATTGTGCACTAATGCTGATATACCTTCAGCCTAAAGTTGTGCTCTCTTTTATTTTCTATTTTATTACATGGAAACATTCCACACTCTTTCATGAAAATTGTATATTGCAGGTGCATGGAACTCCAAACACATTGCTGCACCAGCACCTGCACTAAAGATAACACCTTTTTGAAAAATATGTTGCATGTGGAGGATTTGTAAAAATTGCACATATGGTTAGGTACTTAAGAATATTTTCCAGTCATCAAACTGCAATACTTCTCATAAAAAGCAATGTTATATAACAATATTTAGATGAGGCATTAACAACTTTAGTACATAATAAATTACATTGTCACCTGTCTGTTTGGGCTAAAAAATTAGCTAAATCACCTGCTGCCTGTTTGTTTAAGAAAACACAGTTGTATCATTTCAATCTGCATGTAATGAAAGCTGACCTGATTCACAGGACTAGTATGTTCAGATACTCTGCATTCCAGCATAGTCATGAGGGATTTTGACATTCTGTTAAGATTAGAGGCATCACTTTTAAGAGCATTGTAATACATTAAGGCAGACAAGTTATCTTCCAGTTAATGATAAACTGTGACAAGCTTTCCTGATTCATTTGACATCTCATTTTGTGCCTGAACAAACCTGTCCAAATCACAGTAATGATAACAAATTGAGAAATTAGTGTGGGTGCTTTGAGAGGAGAGGATAGTCATAGTGCTTTCATTCATGACATTGTTTTGGTCTATGGTGGTGAAACATTTGGCAAGGCATGCAAGTGTCAGTATTTCACTTGTTCAAAATTGGTGATGATGGAAACATTCATTGGAATCAAAATATCCATTTGTTCTGGGACCAACATGATTTAGAGACTAGTACATCCAAGTCTTGAAAAGTTAAGCAGGTGCATTGTCATGTATGGTGTTGATAAAATTGGCATTGATTGGTTTGTGTATGTTTTGTTTTTGTTTAGTGAATTGTTGAATATGCACACAATGAAATCATTTCATTGAAATATTCTGCACTGGTTCCAGATCAGTCAGTCAACTGCAATCATGGAGAACATCATGACATTGTCGGCAGAAGACCTAGCAAATGCTAACACTTTTCAGATTAATGGTAAGTACACTTTATTTCCATCTTGCTTTCAGAATATTGCATGGTCCCAACTCCTTTTTGGAAGTGCCTACATCAGTATAAGTGCTCCAAGGATGTCAGGACCCAGAGAACCCCCTTAGACACCCTGGGTGGGGCTGGCCCCAGCATTATCTGATGTCAGTATAAGGTGTGTCATTATGCATGGTAAGTGAGCCCAAACAGTCCAAATTATTATCTGGATTTTTCAGTCATGAGGACATTGATGCCCCAGCATGATATTTTGTTAGTTTAGTATGTTCATAGACGCCCCCATGTTCTGGGTCCCCTAACTGCCTCAAGCAGATAATATCTCAGCCATTTATGACATGTTTGCCACATGCATAATGAGCATCTATGTGATTTAGATAAACATGTTTGCACCCTACTTCCAAACAGCAGTGTTTGGATGGCTGTTGGAGGGATTATATGTGTACATATATATATATATATATATATATATATATATATATATATATATATATACATATTGAAGGCTTTGGAAATATGTTGTCATATTGCTCTGTAAAAGATGGTGTAGTTCATCCTTGTAACATTATCTATGCAATTGGCAGTGAATGATGATGGAACTGCATCAGCTGTGGGAATGCCAATCAGTGTGGTGCCAGCAGAGGGCAGCTATGTCCTCAAACAGCTGGAAGATGGCTCTACAGTACTACTGGATGCCGTAAGTCACAGCTGAAAGATCCAGCAATGTTTTGAATGTGGCATGTGTTGACAGGTTGTTGCATGCCACTGGGAAGTAGGTGGCAAATAGTCCTGTGGTTATGAGTTCTCACTCCCTTTTGTGACCAGATTTGATCAGTGCCAGTGTTGTTGCACATGTCAGGTTTGTGCTGGGATATTGCTTTTTTCTTCACTTTCTGTGAATTATCACCCATGTACATAAATGTTGACCTGTTTAGATGCACAGGCATACCTGATGATATCTGGGATAATAATTGTGGAGCCTGCATGCACTCAGGGGAGCCCCCACTATGTTTCGCTCCGACAACTCTTCCAAACATGATGCTTTAATCCCTTGTTTTTGCACTCTGGTAGCAGTTAGCCAGCGGGCTGGCGAACGCCCGCCCTCACGCAGCGTTTCTCCCCGCCGCCCACAGATGGCCTTCCTGAACCAGATGGGTGGCCAGGTAGTGCTCTCCAGCGGCGGCGCGCTCGGGCCCGACATCATGGCGCACGGCATCTTCTCGGCCGACCCGGAGGCCGAGCACGATGGCCAGCCAGCGCCCATACAGGTGAGGAGGCTGCTGCCGGCGGGCGGCGGCGTCTCGTCCTCCCTCTCCCTCCTCCTGGTGATGCGGCCGGCTGGGGCGCGCTCGCGGCGGCTCCGCTCGCGTTGACGGGTCCGCGGCAGGGCTCTCACACACGCGTGATGGGGTCTGGTGCGGCACCATGTGGGTGTGGCCGAGCAGTGCGTTGCTGCTTCGCCGCGTGTTGGGGCTGGGTTGGTTCGGCGCCGATGACTGGCCAGCGCCGAAGCTGGTGTAGTCTGCTTTGCTGTAGTGTCAGACACTGAGCTGCTACTTGTATTGCTACTGGTTCGACTATTGCAGCGGGAGTTAGAGCTGGCGCTGTCACCCGGTCTGCTGTTCTGTCAGGTGCTGGAGCAGGTGCCCGAGTCGCTGGAGCCGGTGTCGGCGGCGCTGGGGCCGGTCTCGGAGGCGCTGGTGTCGGAGGCGCGGGCCGGTGTCGGCGGCACTGGAGCCGGTCTCGGAGGCGCTGCCGTCGGTGGAGTCACTGCTGGCAGACACGCCCGGCCTGGGGCAGGAGCAGAGCCCGCCGCCGCCGGCGCGCGCCCGGCGCCGCGTGCCGCGACTCTTCCCCTTCGAGCCGGACCCGGAGCCGCCTGGACCGGTACGGAGCGCCGGCCGCCTCTAGTGCCCACGGCCGGCGACGCCGCTGGGACCGCCCGCCCCGGCACGACGGGCTCGGCCAGTGTGGCGGGAACACCGCGTGGTGGGGGGGGGCCCGCACTGCAGTCCTGTAAAGTATTTGGCGTCATGGCCATGCTCCCACCCGATACGTCTCGGATACTTTTTTACGGAGTTTATGGGTATCCGTACTGCCCGTATATGTTATTCCGCGTCGGCCCCTGACTCGGGCAGTGGTAGCATCCTGCTACATTAGTTGTCCCGGCGCACGTCTGCGCTACCACATCGCCCACGGAGGCTGGGAGTCGCGCCATCTGTTGGGATGCCGAGTGGTATGTTGGTATGAGTGTGTCGAGGCCGACGGACTGGGTCAGCTGGGCAGTGTGCCTGCCGACAGCTGGAGCACACCAGCGGCTGACATCTGTGTTATCACTTGGCAACATTGTACACCAGTTAAGTGCCAAGGATGGGGATTCTGTATGGCCATCAGGTAATGCCTTGCATTTTTGAGGGTGATGGCATTTTGCATTTTTGTACCATATTGACAGTGTGTTTACTCGATTGTATGACAACGTGTGCAGCCATTTGTGGTATACTGCAGAGGTCTTGACAGCAACCCGCACCGTTTCAGGCCCCTTGGCGCTGTCAGAAGTGCGGAAAAACGCTCAATATCTGGAAACGCTACCTCAACCACATCAAGTCCCACGACTATGAGAAACCATTCAAGTGTGATAAATGTCCAGAGGCTTTCAACTTCCAGGTCAGTGCGGCCGTTCCCCCTCGTGCCACTTACACGTTTGGCTGTTCGAACCCCATCTGATGTTGTGTGCACCTGTGGATGTAATTGGGCATATTCGTGACATGCGCCTGAAGTCGACATCTTCGTAGATGAACACCAGGGTAAAGTAGGTCACCTGCCTGCGGTTTGTTCACCTAAAACGGCGAGGCCCTCCCGAAGTCTGTGACGCCGTGGTCGTCGGACGTCGCGAGCGTCGTGCCTGACACACCGCCCCGACACGCCGCCCCTGACACGCTGCCCCTGACACGCTGCCCCTGACACGCCGCCCCTGATGCGCTGCCCTGGCACGCCGTCCCTGACACGTCGCCCCTGACGCGCCGCCCCTGACACGCCGCCTTTGACGCGCCGCTGCCGCCCGGTGCCCCGCAGAAGAACTGGGAGCTGCACGCCGTGAGCCACGCGGCCGACCCAACGCCCTGCCCGGACTGCGGCCGGGCCTTCCGGCGCGTGGCCTCGCTGCGCGCCCACCTGGCCCTGCACGAGGTGGACGAGGCGATTGTCTGCCCGCAGTGCCAGCACGAGTTCCCCACTCAGGTCTGTCGGCGGCGGCGCTACCGTGTGCGGTGTTTTGACCGAAGTGGAAGCCTGCCGGTCGGCACGGGGTTGTTGGCGTCGCGTATCACTTGCCACTTCTACGAGGGGCGGGGATGGGGGTGGAGGATGTAACTAGCGTTGCGATTAGCGATTAGGTTAGCGATTGCCAGGTTGGGCTTTGAGATGGCCAGATGATTTCATTGCACTTTCGGTTTGGCCCGCTGTTCTTGGAAGAGGTTAGAAGATTGTTTGGTAGAATGGGGACGGGCTACTGGGGTAGCAGAATGACTGATGTTTTTCTTGTCGTGTCGATCAGCGCGGAGGGCACTCTGTGCCAACCTGAGAGGATCATCTGTTCGATGTTGTGGCTGCTTGTTAGCATCGCTCAACCTATCAGTTCGTGCCCGTGGGGTTTCTAAGCTTATGCCTTCAGTGAAGAGTTGAGAATCACCTGATGTCCTCCAGTTCTTCGTCGAGAGTAGTGACAACAGTTCATCCGCGGCGGCAGTAGTGATAACGGGTCAACTCTTAGGAGTGATGAGTACAGGTCATCTGTGTTGGAAGTGATGACAGTGGGTCGTCTGTGTTTGGGAGTACTGGCTACAGCTCACCTGCCTTGGGAGTGAGCTCTGCAGGACACGTGTGTTGGGCGTGATGACCCTGGGTCGCCGGTGTTGAGACTGTGACAGCGGGCCGTAGCGGTCGTGGTGGCAACAGCGGGCCCTCCATGTGGGGGGCGATGCCGGCCGTCACGCGCCGCGAGGTCGCCAGCGGCGCACAGCTGACCCGCCGGCCGGATGTCCGCCGCAGGTACTGCTGGACAAACACCTGCCAGTGCACACGGCGCCGGCCGCCGTGAACCTGGAGCTGGTCGTCACGGCGCCCCGCCGCGAGGCCGGCCACGCGGCCGAGTCGGGCCCCGGCACCGTCGCCGACGCCGACGCCGACGCCGAGCTCGGCGCCGACCCGGCCGGCGGCGACAACGTGCTGAAGCCGTCCAACATCAAGCGCACGTGCACACAGTGCAAGCTGGTGTTCGCCACGAACAGGGAGCTGCTGGACCACCACAAGGAGCATCAGACGGTCAGTGGTGGCTGCTGGCAGCCCGGTCGGGTCCGGCCGCTGACGACCGGGCGTGGCCCGCGTGACTCGGAAGGACGGTGACTGCCTCGCGGTGGCTGTGGGGTAAAGCAGACGCGGGATAGTATACGTTGTCGTATGCTTCCACGCGGCAGGCATGGCGGCGTCCGGAAACGGCGTCGGAAGTGCAGTCACTGTCGTCCCTGTGATGGACGACGTTTGTGGCGTGGGCCGGGCTGCCGCGCCCCGGCGGTGCCTGGTTTACACACGTGACATAGCTCCTGACCCCTGCCCAGCGCACGCCGTGTTTCTGTGTTCTCTGCTATGATCGGCGTGAGAGATGGTGACTATGGCTAACGACTAAAGCATGGCCTGCGTCCTGAAATCAACCGAACACGCTGCCGAAGTGAGAACTTTGACCAGCTGTCGTCCAATGCTGCCCTACATCGGTAGCGCGGTCCCGGGGGCTGTACGTGGACCGGCGGTGTGTGACGGCCGGCTGGCGCCCTCCCGCAGATCCGGTCCATACTGAAGCTGCAGCAGCAGCGGCGACGGACTAAGCCGAGCTCGCGGCCCAGCACGCGCTGCCAGATCTGCCAGAAGTCGTTCGCCAAGCCGGGCCTGCTGCGCCGCCACCAGCTGATCCACACCGGCGAGAAGCCGTTCAAGGTGAGAGACGGCTCTCTGGGCTGCGATTGGCTGGCCTCGGGTGGAAGCACTGGCGTAGCAAGGCAGCTTCGCGGAGCGCTCGAGCAGCCGGCAACGCCATCCGCACCACCTCACAAGGTCTTCATTGGTGACCAGACGTACAGCTGGCGTCCAAAACATACGTGTTTTTCGTTTGGCATCGACTGGCTTGTCCAGGCTCAGTTGCAGGGAGCGCTACTCTAGGTCCAGGCTCATTTGAAGGGCGCTACTCTAACGTGCCCCCTACACTCCCCTCCCCAGTAACACGTCCCCGCCGCACCCCCCAGTGCGAAATCTGCGACCGCGCCTTCAACCAGAAGAGTGCGCTCAAGATCCACCGCGAGTCGAAGCACGGCAAGATCCGGCCCTACCAGTGCACCATCTGCAAGATGTTCTTCGCGCAGCGCGGCAACCTGCGCAACCACGTGCGCCGCGTACACAACCTGAGCGAGGCGCGCGAGCGGATCTTCAAGTGCGAGCACTGCGGCTGCGGCTTCGCCACCAGCGGCGTGCTCGGCAGTCACATCAGCAAGATGCACGATCCGCCGAGCAACACCGGGATGAGCGCCGACGCGCTGCGCGACCTGGTCCGCCAGCTGCTCGACTACTCGGCCGGCAACGCTGCGGCGCGCGACCGCATCCAGGCGCAGATCCAGGAGATCGCGCGCTCCGGCGTCGTGCCCGACTGCGTGCTGCCGGCGGCCGAGGGTGCGGGCGAGGCGGCGGCGGCCGCGGACGGCGGCGCGCCGCCCGACAGCGCCGTGCAGGCGGCGCCAGGCCCGAAGGCGGCGGCTCCGCAGCGCACCGACCCGCCGCCGCCGCCGCCACCGCCGCCGCTGCCGCCGGTACCGCCGCCGGTGCCGCCGCCGCGCGCCGGAGAGCCCACACGCGACAAGCGACCGGCAATCATCACCGTCGTGGACAAGATGGTGCAGGGCCGCGAGCGCAAGCATCTGGTGCGTGTGCGCTACGAGGGCCGGCTGCGCTGGTTCCAGTGTCTGTTCTGCGCCAAGGAGTTCCGCAAGCCGTACGACTTGGTGCGCCACCTGCGCATCCACACCAAGGACAAGCCGTTCCGGGTGAGTGTCAGCCGACTGAGTTCTTGCTGAGGATTATGCGGCAGCTGTTGCGGTCTTTGGTGTTCTGAGTGACGTTAGATGCATCCCCGGCGGCGCCCATTGTTTGATTGGAATTTAACGCATTTAGGTCATGACCAGTAACTTGCTTCTGTTTCCCTCAACTGTGCGCGTGGACCGAGCCAAGTCCTCCCCGTGGTTGCCCGTCCCCACGTCCCCACGGGTGACCAATTGGTGACCGAGTCCCCGACGGACGGTTGTATGTGGCGCTGGCGCCGGGCCGGGCGGCGTGCCGGGCCGGCGGCGTCCCCGAGATTGACTGACGCCTCGTGGCCGGCCGGCAGTGTCCGCAGTGCTTCCGCCAGTTCACTGTCCGCTCCGGTCTGGAGTCGCACCTGCGTGCCCACCGCGGAATCAAGCTGGCCAGCTGCCCCATCTGCCACAAAAAGTTCTCCACCGCCGGCGTGCTCAAGGTCCACCTGAGGTCAGTGATAGCAGCTGCCCTGGAGTCACCCCTGGCTAGTGCTGGGTCCAGCTCCACCTCGTCATTATTGATATCTGGTCTGGTGGAGGTCGATCAAAAGGCTGTCGTGGCCGGTCCAGTTTGCTGGCAAAGGGGGCCAGAGGTCTCCCGCAGTTCAGCGGGGTTTTTGTCACTTCGGTTCGGCGGAGAGCGGGCTGTGTACCACACCACTGGGAGCGCTATTGGTGGCCATCGCAGTGAGTTGGGGTGTCGCTCTAGGCCGTCGGCCACACGGACCCAGTCATAGCGTGGCAGACGGCACGGGTCGACGTGTCAGCTGTCTGAGCAGGTGGCTCCTGACCATCAGCTGCAGTGCTTGTGTCGCCGGCCGGCCGGGTCCGTTCCGACCGCGCGGCAGCGGGCCGGCGGGCGGTGGTGTCGCGGCGCCGGCGTCTGACGGCCGGCCGTTGCAGGCTGCACACGGGCGCCAAGCCGTACCACTGCCAGTACTGTGAGAAGCAGTGCCGCACGCTGGGCCAGATTCAGGCGCACGAGGCGGCCCACCGGCGGACCCGCACCGACGCTACACGTGAGCGAGGGGGGGGGGGAAGCCGGCCGCGCCGCTGCACCGGCTGATGGTGCCTGGCTCAGGGTTACCAGACGTGCCACATCTCGCGATACGACGGCTTTGTCGGCTTAGTTGGGACAGTGGGTACACGGCAAATGTATGGGTGGCTAGCAGTTAAAATAGTACGTCGAAGCGGATAGTTAATTTTGGCTGGATGCAGCGAAAGCTTGGGCATACAACACCGTTTTTGTTCACTGTGCTGCAGTGTGTCTTTTTGAATTATTGCGATGGTACCCAGATGAAGTCTATCGGCATTGTGCCGCGCGCCGGGATGTCTTGCAGGCTTGACCCTCACAACCGTGCATTGAAAGAGGGCTACTAGAGCCTGGCTACCGGTGTGCGTAGCGTTTGGTCGCTGGCTCTGTCCATCGAGCAGCCACTCAGCGACCTATGTGACGTCACCCGCGCGAGCGGCGGCGTCGGTGCTGACGGTCCTCGTGCGGCAGGTGACGACGGTGACGACGCTGACGAGAGGAAGAGGGCGTCGCCGGACAGTGGGCCGGAGGTGCGACTACAGCCGCCCATCCTCATCACCAGCAGCGGTGAGGCAGCTGGCGCCGGCGGCTGGCGGCCGGCGGCGCGCGCCGGTCTCGGCGTCAGCTCCGGAGTCTAGCCGGCGCTCGGGGGCCGCGTAGAGAGCTTCCACACTCTCAGCCAAAACGGGACAGATGCCTGGTTTGCGTGCGGCGGTGACGCGTGTGTGCAACATACACGACACGTGGTGCGCGATACCGATACCGTTGATTTAGCCTGGTGGTGAGCCGTTCAGCAACCGTGCAACCGTTCAGCTCCATTGCCCTCCGCGGCTGCTATTGCAAGAAACGCCGTGCGTGGGCCGTGTGGTGGCTCTGCGCCGCTCCGCCTGTTCCTAACAGCCCCGTACGGTGTGTGTTGGTCAGGTATGGTGCAGGTGGACCGTCCGCGACGTATTGAGATCCCCGAGGGCGACGAGGCGCCGGACCGGCCGCACCGCTGCACCCAGTGTCGCGCCGCCTTCAAGAAGGTCTCCCACCTGAAGCAGCACATGCGCTGGCACACGGGCGAGAAACCGCACCACTGCCCCATGTGCAACAAGTCAGTGACGCTCCGACGACCCCGACCGACCCGACTCCTGTCCCCTGGGTCGTTGGCGGATCGTTAGTCAGAATCACTCCTGCTGACCCAGGGTTTCACTCGGACTGAGCTCTGTTGGTGCTCAGTGACGTCTCCCGTGAAATTGGCATTTTAATGCATATGCGGCTGCAGGTCAGCTGTTGACAACTGTTTTCTAGCTGACAGGATGTTAAGTTGCCTATACGCTGCCTTAGGCACTTAACAACTGTGGGGCGAAATGACTATCGCAGTCGGCGCAGCCTAAAATCCCAAGCATCATCATCACAGTGGGATGCCGTTTAGACGTGTATTCCGCACACAAGACGGGCGGTAAGCTGCACCTGCTACGTACACTGCTACGTAATCGCCGCGGGGCGCCTGATCTGCCCGTGCGCTTCTGACCCGACCCGTCCGCTGGCTGCCGGGCGGCGCCGTGTTGACGTGCGCCAACGGCTCTGTCGACAGGAGCTTCATGACGTCCAGCGTGCTGGCCACACATTTGCGGACGCATACTGGCGCGCGCCTCTTCAAGTGCCCCATCTGCTCGCACGCCTTCACCACCAAGAGCAGCATGACCCGACACATGACCACCCATACCCAGGTAAAGTAGGGCCGCCCCCGCCCGCGGCTCACGCCCTCTGGCCGACACAGGATATGTGTGCGCGTTGCGTAAGAGTATGTATGATTGATAGAATGACAACTACATATGCAAGGAAATCGAGGAGTAAGAGGTAGGATGCAGAGTGAGCGGAATAGTCGCTGCATATTGTTACGGGTAGGGCGAATGTAGTTGTTTGTAGTGATGACATGCATATTCGGCAGAATAGTAATTGTATGGAGTTTAGGAACCACATCGTTTTCCTTGCGGGCGTAAATTCTCAACGTATTCTTGTGCAGGTCTTGAAGACTAGAAGTTGCGGGAGTCTCGTTCAGGTTGACACCATTGGTAGCCCCACTTCGCGATCTCCCAATGCTCTCAACAGATTGTTTCACGAGTGGCCGCGTCGCAAACAGATCGCAAGTTTTGCTCTGGGGACGGTTTGAAAAATTATCGGTCATCATGACGCTTGCGAGACAAATGAGAGGCGGCTACGGATCGTATTGAGGACTTACCATACATCTAGTTGTGTGAAGGGATGCTGGGTTCACATAACCGATTCCTTCCGACCGGCTAGCACGAAAACACGCGCCCTGATCGTGTGGTCTCGTGCGCAGGAGCGGCCGTACATGTGCCCGTACTGCCAGCGCCGCTTCAAGACCCGCATGATCTGCAAGAAGCACACGCGCTGTCACAAGTTCGAGATAGCCAACAGCAACGTTCTGGTGAGCCCTCGGCGGGGGACGGCGGCAGGGCGCGGGCGCCGCGCTTCAAGGCGCCCCTGTCCGCCAGCTTTGAAGACGTGTTTCAGGGTGGCGGTCTGTGCGTGGAATATTCGGTTGTGCGGGAAAGTGAGTCTCGTAACCTGAAGGTCGTAGATCGTCGTTCGGCTGTCATTGGCTGTGATAGTTTAGTTATCAGCATCAGATAAAGTTGTTAAATGGTCAACAATAGGTAGGGGTGATTGTTCGGCATTGATATGCAAGTACGGGAGGTATTTACCCTATCACCGACATACACGGCTGTCGCTCAGCGGCCGCAGTCAGTGACTAGGCTGTCCGCGCGCCTGCACCAGGTAAAGTTACCAACGGCCATTACCTAGCGAGGAGGCCCTCTCGTCATTAGCAGCCAAGCTTCCCATCCCTCACTGACAGATCGGGTGGCTGCAACAGCGGGGCCTTGTCTGGCCATCAGCTGTGCTGGATTGCTCGACTGCGGATAGATTGTCCGTCTGTGTCGGTGGCGGCGCGCTCAGGCCGGCTCATCGCCTTTGTCTGCAGCAAAACCAGCTGTCGGGCGGCCTGTTCACGGACCTGATGACGCCTGAGGAGGAGCCGCTGCTGTCGGACGCCGCCTACACCACGCGCGCGCAGAACGTCAGCGTCATCCTGGACGAGCATGGCCAGATGGTGCAATGTGAGTGGCCGCCGCCGCCGGCGCCGCGCGCCACGCCTGGTGGGCCGGCAGCCATCGGCCTGCGGCGGGCGTGCCGTACACCCTCCTTCCGCCGCGCCGTGCTCGCCGCCTCCCGCTGCTGTGTGTGTGTGTTGTGTGTGTGTCTCATGAATGTCGTGAGGTACTGCGAGCTATCCCGACAAGCCATGTCGCCGTGCTGTCGGCTGTTTGGGCGTCCCCGTGAGTGACGCGCGGCCCTGTGACCGGCGATCTCCTCACCGGTCCGGCGCCGCTGCGTACGCCACCTGCGTTGTCGCGCTGTCCCTGTGGTGACGCGTCGGCGCGCGGCCGCAGGCGAGCTGGCGGCTCCGGAGCTGCCCCCGCTGACGGCGGACGCCTCGGGCACCGTCACCATCGGCGGCGACCACGGCACCCGGCCCGTCTCACAGGTCTGGACTGGGACTGTGACTGGGACTGGAACTGAGACTGGACTGACCGCCGACCGCCGGCGGATCCGATGCGCCCATTGACGTGTGGTCAATGGCGTTGTTTCAACCGGTGTTCGTCGGCATCTGTTGTTTGCACGCGAGATGAGCGGCTCGTAAATCTAAATCTATCAGTGTGGCGTCGCAGAGTGTAGTCCCAGGTCAACTGTCTATCGCCCGAACGCTGGGGCAGCTTGGTTCGTTCGGCGTGTCAACTATATGACCGATGCAGTCGCTGGCGCTTCACACAAGGGGCGTGGAAAACAGCTGCCAGCCAGTGCGTAGTTGGACGTGAGAGCGTGTGCGGTGCACTGACGGCCGGCGGCGGTGCTCACGCGCGCAGGACGGCCTGGCTCAGCTGGAGACGGCGCTGAAGCAGCAGCTGTTCCCTGCCTCGGAACTGGCGGCCGGCCTGTCGCAGGTCAAGGCCGACATGTCGGCGGAGCACCGACTGATGCTGGCCAACATCGCCGCCATCGCCGCCGACGAGTCACCAGGTACCGCGCGCCGCGTCGCGCCGAGCCGCTCTGGTCGGACCGGCCGCGCGCGGGGTGGGGCCGTGTTAGACTGCGCGCAGGTGGGCCGGTTTGGGAGAAAGCGTCACAGACGCTGGCGATGAGCGACTGCTTCAAGTGGAAGGGGAAAGCTGGTAACGCTCGTTAAACCAGACATAGGATAATTTGATTATAATAGGGAGAGCAAATCGGTCGTTAGCGCTGGTACAACCTTCACATCACTGTGCGGGAAGCAGTTGTCGCCTCGCCACTGAGGGCGTGACCACTGGGCGCGGGCGACCCTCCGCCACCCCCGCCAACCACGAGGGTTAAGGAGTGTGACTGTGAACTATGCAATACTCTTCGCCTCTGCGAGCGCGCGCCGGCTGAAGACAGCGTGAGCGCTGGGTGACGTCACTTGAGCACCGTGTGACGTCACCTGAGCGCCGCTCTGCCCTGCAGCGCTAGGTGCGGAGGAGCGCGGGCTGCCGGGCGGCCGTGGACCGGGCGGCGGCCACCGCTGTCGAGGAGCCGAGCCGACTCCGAAGACGAGGTGCTGCGCCTGCGCAACGAGCAGGACGGCCAGATGATCCTCGAGATGGGACTCCGACAACGTGCTGCTGCAGGTGCGGGCGGGCTCTCCGCCGCTGGGCTCGGCCGGCCGGCGCCGGGCGTGGGTGGGCCGGCCGGCGGCCTGCCGCGATATATTAGACGGAGTGAGGTGTCCGGACCAACCGTGCGTGTGGTTCGGGTGAGGTCCGCTCATCGTAACTGGCGCAGCACCAACATAAACACAAGCGCTGATAGAGCAGTCGTGACTCTGACGTCACTGCGAGCGGGCATGGCATACGTGTATGCCACATCATTGACAAACACCGCTCGTGTCCAGGTGATGTTGGTCAACTTTGGAACGGCCGGCGTGCGCTGCCGGGTAGCAGCGCATGTCGGCATACACGTGTGGTGGGTGTTGCCGTACAGCCTCCTGTGAAGGAACGCGTGCAGCTGGCGCCGCCGCGGCCGCCTGACGCGTCGCTCCGTTTCAGGACCCGTCGCTCTCACAGCCGCTGATCCACCGCTGCCGCGTCTGCAAGCAGCTGTTCACCACGCAGCTGGCACTGGCGGTGGAGCGCGGGTTGGACGGTGGTCTCCAGAGCGCGCCGGGCGCCGGGAGTGTTGCCCGCATCGGCCCCCGGGCCCGCAGGCGTGGCGTTCTGGCCGGGCGGAATATGGCTGATGTGTAATTGGCGTCCGACGGGCGCGACTGGCTGCTTGGAGTAAGCGCGATGTGGTGGACGGGTGCCCGTGTGGGTTTGGGGCAACGCGGAATCAAGGCGGTCTGGAGAGCCCGACCAGCATTGCCGGGACACGTGCAGGAATCCGAGCGGGCGACGGTCGTGGAATGCCGTGGGGTGGGTGGACCCTCGCATTTGGTGACCTTGGTACGCGCGAATGTCCCGCGGTTAATGAGCTACGCCCTGGAGACGGGCTCCATCCCTGGACGGTGCGTTCTATGCTCTATTGAGCGCGCCCCTGCCGACCCGGGCCCGGCCCCATCTCGATCGTACCGGACCGGCGTGAACCTGACCCGTCCGTGTCCGGCAGGACGCATGAGGCGAGCCACGCCGGTGGAGTTCCAGCCGGCGTCCGCCGCGGCCCACCTCTGCGACCGCTGTCTGATCGTGTTCAGCACGGCCGAGCAGCTGGCCGAGCACAGTGTCACGCACGATCCGCCGCCGCCACCGCCTCCTCCTCCCCCGCCGCCGCCACCGCCGCCTCCCCCCGCCGCCGCCACCCTCGCCGCCGCCCCCCCCTCCACCACCTCACGCGCACGCAGCCGGAGACGGGCGTCAGTCACGCCGCCAGCGTGCAGCAGTCGCTTCCTCACGCCGACGGCGCTGCGGAAGCACGTGGCGCGCGAGCACGGCCGCGGCAAGAGCAAGGCCAAGGTGAGTGGGTCGCCCGCTGGAGAGAGGAACCGTCGGCTGGGTGTACCGGCGGTTTGTCTGCACCCCCCCGCATCCGGCTACAGAACGTGGTCCTCTGTACACTGCCCGGGTGGTGTGTGATTTCTCCAATGCTTCGGTCGGCGATCGGACCGGTACCATGTGACTTCCTGCCGTAACCGTGTCCTGTGACTGCTGCACAGTGTTCGATCGGCGAGGCCCGGCCCTGTGTCCGTCCGTCGGCCGGTGGCCGGGCTCGTCGGCGGCGGCGCCTCGGAGGACGGCGGCTGACGACGCGCGCGCCGTTGCAGTCGGTGATCCGGCTGAGTGACAAGGTGGACGGCGCGGCTGGCCGAGCAGCCGCTGACGGCCGGCCGCTCACACTCGGAGACCTGCCTCATCCAGTCGGCCGTCGAGAAGATGCAGAACGGGCCGACCCAGGTGAGTCTGGCGGGGGCGCGCTGACGAGGCCGGCTGATGGCTGACGAGGACCGGGCGCCGCCCCGGCCGACGGAGGCACGACGGCGGCGCAGCGATGCTGGGGGCAACAGCTGATCGGGACAGCTGCTGAGCGCACGCCGCTGAACAGTTGTTTCATCACGTCAGCTCAGCGGCTGCTGCTGAGCTTTTGGCACGATGGGCGTTTTCTGAGGTTGACTTGGATAAGCCCGTCCACTAGACTTACGGAAAATGAACGGGGAAGTTTCTCAGAATCAACGGGATATGCTCAGTATGTTGCCGACATTTCATTCGCTGTCATTTAACAAAGCAATGAATTTGCGTGGACTTCAATAGCAGTCCAAGACGCGGGATCTCCATAGCAAAGATTCGCGCGATGCAAATTTGTTATGTGTCGCCTGGACTTCATACCGTGCCACGGGCTGTGAGAACGCAGCGGGATTATGCATTTTGAACATTACATCGATTTGGGCAACGAGTGATTAATTAATAGTGAATTGCGTGCGAATGAGGGCCTACGTTTTCCAATCCCTAAGTGCGATGGTGCAGTCGATCTGTAGAACGGTCGACCTGCTAGGATATCAGAGGAACGTCGGGCAGCGATCATGCCGCACTTTGCACGCTGCCGCGTGTCGGTGGTGCCCGGCACTCTCTCGCGCTGACCCTGGGCCTGACGCGGTGCGCGCGGTCCCAGCGCTCGGAGCCGGAGAGCACGGAGGGCCTGAAGCACAGCTGCGAGACCTGCAGCAAGACGTTCCGCAAGCCCCTCCGACCTGGTGCGCCACATGCGCATCCACAACCGGCGAGAAGCCCTACCTGTGGCGAGCTGTGCTTCAAACGGTGAGAGAGCTTGAGCGGCGCAGCGGGCCGGCAGCGGCTCCGGCGCCTCCGCCCTGGCCACGGACGGGGCTGGTTGGCACGGGCTCCGCCGTCGGCGACTGCTGACCGATGTGTTCGACGGCAATCTGGAAAGCCCTGGCTAACGAGGCCGCTCTTAACATGCGTTGGCAGGTAGCAAAATACTGCCACTGCCGGACTGCGCCCCGTTTGACTGGCCAGGCGTTGCTTGTCGCGAGCGCAGAGGAGGTGTCAGGTCCGCGGGACACCTCTTTGGGACAGACGTCACCGCCGGTTCCGACGTGCGCCCTCGCCCCGCTCCCCGCCCCGCCCCGCCACGCCCCCGCCCCGCCCCCGCCCCGTTGTCGGCTACCGACCCCGCCCCTGACCCCCGGCTCCCCGACTGCGGCAGCTTCACCGTCAAGTCGACCCTGCTCGGACACCTGAAGACGCACACGGGCGAGCGCAACTTCGAGTGTCTGGTGTGCAAGGCGCGCTTCGCCACCAAGTGCTCGCTGAAGGTGCACTCGCGCCTGCACACGGACACGCGGCCGTACCAGTGCGAGGTGTGCCGCCGCTGGTTCCGCACCTCCGTCACCGGCGCATCCACATGGCTGTCCACGAGCGGCCCGGTCGCGGCGGGACTGCCGCCTCGGTCGCCGCCGCCTCCGCCGCTGCTGCTACGCTCCCGCCCCGCCGCCCCGCCGCCGCCGCCGCCGCCGCCGCCGCCTACCGTCCCCGCACCGTCCGCCGACCCTCTTAAGCTTCAACTGCAGGTGAGGCGGTCTGACCTGTCGGACGCACAGATCTGGGCGACCATCGCAGCTGGGCGGTGCCGCGGGTTAAACAGGGTCGGCGTGGATGTGTTCCTTTGTGAACCCTGGGAGGATTTTTTAAGGATATGACGGGTTTTGGACACTGTCGATTTGCCGAGTTCTATGTATTTGCCATGTTGGTGTGGAACAGCGAAAAAGTTTTGCGTGTGGTGCTTCAGTTTTCTTGTACCCTGGTGTTGTTATCTCCCGTGGTCTTCGTCCGTCCTTGTGGCCCTGTGCCACTAGTGTGCCACTTGTGGCCCTTCGGTGGCCATCTTCAGCCGTGCCATGGTGTGTTGCAGGGTATGCTAAAGGAGCTGGAGGCCGGCGATGGTGACGTGCTGGCGGCGGCCGAGCCGCAGCTGCCGCCACCGGCCGACGGCGGCGCGGCGCTGCAGCTGGAGCCGGCGCTGGCGCAGCAGCTGCAGCTGGTACTGTCGGCGCCCGGCGACCAGGCGCCGTCCGGCGACACCGAGCTGCGTGTCCAGCTGCAGATCGACGCCGAAGGTCGCATTGTCGGCGTAGAGGCGCTGCAGCCGGGCGCCGGGGCTGCCTTCGAGGCACCGGCGCCGCCCCGCCACCTCCCCCTCCGCCGCCTCCGCCGCCGCCGCCGCCCCCGCCGCAGCCTCCGGCGGTGAGCGGACGACAGAGCACGCGCCAGCTGCAGGCGGTGGTGGCGGACGCGCTGGTCGAGGGCGAGTTCACCTGCTCCGAGTGTCCGCGCTCGTTCCGACGTGAGAAGCAGCTGGCGCGCCACCTGCGCACGCACGGTCTGCAGCCGGCGGCCGGCAGCGGCGCGCACGCCTGCTTCGCCTGCCCGGCCGTGTTCAGCAAGCCGTCGTGCTGGCGCGCCACGTGCGCACGCACACCGGCGAGCGTCCCTTCCAGTGCACCCACTGCGACCGCCGCTTCACACGCAGAACGCGCTGGTGGCGCACCGGCGCACGCACGAGGGCGACCGGCCGTTCGACTGTCCGTTCTGCGAGCACCGGTTCGCGCAACGCGGCAACATGCGCACGCACATCCGGCGCGCGCACCTGAAGAGGGCGCTGGACGTGCTGGAGGAGGACGCGGCGGACGCGGACGCGCCGGACGGCGTCGCGTAGAGCCAAAGACGCGCGCCGTGCAACGGGGACCCCGGAAAGCCGGTGCCGCAGAGCCGTCGCGCGGGGCGGGGCGTAAGAAGGCGGGGTCGGGCCTGTGGGCCGGTGGGTACTGGGGGCAGCGGGGCGGTCGCTCGAGGGCAACGTCCGCGGGACAGCGCGATTGAGCCAAGGTGTCGCCGTGTTGAGCCGGCGGAAAGTGCGCGCGTGGTTGCAAGGAACGGTTGTACCGACGCTGCTGCCTAGGTTTGGAACTTTGCGACATTGTATGAGGCTGGTTAAGGGAGAGTGACTTGCGTTTTTTTTTATGTCAATTTGCATTGCTGACATGTATGTCCGCTCCTAGGTCGCTAGCCCCCACTGTCGTAGTGCTTCATTAGTATTTTTTTTTCTGGCGCGTCGGTGTAGTTCTGGCACGAACGCATCGATGACATGCTGCGCTAAATGATGTATATCGAACGATCTAATACCATGTAAAATAATGCCAGTGATTTTAGACACACAGTCGGTTTGGTCGCGCGATGTTGCAATCCAAACTTCAACGCGCGCAAATTCGCAACCCATCTCCAGGTTGGTCGTGTGGTGCGGGGCAACACCTCGAGGCCGACCACGCCCAGCTAGCGTGGCGGGGTGGGCGGCGCGCGTTCGGCACGTTCCATGTATGGCGCCGTTCAAGCACGGATCGCGTGGCTACCGGCGATGCATGCAATGGTCCCCGGCGCTGGGAGTCAGCCCAGGACAAGCCTGGACCAGTTGGAAATCGGTCACGGTAGTGTTCCATTTTTACGTGATTTTTAAGACTTAGGAATGCAGGCTATGACTGCTTGAATCCATGTATGCAAACAAATTCTGGGTGAATCGCAGATATGAGAAGGCGGAAGTGGGTCATGTTTGAATGCCGTGAACGCTGAAGATATTTAAGTGCCATGAACGCTGAAGAATAGCCCGAATGTGTTTGTGAATCATTGGAGTACTTCTTGGGTAGACCAGCATGTCACCATCGTTCACACGTCTAAAGCAGCAACAAAGCGATGAAATCTCAATGCTGCTGACGCTTCTCTCGTCATCAGAAGTGCTGGTGGATGTTTTCCCTCGCGATTAAGACGTTGCTAGTTTATTGCTAGTTATTCGCAACTGGCGTACGCTTTTGTCTGCAAGAATTCATGTTTCCAAGTCGGGCCCACATATTTCGAAGCGTGTCAGCGTCTCGCTTTCCTGAAAGGCTGGATCATGTAGGACACGGATAAGATATCCACATATCCGGATAGCCTGTATCAATGAGCGACCTCCCACAACCTCGCTGAAACGATTCGAGCCCACCGCCTGCCGCCTAGGCTGTTCGAGAGAAGTTGCCGGCATGCCCAAGTCATTCGCATGCCGGCCGCCGCCGGAGCGGGACGGCGCGTGGTTCGGAGACCGCTTCTATACCACTCCTGCTTGCTGCCACTACGAGACGACGGTGCAGGCGCTGCACGAGAGCGGCCTGGGGCAGGCCCACTACACGCCACCGCGCCAGTTCCGCCAGTTTGAGGGGTTGCGCTCCGAGGAGCTGCAGTTCCCGTTCACAATGCACGACAACCGCTACCAGCATGAGGACGACGGTGAGAACCTGCGTGGTACGTACCGGCGGCGGCGACCCTGCTGCGGTGCCGTCGGCTGCACTCCGACAGCGACCCCAGGCTTTCACCGACCAGGCGGACACTCCGACCAGCGCCGACCGCCTCCAGACCATCGCCAGGTCAGTCCGAACACACACAGCCCGGTCCAGATTCAGCAGACCACTGCCGGAAGGAGGGAGGGGCGGGGGGGGGGGGCGGAGGGAAGCCAAATGAGCTAAGCCTGCCCCAAAGCTGATCCGAAATCACCGTGTTTAACGTCCCTTACATCCAAAAGCAGGCACTGTCCCCGTGCGTATGGGCAGAGGGGGGGGGGGGGGAGGCAAGTTAAGCCGAGGAGTACGAGGGGTGGAGTTTAGCCATGACTTACGAATAAGATAAACTTGCCCCTCCTTCCGTCTTCCTGCCACTCATGGGCTCTCCCCACAGACAGGATGGCATTCGCTGGGTCCCTGAAGTCAATTCTCCAACCTCGCTGTACCCGCAGGGAGTCGTACGCGGTGGCGCCGGCGGCGGCGTGGCGCGCCTCGGTCTCGGACTCGGCCGGCGGCGGCCGGCGCCGGTTCCGGCACGAGCCGCGCTGCCCGTTCCTGGACGGCAGCTGCCAGCACCAGCCGGCGGCGCCGCGCCGCAGCGAGCCCGTCAGCACGGCGCCCGTGGCCGAGCACCACTAGCCGGGCGGCGGCGGGCGACGGCTACCCTGCGGCAGGTGGTCCAGAGGGGATCACCGGCAGCAGGCCTGTGCCTCCGGCCGGCCCCTCGGCGGACCGCGACCTTGATAGTGACGTCCGTCGATGGTGCGGAGACAGCAGCGGCTTCATCTGGCCCGGTCCCCTGACGTGTAGAGATCAGGAGCCGCAGCCCTCCAGGGATTGCCGATGTCCTTGACATTTTGCTGTTGCAGAACGGTGCACACCGGTGGTGGGGCTGCAAACACTGCGGCGAGATGCACTTTCAAACTAATACCTGCAGAGTCCGAGCACATTTGTCGTATTAACGAACAGTGCTGCCCAATGAAACGAACCTGTGGTCCTAATGTTCAAATGTTATATGGCAGTATTGTCTACGTCTACTGTGTGACGGATCGCTGGAACTAGTTGGTTATGCTGGGCATCTCGCGCAGCACACCAAAACAAATCGTGTGCATTAAAGAGATGTGCTTATGACAGTCATTCTGATCCGAGCCAAGTTTTACGTAAACACTCCCAAATCCTCACTGTGCCCATTACATGCTGTCTGGAAGCGCCAATACACATTTGCAAATGCTCTAAAAAAAAACATGTGCACATGAGACGCTCAGACTAATACTTGTCCACTCAACACGGGTTTCGAGGCCGGGCGGGCGCCGATTCTTCGCCAGCGGACCACACGCGTGGACGGCGTCGGATTACATGACATCACATACCACCATAGGCCACAGCCGGAGAAAGCGTATAACCGAGCAGACGGGCCGCGCGTGCCCCGGTGAGAATGCGGCAGCGTTTTAGGTTTGTAATCGGTAAAGGTTTGTAATCGTACGCAGACAAAGCGACCGCGCGCGTTTGACAGCGCTGTCGGAGGTATGTCGGCTGGCACCGAAACATCGTGCTCAGCCCACCGCACCTTTGCTGTTCTGACCCGCCGACGGCGTATTACTGAATGCTGGCAGCCGGGCGGAGCGTAGAGGCGAAGACGTGGTCGATATCTCTTGACTGGCCGACGGCACGTAATAACATATATGACGGCATCATCTGTCAGTGCAATACTGAGGGCAGCCAAGCGGCCGGAGCGTCAAGACAACTACGACAGAGCTTTATAGGTATTTGCCATCGCATGGGGAGAGTAGGATTGTGCGCGTTTCGTGGCCGACGACCAACAACACCTATTTGTTGGATGCACTTGGCAGTGTATTACACAGCGCTGGTGGTTGGCCAGAGAGTGGAGACGAAGTCGTAACATGATACTCGGGTGGATAAACCTGCTTGCTTCATGTCACACCCGACAGTTGCTGAATTCTGGTCACAGAGCATGGAGACAAAAACACGTTAGCGTTTAGCAAATATCTATAATCGCGTGAGAGAGAAGCGACTGTGTACATTTCATAGCCCTACCGGAGGGCTAACGAACGGCACCGTCACGTTGCTCTCTGTCGATGGCACCGGTTAGTACGGGTTTCTCCCGGATTTAGCCCACGCTCGTTTACAAGTTGGGCGAGGGGGGGGGGGGCTGAAGTTCAGGAGCCCCCTCAATTAAACATGGAACCACGCCCCTGGACGGGGTAGCTGCCTCCTTGCTCCTTAGCATTGCCGGCCTTACTCACGGATTGACGGCATGTCTCGCAAGCTACTGGCGCGAGGTTCGTTTGTGTTTTAGTACTATTTAATATGGTTGAGACATAAAATGAGTGCGCTGCTTTTGAAAGTATTGCAGTCTTCCTTAACGTCAATCCACCGCGCCCAGCAGTGGTAACGACCATGCGCGCGTTGAGAGTCGTTTCCATGCCGCGCCTTTGATCTCCCGCATTTTTTATCCATTTATATGAGCCGTGTTGGATGCAGGGCGTGTACTTAGAGGGCATTACGAGGTCATCTGAGTGATGTCACCGATGATAACATAAGAAACCCGGCTTCTTATGACAGACAGACAGGCTGTCTGTAATGGCATGTCACGGGCTGCTAAGTTGATTAAATAAAACAGCAAACAACTGGGCAAAACAACAAATGTGTCATCTTGGCAGCCCAGAAGCTGTCAGCAGGCTACTAAAAACAATTCCTTAGATGTCAAAAATAGAACTGATAGTGTTTTCGGCGCACAAGAGTCATGGAATGGCGCTCTTGATGTGCTGCGGTGAGTGGGAGGGTTACTCGGGAGATCCGGATGACCATATAAAGGATAGGGGTGGGAGGGTGCTGGTGAGTTACAAGTGTGTGGGTGCAAACTGTGTGGAAATGTCTGTTTACTTTTTGATGTGTGTTGTGTGGTTCCTGGAGTCAGAACTTGCCCCAGATTAACCCTCTGCTTGTCTGATTTACGCATTACCGAACAGCTGAAGGGGCGGTTCAGGCCGGGACTACAGGCTGCACCACCTGGGCCCCGCCCCGCCCTGCCGATTATTGCTTTTGCATTATTGCTGCTATTAATAAGTCATGCTTAACTTGAGGCTGGGATTGCCTACGTTTCTGGCATACTTTAATTATAAATGCCTAATAGTTGCTAGTCCGGTTGAGTGCTGTAAATTTTACAGAAATGTGTGACAGAAAAAGCAAATGAATTGAAGTTTGTCATGTCTCCTATGAGGACTGAAATTTTCAGAAGCTCTAAATTGTACAAACCTTGATTCTCTGCAGAAAAAATTACCTTTTAAAATCTGGTTTGCTCATCTGGTGCACATCCTAAAAATTTAGCCAGACATAACATGATTATTATTTTCCAACTCTTGCATGGTCATGAGTCTTTGAAATGTTTATTTCAGAGTCCATGATGAGCATGACTAAGGCTTCATTTTCCACTGTTATGGGTGCCAACCTGCCTGCACCATAAATTTAGAATAGAACTGCATATTTGAGATTGGTCATATCTGATTGCTGTGTGCAAACATGGTGAGACCAGTATCTTGGGACCATAAGCACCAATCAAGTAAATTGTATGCATGGAATCAAGACAGGTGTTAGGTTTGTATTCATGTTTAAAAAGTGTTTTGTACAAACACCGTGTATTGCAGCTTAAGCAAAGCTATACTAGCACTTAGTAGGATGTATATGTCCACTTAGGTAGGATTGGGATAATAAAGCTTGGGGGTGCAGATGCCCTGTCAAGGGGATGCATATTTCCAGCCATTGTCCATGGGTGCAAACACTCTTTAATGTTGCAGTGTGCAACAAACCATTTATGCTTTTTGATGCAATTTAGTCATAGCTTCTAGATATACTACAACTCTCCTGCTGTCAGATATACTAGAAAACACTAGTTCTTATTGCTTTCTTATTGCTTGCCATGTAAACTGATGCTAGTGTTAAATGTCTTACCTGTTCCCCAGCATGCTTTGTTATTTATGTGTGCAAAATTTATCCAGTGAAAACAGGGTGATAGGAGCCTGGGGTGCCCCCATACCACCACACCAGGAAGTTACCCAGAAAGCAGATTGAGCCACTCAAATCTGAGTGCACCTTAGCAACATGTAGGCTGTGGAATCATATGTGTGTCATCAAAAAACCTTTAAACACACAGAATGAATTAGGATGTAGTTTATCATCAGTAGTTGGGGCATGCCTTTAATTGCAATAATTTCTGTGAATCTAGGTGACTTCCAAAGAACTTCAAAAATATTTTATGAGGTCTGTGTTTTGTCTGAATTACTTATGTTGCCATAGGCATTTGGTGTTGGTTGGAAACATATTCTGTCAAGAGGAATGGTCAAGATGTATGTTGAGGCCTTTGGTCAGTCTAAAATAATACCATCCCTCTGCCCTGGACCAAAAGGCTCACACAGCCCTTCAGTGCAAAGCTGCTGCTGCCAGGCAACACAGTGTGCTCAGCCTCACTATAGATCCTGTGCTCTACCCCAGTTCACTGTGTGGTGCCCAGCTGGCAGCAATGGAGCGCAAGTTCACCAAGGTGCTGAGCCGGCCGGGCATGGCTGCACAGCTCCGAGAGAATGTCAGCCAAGCCGTCAAGGAGACCACCATACAGGTGGGTGTCTGGCGGGACCTTTCCCCCATTACGGGAACCTGTCACGGGCCTGACCTGCCTGGCTGTCAGTTTGTTCATGGGCATGGAAGTGTATTTTTACGCATGTGGTGGGGATGCCCTCAACAGGTCGCATTGAGGTCAAGTCATGCTGAGCAGAGCTTGTCACTGGCACCTTGAGCCCACCACCTGCATAATACCGCTTTGCTTTAGTGGTTAAGCCTGCCATCACCCTTTTTGCCAGATAAGTCCACAGGAAATAGTTTGTTTGTGCCATACAGTGGTATGCCCTCAGTCACTCTGTGCGAGGTTGACCCATGTGTTCAGGCACCAGCCAACTGCCATGCATGTATTCGGACCGAGCCGATCACTCCTTATGTGACCCGGACTGGGGGGGGGGGGGGGGGGGGCGGGTGGATCACCAGTCTGCCTCACCATCCCCTCGGACACAGGGATGACAGTATTTAGGGAGCTGTATCCCACCGCTGGTTATGGTATTGTCGTGTAAGTTGGCCGGCACTGAATGGATTCTGGAGCAATGCGTTGCGTCTGGCCGAATTTTCCACACTTTTTGAGCCAGACCCTTCGGCCGGCAGTGGACCCGAAAGACTCTCAGGAGATTGATCGAAGCGGCATGGATCCTCACTGTCATTCCATAACTTATATGGTGGTGACGGCACCCAGGGAAAGCTATGAGGGGGGGGGGGACAAAGACAGAGGGAAGTCCGTGTTGCAGTACATTTAGTTGTAGTCATGGGCCTGCAAGACCTGGTACATTGATACCTCGGTTACCATCGGCGTCATCGGAAGGTCGCGCATTTGGTGTACAGTTGATATATGACACAGGTGAGCAAATGTCTCAGTCGGGAGACAGAACACGAACGGAATTACACCAGGCATGATATCCCAGCCGGAAAAAACCCAGCCGTCGTCTGGACGCGCCGAAAGCTTTCTTTGTGGCCCTTATGGTCTGGTGAAGTTTGCTTCAGCGCGTCACAGTTCCTGGCACGCCCGACTCGTGCGTACTAATTCGTTTGTTTAGTACACACTCCCGGGCTGAGTTGACGCTCGTGTCGGTCCTTGACGTGCCCGAGCTCTACTGCGTAGATGCTCAGTTGACTTGTGCGGAGGCCTACGCTATGTCTGACCTTCGCTCGCTCGGTGACCAGTGCGGTTGACACGTGCTGGGGGCTTTACGGGCCCAACGTCCGTTTAACGTGTGACACGTTGTAAACCGGACTGTCAGCAGTGTTTTGCAATGACCCGTCGTCGCCCTACAGACCCAGAGGCACATCACGGAGCCGCTGGACTACGAGACCTACGTCTCCAAGAACATGACCATCCTGCGGAACGACCCGCATCGGGAGCTGCTGCTCTTCCCGCTGGACGATGTCGAGGTAGGGGGCGGCGCTGTACGGTATTGAGGTGAGAGAGGTGCCACTGGACGATGTTGAGGTGGTCACGGCCACCGCCGACAGGCTGAGATCCATGGGCTCATCGGGCGGGCTCATCTTTGGTGCGTTTGGTACATATGGTACATTGCCACCAGAAAGTCGCCGGAATGCCAAATGGTGTAACTAGGTGTCACCGTAATACCAAATGGTTAAACTAGCTGTCACCATAATACCAAATGGTTGAGCTAGTTGTCACCATAATAGCAAATGGTCGAACCAGTTTCATCATAATACCAGATGGTTGAACTAGCAGTCACCAGAATACCAAAATTATGAAGTAGTTGTCATCAGAATACGGTTTGGTATTCTGGTGACTTGCTGCCTAACACTTTTTTTCCAATCATTTGACGTTAACGTGTGATTGGAAAAACGGCAGACAATCTCCCAGTCCGTTATCTTTATGCGGGGTAAACATACGATGCAGTCGAATTGTGTCGTATGGGCCCGAATACGTGAAGGTTAAGAGCCAATTTTAACTCATGTGAATTATGAACCATTCACTCAAATGGAAGCGTGGTTTTCCCTTTCATTTCACCAAGAAGTGGCGTGCCTTTTTCGCACCATTGTCGCCTAGTACGAGTGTGCTCGTATTGAGGCACCTTGAATAGCCATTTGTGAGCTCGTAAATTTCAGAAGTTATTGATGTTTCCCTAGTAATCCCGCATCTCACATCTTGCATCGCGTAGGGCGACAAACCCCGGGACCCACTGTCGGAAGACAAACCCCGGAACCTTCTGCCGAGCGGCAAACCCGGGACGCACCGTCAGGCGACAAACCCCGGGATCCACCGTCAGGCAACAAGCCCGGGGATCCACCGCCGGGCACTAAACCCCGGGACCCACCGTCAGGCGACAAAGCCGAGGATCCACCGCCGAGCACTTAACCCCGGGACCCACCCTCGGGCGACCAACCCCGGGACGCACTGCCGGATGACGGACCCCGGGACCCACCGCCGGGCGAAAACCCGGGACCCACCGCCGGATGACGGACCCCGGGACCCACCGCCGGGCGACAAACCCGGGACCCACCGCCGGATGACGGACCCCGGGACCCACTGCCGGGCGACAAACCCGGGACCCACCGTCAGGCGACAAAGCCGGGTATCCACCGCCGGGCACTAAACCCCGGGACCCACCGTCGGGCGACCAAGCCCCGGACCCACTGCCGATGACGGACTCTGGGACCCACCGCCGGGTGACAAACCCGGGACCCACCGTCAGGCGACAAACCCGGGGATCCACCACCGGGCACTAAACCCCGGGACCCACATTCAGGCGACCAACCCCAGGACCCACTGCCGGATGACGGACCCCGGGACCCACCGCCTGGCGACACACCCGGGACCCACCGCCGGGCGACAAACCCTGGGACCCACCGGCGGGCGACGAAGCCTACGATGTCTGTCCGTCGCTCGGCAGCAACACTCGCGTGAGCAGCACAGCGCGGCGCTGGGGACCTCGCTGGAGCAGCAGGCGCTGGAGCGGGCCGAGCGGCTGGTGATTCGGCAGTGCCTCGAGACCTACACCGCCCGGCTGGTCTCCGTCAAGTACAAGTACGACGCCTACGCCGGCACCTACCTGCAGCTGCCCAGGTGAGTGGTGCTTGCCCACAACCTCTCGCGTGTGTGCTGGAGCGCTGATGATGGGCTGGAATAGTGCTGATGGCTGCCTGCATATGGTCTAACCATATATGATAGGGTTATGAAGCATGATATGCCCAATCGACATCTGAAAGCGTCTGACAAAGTTTCATCCCCGAATGTGTGTCACTGCTTTTTTGGTAGCCCAAGCTGCTTGTTATCCAGCGTGCTATGCCATCCAGCGTGCTCTAAGGAATACGGCCATAAGTCAGCGGCGTCACTGACGCGACGCGGCGTCCCGTACCTGTCTCCGCGGCTCGACGCCCCTCGCTCCGAGCGTGTGCCCCCGCCCGCAGGTTCCCCCGGGCGCCGACGCTGGCGCCGTACGTGTGCGAGGCCGACCTGGACGTGGACTGCACCGACTCGCTGGAGGTGCAGGCCGTCTCCAAGTCGGGCTTCCTGCTGCGCGGCACCGACGGCGCCGGGGACAAGCTGTTCGCCAAGTCGTTCAAGCGCCGCTTCGCACGTCTCAGGTGGGTGCTGCGTGACCGAGCACGACGGACGCCCGCTGACCGCCGTCAGCTGTAGCCGGTCCGGCCTGTGACTGCTGGAGACTGTGGTGGTCCCTGCGTGGGGTGGTCCCGGTCTGTGACGGCTGCGGTCTGTGGTGGTCCCTGCATAGAGTGGTCCCGGCCTGTGACGGCTGCGGTCTGTGACTGCTGGGGACTGTGGTGGTCCCTGCGTGGGGTGGTTCCGGTCTGTGACGACTGCGGTCTGTGGTGGTCCCTGTATAGAGTGGTCCCGGTCTGTGACGGCTGCGGTCTGTGGTGGTCCCTGCGTGGAATGGTCCCGGTCTGCGACGGCTGAGGTCTGTTGCGGTCCCTGCGTAGGGTGGTCCCGGTCTGTGACGGCTGAGGTCTGTTGCGGTCCCTGCGTAGGGTGGTCCCGGTCTGTGACGGCTGAGGTCTGTGGTGGTCCCTGCGTGGAGTGGTCCCGGTCTGTGACGGCTGCGGTCCGTGACTGCTGGGGACTGTGGTGGTTCCTGCGTGGGGTGGTCCCGGTCTGTGACGGCTGCGGTCTGTGGCTGATGGTTGCGTCGTGCGATAGCATCTTCCCCAGCCCTTGATAGTGGTCTCGTCTGGTGGTGAAGGCCGTGACAGGGATGACTATGACCCGTGACGGCGACACCTGCGCCCTGCAGCTCAGCACCAGAGTTTAGAGGTGGCGTCATTCAGCACAGTCATATGTGTCCTCGAACTCGCGCTTGCCAAGATCATGCTGAACCCAGTCATGGCCGCTGCCTTCGTAGCAGTGCCGGAAGGCGACCCGGGTTACGTTTTGTCAGAATGGCTTATTTGTATTAAGTCGCAGTGCATGGACTGTGATCCATGTGGCTGATGTGATGGGGCGTCATTTATCGTCGTAATACACTGTTCACGTCACCTAGATGGTCTTCGCACACCAGACGTAATATAAGCTGCGGTATTATTCAACCCAAAATTATGCTGTAACGGGCGTGAGATGCACCCAACATTGTGTGTCCACCGCCGACAGGCAGGGCGCTGACGGCAGCTACGTGCTGGAGTTTTACAAGGATTCCAAGTCGTCTGAGAGCAAGGGTGCCATACCTCTGGACCTGGTGGCCGAGGTGGTCAAGGTGCGTTCGGCAGCATGTGATACGTGTAGGGCAGCCAGTCGAGCCTGCGGAAGATAAGAGTTGTTCTTACAGTGTGGTCCTGTCAGACTGGCCAACGCATGATTTGAATTATAGTTTTTGATATTTGAGAGACAACCTTATACGTATGTGCACACAAACGCAAACACACAAATGGGCGCTCATGACCCACAGCGGTCGATGCGCCCTAAAACCCCAAATCATCGTCATCATCATCACCAAACGCTAACGCACGGGTTTAGGATAGTGCACGGAGAACCCCGCAAGTACAAAGGGACAGCAGCCGTCAACGGTCATAAGCATGCGAGTGACGTCAATACTGTCAAACCACTTTTCCCTGCCCATTGTCTAACCACTCCCTCCGCGCCGCAGCACCAGAAGCGTGGGAAGCACAGTTTCGAGCTGCGGACGACAGACGGCGGCAAGGCATACCTGCTCACGACGGAGACTGAGGCTGAGCTGCTGGAGTGGGTCCAGACGGTGGGCCGCGCCGTGGCCCTCACCAAGGACGACCGACTGAGCGTCGCCTCAGACGTGTCGGCCACTGACAGCTCGGGTGGGTGTGGCTTTCGGTGCGACCTCGGGTTGTGCTGATCGGCCGAGCGTCGCCTCAGACGTGTCGGCCAATGACAGCTCGGGTGGTTGTGGTTTTGGGTGCGGCCTTGGCTTGTACTGATCGGCTGAGCGTCGCCTCAGACGTGTCGGTCAATGACAGCTTGGGTGGGTGTGGCTTTGGGTGTGACCTCGAGTTGTACTGATTGGTTGAGCGTCGCCTCAGACGTGTCGGCCAATGACAGCTGGGATGGATGTGACCTCTGCACAAAAACGTCTGTCGTGTGAACGTCTGTCTGTCACTGACGCTTTGATTGCTGTCTGACGGAGGGAGCTTGACCGACGCCGGCTGGCCGAGCCAGACCAGAGTCGGCGGGCGTCAGGCGGGGGACGTGCCGCATATGCAGCGCTCCCCTGGGTTGGCCGAGAGGAGCGACAGGGAAGACCGCCGCCCGTGGCCCGGTGGGGCGCCTGAGAGCATCACCGTGCCGCATGACCGGGCGCGTGGCCCGCACCCTCCGCTGACCCGCTCCCCGGCCGGGCGCGCAGGCTCTACGCTGCCGGCCAGCTCGGACGAGCGGTTCGGCACGCTGCGCGGCCTGGACCAGAGCCTCAACCCGCAGCTGAACCGGTACGCGCACGAGACCGACTACATGATCGGCCAGGCGCGCGGCGAGGGGCGGCTGCCCGTCTTCCAGCTCTACCCGGACATCCAGGTGGGCGGCGGGCCGAGGGAGTCGTGGCCAGCGGGCAGGCCGGAGACCGCGCCACAACACCGGTGTCGTCGCACTCGGCGTGGGCCGGCCGGTGTTCATAGACAGCTTCAGGGAGCGAACCAGAATGCGAGCACAGTACGCCTGCTTGGGATGAGTCGACCCCCTGGGAAACAGACGTCACCTGGCTGCTGAGCTTTGACTGGGCGGGCCAGGCTGCTTGGTCTGTAGGCTGTCTCAGTTGTGCCTGCTGCGCCGGTGTTCAGACCGCAGCTGGCGGCCCGGAGCGGCCCGTCATCTCGGTGCCGCAGCGGCGTGTCGTTCTGGGTGGCTTGACACAGTGTGTCCTGCCTTTGGTTTGTTTGGTGCCGCTCCCAGTCAGCTGCGTCCCATGACACCCTCTGCCCCCCCCCCCCCCCCCCCGCCTCTGGATGACCTGGCGCCGCCCCCAGTCAGCTGCGCTCCATAACGCCCTCTGTCCCCTCGCCTCGCAGTCGACGCCGCTCTCGACGGCCTCCTGCGCCGACCACCTGCGGACGGAGCCGTTCTCAGAGGTGCACGGCGTCACAGTGCTGGTGCGCTGCGAGAGCCTGCAGTTCCGGCTCCAGATGCCCGTGGACGACACTGCCGAAAACCTCAGCCAGGTCAGACGGAGAACCTCTCCCAGATTAGGCGGAGAACCTCTCCCAGGTCAGATGGAGAACCTGCAGTCTGGCCGCACGGAAGGCCTTCCCGAGTCAGACGTGGAATTCGAACTGTTTGGGCTGAGAACCGGGACGAGCGAGATGGATTGGTAACCCTTGACAGGACAGACGTGGATGCCGGACTTAGAACCTAGCTCGGGTCATTTTAAGCCTGGAATTGCAGCTGAGGCTGGGATGATAACCAGACTGATAGGTATCTCTTATCTTGGTTATGCATCGGGTGTTGGTTTCTGATACACATCAGTGAGTTTAGGATCCAGTGATGTTTATATATGTATGGGATGTCTCATCTGCGTTTCTATTTTGTCGTTTTTGTTTTGCTTGCTTATGCGATGCCTTGTGGTCGCATTTCACGAAACGTGTGCTCTATTCCCTGTGAAATTTATTCTTTGTTAAGCTGTTGCATATGAAATGAATGGCACATGCCGATGTCTGTTTTCCACTGATTGTGCACGGTATTTACCGACACATGAGCCGCGTGTTTGTGTCGTCTCTCCGCCGGGTTCGACGCAGATCGAGCCGTACTTCACCTCCCTCTGCCTGTACGACGCCAAGCAAGGCCGCAAGATCTCCGAGGAGTTCTTCTTCGACGTCAACGATCCGTACATCCGCAACCTGCTGCCGAAGGCGGTGTCCAAGCACAAGGAGACGGGGACCACGCTGCTGCCGGACCTCATCCACGCCCCGCTCGAGTGGCTCTCCTACCCCCGACAGGTCAGCCGGGGCCGCTGCTCATGGGTCGCCCTCCTACGTCGGATCGGCGCCCGGTATCGGGCTCGCGCGAGGTCTTTGCTGTTGCTCGAATGGTTCTCGAAGTTGTGTGTGTCGGCTGGTCTGGTGAGGTAGTGGGACATAGCGCACGACAGTCTTTGATCACCCCTGTCTTGGACACGCCAACCCAGCGTAGCCGATTTCGGCTTCATCGCGAGCGCATCGCCGCGCTCACAAGCCGCGGTACAGAGGCAGGACGCGCCGGCTGACCCCGGCGGTGGGCCGCTCCGAGCCGGTCGGGTCGGTCCGGTCGGGCGGGGCGTCGGAGCCGTGTCCGAGCCGGCCCGCTTAGCCGCGCCCTCCGGCAGGCGCTGTTCACGGTCCAGCAGCCACACAGCGAGATCTTCCTGGTGGTGCGCGTGGAGAAGGTGCTGCAGGGCTCGGTGGCCGTCTCCTGCGACCAGTACAGCCGGCCGGCCGACGCCAAGCACCTGGCCAAGATGCACTGCCAGATTCGCCAGTCGTGCGACAGGTGCGTGCGCGGCGCGCCGGCCCGCTGCGGCGGCCCCCGGCCGGCCGCCGCTGCTACTGTCACCGACAGACGCCCGACGATGTGGCGCATGTCATGTTGCGTCATATATTTACTACGAATCGCTCTATATGCATGGTTTAATGTTTGATTCGGGTCGATGGGTTACAAATTACACGAGAAAAATGAAGATGTGATGACTCATCAAGAGTTTGAAAAAAGCCTACACAGTCAAACAAAACCCCCGTTTTCACATTGGTGAGGTTTCGATGTGGGCGCAGCACGGCTCCGGGAGGGCATAACGACTGGAGCGCATTGGCCTTGCGTGTGCGGAGTCCTAGACGATGCACTGGCGGTGATGTGAGTGTGTGTGGAGGCTGTCGCGTGGTTCCGCGGCGCCGGTGCGCGCGGCCGCCTGTCTGAGCGGTGGCCCGTGCCAACAGGTTGGGCGGCTACCGCATGCCGTTCGCGTGGTCGGCGCGGCCTCTGTTCCGCTCGACGGCCGATCTGGACCCGGCAGACTTCGCCGCTCTCTACCGGCACGAGCCCAACAGGATGACCGACGAGGACATCCTCAAGCTGCTGCAGGACTGGCGCAAGTAAGGCGCGCGGCCCCGGCGCGAGCTCGGATTATACAGCCCCGACCGCATGCCCGCGGCGCCGACCGCACCGCCCGGGTGATGGCTGCTCATGGGCGGGTGACGCGCTTATCCCCAGAGCTGATCGTTAGTTTGGTAACGAGTGGTGTGACTGGATGAAATGTGTGGAGGTGCTTGAAAATCTCGGAAAGCTTTCAGTGATACGCTACACCAATAGCGTCTCGGGGCTGCTGTTGGAAATCGCAGGGCTGCGATCACTGCGGCGGCTCGCTCAAGTGCTGCGCTGCGCGGGGACTGGACAGCACGTGGTCGGCGGTTTGTTCCCTCAGCCTGTCATCAGCTGCTCAGTGGGCCGCTGTGAGGGTGCAGCCCGGCCGGGCGCCAAGCCCAGCTGAGCCCGGTCCGCCCGGCGGTGCCGCGACTGAGCCGCGCCCTGGCCGTGGCCGTGCGGTCTGTGACGCGACCGGCGGTGCTGTTTCAGGCCGGACAAGCTGAGCCGGCTGTCGGTGATCCCCGGTTCTCTGAAGGTCTCCGTCCAGCTGCACGGCGGCCAGCCGCTGGAGAGTGAGTGCTGCCGCTGCAGTGCGGTCGGGTCACAGTGCAGAGGTGTGGCCTCACGGCAGACTTCGTCACAGGGTCCGACTGTGGCTCCCGACCGTCCACTGCGTGCCGCCGTCTCTGGCCCGCGATCTCTTCCGAAGGTTGTCTGTGCCACCCTTCTCCCCGTCGCAGGGCCACGGTCTGACCTCAGTCAAACCGCGCGTTGCTTGTGTGACATTCCAGCGCTGGCGCTGCGTGAGCGTACCTCTCGCACTGTCCCGGTGCGACCGTGTCCCGCACCGCCGGCAGACTGCCTGTCGTCGTCGCTGGTGCCGCTGCGGCCGTTCGGCGCTGGCGCTGCGTGAGCGTACCCCTCGTACTGGCCCGGTGCGACCGTGTCCCGTGCCGCCGGCAGATTGCCTGTCGCCGTCGCTGGTGCCGCTGCGGCCGTTCGCGGTGCCGCCGTCATCGCCGCCCACGCTGTGGCTGCAGACGCTGCCGGCGCCGGCGCCCGAGCTGGCCTCGCCTCACACCGGCTACACCAACCTGCTCTACGTCTACCCGCGCCGCCTCAAGTACGACGCGCAGAAGACGTTCAAGGCGCGCAACATCGCCTGCCGCGTGGAGCTGCGCCAGGGCGACGACGAGGCGTCCGCGCCGCTCCAGGTCGGTTCCTCTCCGGCGCCGGGCTGTCGGCGTTCGCTGATCGGTACGGGACGCGTCAGATGCCTCCCAGATTCTGCCTGTCTACGGATCTGCCGTGCGTTCGGTCAGTTATTCTGGATCGCTGAGTATTCTAGAGGCGAACACGCCGTGATTTTTCTTGCGGAGGCTGAGTTGATGCTCAACTGATGTTGCAGTTTCAAGCACCCGGACTGGTTCGGGGAGGGTTTTTCTGGTTATGTATGCTTCCGCCGGACGTGCAGTCATTCTGCCGACTTCAGAGGGCGCTGAGCCGCCATCGGCCCCGTTGGTGACCTTGTCTCTCACCGGCAGTGCTTCTACGCGCGGCCGGGCCAGGGCGCGAGCTACGTGACCAGCCAGATGACGTCGGTGCTGCACCACGAGACGAACCCCAGCTGGGGCGCCGAGATCAAGCTGGGCCTGCCGCTGGCCATCGACGAGCGGCACCACCTGCTCTTCACCTTCTACCACGTCAGCTGCCAGCCCAAGACGGCCAAGCGAGGACAGGAGGCGCCAGACACGCCCGTCGGATACAGCTGGATACCCCTGCTCAGCAAGGGCAGGTGAGGCTGGACACTGCTGATCAGCAAGGGAGGGTGGGTCAGGGTACCATTGATCAGCAAGGGAGGATGGGTCAGAGTACCCTTGATCAGCAAGGGTAGGGAGGCCGGCGTTTTACGGCTGCCCAGCAATGGGAGGAAGTGTGTTCATTTGTTCCTGTCACTGGGCCAAGGCAGGACCACTCGTGAACACCTGAAAGGCTAATGCCTCGCAGCAGTAAGCCAGGTTATGCAGAAATGAGGGGCTGGTGGCTTCTTGTATCTTTGACCTTCGTCTTTCGTCTGCTGACAACAGGTAAAGCATTCTACTGAGGCTCAATCAGAGGAAGCCCTTTTTCCAACTGGCAGGGCGCAGCTGGATTGCTTTTTCCATGTGTTCTTCTCTTCATTCAATGGTCCAATTGTTTCATTATATCATCTCCTTGCCACGACATCGTCAATTGATTTTTGGTTGGCTGTCGTCGCGCGTCAGGTGCTTGCCGCGGTATCATGTGTTCGTGAACGGCCGCTGCTGACCCTGACCTGTGACCTCATCACCTTGACCTGTGACCTCACTCTGATCTGTGACCCCTCACAATGACCTGCGACCTCCTCACCACGTGTGACCACACCATGTGCCCTCACTCTGACCTGTGACCCCCTCGCAATGACCTGTGACCTCACCATGACCTGTGACCTCACCATGACCTATGACCTCCTCACCATGACGTGTGACCTTACCATGTGACCTCACTCTGACCTGTGACCTCCTCACCGTGACCTGTGACTCGGGCAGGCTGAACCTGGACACGCAGACGGTGGCCGTGGCCTCCTACCTGCCAGCTGGCTACCTGGCTGTGGAGCCGCTCGGGCTGGGCAAGGGGGTGAGTGACGCCGACGGCGGGGAGCCAACACTCCGGCACCGGCCGGACCGGCCGGACCGGCGCGCCGCGCAACCGCCACCGGCGCCGCTGGAGCCGAGCTGTGGCGGCGATACCTCCCACTTAGCGAGGAGTCTGAGACTCCGCCGTGGTATCATTATCGGCTGGCACCAACCGTGACCCGGGCAAACGGGTCTGCGTGGGCGTCACCGCTCTGCTCCAAGCTTCCTGATCTTCAGACGTTAGAATATGTGTTTGTTTATAGGAAATCAGAAGTTCATTTTCAGCACGACGCCACGCGCATGGGGTCGAACTAGTGTAAAATGAGGGACGTCACTTAGGTTTGTATGTGTGGTCATTTGTCATGTTTGGCGTTAGCCCAAGGGCGCCAAATGACCGTAGATGTCGGCGCTTCGCAAAACCTCAGTTGCCATCATGACACTAGCTCGAATGCTGAAGGTGTAGCTCACTTCTTTACTTCCGTCCCGCGATGATTCATTTGTTCGTGGAAAAATAGTTGTACCTATGTTTGCTTTATCTGTGATAAGGCTAAGAGCACAGCAACTTCACTTCCTGTAACTTGGCTTTGCACAGAAGGTCTAAATATTGTGTTAAGGCAAAGGGCACGGAACATGCACTCCTGTAATAAAAGGCTTTGTACAGAAGGTCGGAAGTCGTCAAAACACCTCCAAGTCGCTAACAAACGTGGATGCCGATACTAACGCATGTGTTTCAGCACGTCGTCCCGTGTTGTCTGTGCATGCTCCCGCGAAGACACCGCGGCTTGCGGCCTCAGTGTAACAATGTATCGAGGACCGAGCCAGGCCCCACCCCCCGTGAGGCGGTGCGTGCACGTGAGCTCGAGCGATGTCTTGTCGGTGCCCGCAGTACGCCGGGCCCGGCATCCACTGGGTGGACGGCCAGAAGCCGCTGTTCAAGGTCACGTTCCGGCTCGTCTCCACCGTCTACACCACCGACCAGCACCTGCACAACTTCTTCCTGCACGCGCACCGACTGCGCGAGACGCGCATGCCCACCGTGCACGCGTCCGACAACGAGACCACCAAGCAGGTCAAGGTCCGTGCCGACCGGCGCCCCGGTCCGCCTCGCCCACCGGCGTTCGGCGGCGCCGGCCGAGGCCGCCCGTCGTCCTCCGTGTGCCGTGTATTGTATAAACCGTCGCCGCCGACTAAGTCGACTAACGTCCGTCGCGGAGGGTGCTGTCATTAAGCGGCCTCTGTGTTCTAGGTGGTGCACCATCTGCCTAAAATACTCAAGGTTCGGTCAGTCGGTTCGTGTTGCTGTTTGTGTCGGTGCGCCCTTTACGTGGCTTGGCTTCCCGGGCGCTGGCTGGGTGGGCACCGCGTCGTTGCTGCTTCAGCCCTCCCGCGTGGTTCCGTCCCATCGCTGCACGCCGCCGGCACCTAAGCTCACCGTCACTGCACGCTGCACTGGTCACTGTCTGTCTTGCCGGTATCGACCACTGCACGCATGCCTGTCCTGCCGTTAGTGGCCACTGCACGCGTGTCTGTCCTGCCGGTATGGGTCACTGCACGCGTGTCTGTCCAACCGATATTGGTCGCTGCATGCATGTCTGCCCCGCCAGTATAAGTCACGTTGCGCGTGTCTGTTCTGCCGGTATCGACCACCGCACGCATGTCTGTCCTGCCGTTAGTGGTCACTGCACGCGTGTCTGTCCTGCCGGTATTGGTCACTGCACGGGTGCCTGTTGTGTTGGTATTGGTCTCTGCACGCGTGTCTGTCCTGCCGGTATTGGTCACTGCACGCGTGTCTGTCCTGCCGGTATTGGCCACTGCACGCCTGTCTGTCCTGCCGGTATTGGCCACTTCACGCGTGTCTGTCCTGCCGGTATTGGTCACTGCACGCGTGTCTGTCCTGTCGGTATTGGTCACTGCACGTGAGTCTGTCCTGTCGGTATTGGTCATTGCACGTGAGTCTGTCCTGTCGGTATTGGCCACGCACGCGTGTCTATCCTGCCGGTATTGGCACTGCACGCGTGTCTGTCCTGCCGGTATTGGTACTGCACGCGTGCCTGCACATGCAGTCAGGATCCTGTTTTGGCATGTTCTGCTGCTGGTAGATATGTTAGAGCTAGAGCCCCAACGTGGCTGAACAGGACGATGGTCTGAGCCCACGCTGCCCACTCTGCCGATGGTCTGAGTCCGCGCTGGTGCTTGCGCGCCTACTATCCCATTTGAAAAGGACCTGTGTGTATCCTCGTGAGGTCGTGAAAGAGAAAATGCCAAGTTCACTCCCACAGTTTTTTTAAATGCCGTGATCTGAATGCGGAAAATTCAAGTTTTGAAGTTAACGAATATGACCAGTGGCTCTGGACTGTTGTCGTTTAATCTGAACCCTGGAAGTATGCGTGCAGCTCCCCGTTTGCCATTCGCCGTTCTTTCTGTTGGCCTTTAGGCTTAAGGGAGCAAAAGCTTGTCTGATTGGAGGCTTTTGTTACCATCATGGACTGCACTAGCCGACATATTTATGTCTAACATGCCTCTTGAACTGACTCGGATTTTATGAATGTTCAGTGAAACTGCCGCTGTTCTCTTTATGGCCGTCCCGGTTCTGGAGATGCTCTTTACATGGATATATAGGTCACGATGCATATGTTGGATTTAAGTAAGACGTAGTTAACCATACAAAGCTGATCTGTATATGGACGCTGGTTCAAGTAATTGTAGTTCGGATGCAGTTTTTTTTAGCATAATTAAAGTGAATGTGCAGTGTAGTAAATAGTCTTTGCTCATGTTATAGACGAAGGGCCTAAACTCAGAGTCAATATATTTCGCCTTTCACATCCTTAAGGGTAAAAAAAAACTGCAAGAATGAATAAGCAGTCCTGAAGAAGCGAAAAACGGAATAAAACGACTCTGTTTTTAGCCATTGGCTGCGATATGAGCAAAGCTATAGGCTATTCACACCCATATGAACGGCCGGTTATTTGCGCGGAGCACTACACTGGAGCGCGGCGCCGCCCCGGGCATGGGAAGCACGCGTGTGTCATGGGAGATTAGAGATGAGGTGTAATGTAGCTTTCCCTGCATTTTGACAGCCACCAACGCTTCCTTAGCTTTTGCGAATGCATACGTGGCCCTCTTCCAATGTTTCCGAGGTGCGCTGGTACGGTTGCTTGGTCGACTTTTATGTGTTTTTGCATGTGTTTTTTAAGGTGCTTGCTGTTTGTCAGACCAGCTGGCGCCCTGTGTGATGTTCAGTTGTGTGTGTTTTCCCTGCTTTTCATCCGGTGTCAGGCATCATTTTTGCTCGGCGGACTGAGTGTTCTATTCGCCGGTCTTTAGCCGCTTTTTTCTGTCTCTTCTGGTGTGCGGTCGGTACTACACTTCTGTCGCGATGTTTGGAGGTCGTGCGAACGTAGCAGTCTGCCTAATCAGAGATCGTCTAACAGCCTGTATTTATATGTACCTCTGATCGTCACGACACCGCTGCTGTGTGTGCACGACTCGGGTTTGACTGGTGAGGGGGGGGGGGGCGTGTCTGGCTCCGCCCTCGCCGCCCACTGACGCGGAGGGCGAGACCAGACACGGGCGCGTCCCGCGGCGCGCGCAGTGCGTGGGACGCGCGCCGCGGGCGCGCAGGCCGGGTGACGCGCGTGTGACCCCGCCGGACGCGTCTGCAGGCGCTGCACGCCATCGACGTGGCCACGCTGATCCGCTTCCTGCCGACGCTGCTGAACCAGCTGCTGCGCATCCTGGTCAGCAGCGACTCAGACGACGTAGTGCAGAACACGCTGCGGGTGCTGACGCACGTCATCACCACCCTGCATCAGGTCGGCCGGCAGCGGCTGGTCGACATCTACACCCGGGTGAGACCCCGCCGCCGGCGCGCGCCCTTTCCGGAGACCCCGCCGGCTGCCGCGGCCCGTTACGCCCTAGGGGGTGTGTCTGAATAGTCCGGCGGTGTCGCCGGTGGATGGGCGGGACGCGTGTCCAGTTGGCAGCCTGTGCCTGTCCGCTTGTAACCATGGGCGGTCTATGTCACCTCCTGAGCCGACGCCCGCAAAGCCCAGTCTGTGTTTCCCGTCCTATATGCGCTGCTCCGTTGCCCCCTATCTTCCAAGGTGTGGCCGTCGCCGACCTGAGCCTCCTGCCCCGACCCTCTGACTCGCGTTCTCGCCGCCAGCACGTGCTGGCCGAGTGGCGTCTGCCGCCAAGCGGCCAGACCTGCGTGCACGAGGCGCTGTGCCGCGGCCTGTGCCAGCTCCTGCAGCCCAGCAACATGGACTTCCTGCTGGTGCACAAGCTGCTGCGCCACTCCAGCTCGCTGTTCGACATCATCATGAAGTCGATGGCGCTGCATCTGCTCAACTCAGGCCGCATCAAGGTGGGGGTTCTGGCCGCGGCCGACGGGGGCGCGGTCGGCGCCGGCGGCGGCCCCGGCTGTTCATGGGGCGACCGCCTGTGCCCGCTCAGCCACGGGTGGCGTTCCTTTGCTCGCGCCTGGCGCCACTCGCTTTTGTCACCGTGCGCGCCGGCTATTCACAGGTCTCTCCGCTCTGTGTAGACGTAGTGTGTCTCGACTTTCGCCTCGTTGTCTGGCTGCTCGCCGCGTGTATGGCAGCCGCACTATAACGGGGGGGGGGGGGGGGCTTGGTCACGCATCCCGCCACCAGTCGCAGTCGGCGAGAGCACCCGCGCGGCCTCAGTGTCCTGCCCCGCCCGGTCCCCGCGCCCTCTCCTGCGCACTGCGGCTGGCCGTGTCGGAGGCGGCCTCTCCCGGGCGCCGGCTCGGCGGCGGCTCCACGCCCGTGCAGCCGCCGCCGCCGCCGCCGCCGACCTCACCGCGCTCCCGGGCGGTCGGCGCGCGGTCTCAGTGTCGTTCTGTCGACCCCGCAGGTGGACGCCGCCGATCCGAGTAGTGACGTGAGTTAGCTTGCGAGCCGCGGACCGGCCGCCGCCAGTCACCCCGCGCGCCGCGCCCCTTTCACAGACGCCAGCTTAGCCCGCAGCGTTTGGCCGCTGCTCTCCGCGCATGGTCTTACGTTTGGTTTTTCTAGCGCCCGCTGATGCGTGTTTTAGCGCGGTGGCGTATTTTTGGCGTCGCAGCGTCGCTTTTGAATCATCGCATGCCCTACACCCGTGTCATGTCTGCGATACCCCGCCGTTTACTCACGGTTGGGTGCTGTGTGACAACGGTTGATATTATGTCATGTTCGATGAAGCGAACAAGTCGTATGTTGCATTATTATTGGGACGTTCGTCGAAGTTACTCAGGCGTCAGGGGAGATGTTTCCATTTTGTTGCCTCGTAATTTTGGTTGCCTCAAGGGCATCTTAGCTTTACTTGCTTTCTGATGCGCTGGTCGTAGGTTTGCATTATTCGGTACATGTACTTTAAGATGCAGTATGCGTATCTACCTACACGTCACACACGGTCGTAGCACCCGGTTTTTTCTGCCGTTTTTGCTCTGGCTTAACGTGTGCTTGGACCTGTTTGATATTCTCTTAAGCGTAACACAAGACTTTGGCAAAGCCGTCTGTTCTATTTTAATAGGCAGATAGTTTAAAAAAATGTTATGACAACATACGCTAAGCAGCCTACAGCACTCATATTATTGTGGCTTTGCTGTGTATGATTTCTGCTTCGTTTGAGAAAACACAACTTAGCATTTATTTAAACCATTTGTAATTAACTGGGCGTCGTTTGGTGTGATCACTAGGTTTAATCGATAACGCTCTCGAAGTTCTCGGAGATTGCAAATCATGGCACCAGTGAGTCGGGAAGAAGTGCAAGAGTGTTGTCATGTCTCCTACTTTGATAAAATCGTTGTTGGTCATCACCTTATCATCTATTATGGCAATACGCCGAAGTATTGACGGTTACGAGTACCGTTTAGCCGTCTCGTCTGAATTGGCACTGTTTGCGCACCAGAGGTGCTGTCCGGTGCTAACGGCAATGCCAGCGTCGCCGCGGTGTTGTTAAAAGCCCGACGTTCCCGTGCCTCACCGCCGCCGTTGTCAGCCCCGAGCCGCGAGGCCCGGCCGGCGAGACACACCTGTGACGTCACCGCGACGTCACTGTTACACAGATGCAGCGCCACGAGCGGTTCACGGCCAGCTTCAACAAGCAGCTGGAGACGATGCTGGAGTCGTTCTACCCGTACATACTGCAGAAGTACAAGGAGCTGCCGCTGGAGACGCGCGAGGCCAACCGCAGCATGGCCGCTCTGCTGAAGGTGCGGTGGACGGCGGCCGGGCCCGGCTGGCTGTCCCGCCGGCTGCCCAGCCACCCCTCCGTGCGAGCCCGCGGGCTGCCCCAGACGTGCGTGGACTGAGCTCCTTTCGTCTGCGAGCTGTTTCTATCGTTGAACGTCTACACATGACGTAGTTTTCCGCTAGAGCGGCGCGCGGTAGCGTTGGACTGTATGGGCGGCTGGGAAGGTGGTTGTGATCGCCCGAGGCATCTGTCCTGACACGTGTGGAGCGCTCCGGCGTGGTGCGCGCGTGACGCTGCGCCCGCTCCCCGCAGCGCTGCCTGAGCCTGATGGACCGCGGCTTCGTGTTCCGCCTCATCACCTCGTACCTGGAGAAGTTCAGCCTGGCCGACCCGCGCCTCCTCTGGGAGTACAAGTTCGAGTTCCTGCAGATGGTGTGCGCCCATGAGCACTACATCCAGCTGAACCTGCCCATCTTCAACCCGGCGCGCACCAGCATCCGCTCGCTGCACGGTGAGGCCCGGGCGACGCGGCGCTGCTGGCGCGGGCCGGCTGCCGCTGCCCGCAGATATACCGCCACTCCGCGGGGACGGCGTTCACATGCTGAGGCAGACGTCGTGAAACAGTGGGAACGAAAATGCGCTTGACTGTTTCATGTTTTGAAATCACCGATTCCAGATTTTGAATCACAAAGTGTGATTCCAAATTTTGTGCTGTGGCCCTATCTCGGATTTGGCTGCTTGGTCAGCTGGCTGATGAACTTATGAGCCGGCTGGCCGCGATCCGTTGGTTTCTAATCACATGACGGTCGTCTTTGAATGCTGTTGTCATCAGCTGACCTGACCTGCATGTTCTCGCCCTCCTGACCGCGTGATGTCTGTGTGTGTGTCAGACTTCCAGCAGGAGTACTTCATGTCCGAGTCGTTCAGCGCCAAGCACTACCTGACCGGCCTGATGCTGCACGAGCTGCGGCTGGCACTCAGCCAAATCCCCGACGTGCGCCGCATGGCCATCCACGCCGTCCGTGACCTGGTCGTCAAGCACGCCTACGACGACCGCTACCAGACCAAGGTGCGCCGGCCGGGACCGCGCGCCGCTCGCCAGCCCCCCGGTGACGTGTTCGGGACCCCGGACATCTGTCTGGGTTCGCGGGACGGGGTGGCTCTGTCTGGAAGTTTTCAGCAGGTTCCGCGGGTGGCGCGCAGGAGCGTGGAGCGTAAGACCGGCGAGGCGGGTGACCAAGTCCGACGGACGGGCTCGTTCGCTGTCGCTTGGTCGCGGCTGCTCTGTTAACGTCACGGACGCCACACCGTGTCTGCCTCACGCCGTGTCCGCGTCCAGGGCGGTCGGCGCCGACTTGACCTGACCTGTGTGCTGCTCGCGTCGACAGGGCCAGAAGGCGCGCATCGCCACGCTGTACTTCCCGCTGGTGGGCATCCTGCTGGAGCACCTGCACCGGCTGGAGGCGGCCGTGCCGGCGGCGCCGGCGACGGCGGCGGGGACGGGGTCAGCCGTCAGCCGCGCCGCGTCCCATCGCTCCACGGCCACCTGGCAGACGAGCTACTCCTGGGCGGCCGCCGACGGCACCTCATCGCTGGGAAACCGCAACAGGTCAGCACAGGTCGCCGGGCTACTGCGCCCGGTCAGCACAGGTCACCGGACCACTGTATCAGGTCAGCACAAGTCACCGGGCCACTGTATCAGGTCAGCACAAGTCACCAGGCCACTGCCACCAGGTCAGCACTGGTCGCCGGGCTACTGCGCCAGGTGGGCACAGGTCACCGGGCCGCTGCACCAGGTCAGCACAGCCCACCGGGCTACTGTGTCAGTTAGCAGGTCAGCAACAGGTCATCGAACCACTGTATCAGGTCAGCGCAGGTCACCGGGCCACTGCACCAGGTCAGCACAGATCGCCGGGCCACTGCACCAGGTCAGCACTGATACCGGGCTATTGCACCAGGTCAGCACAGGCCACCAGGCCATTGCACCAGGTCAGCGAAGTGTCCGTTCACTGGGGCACTGTCTCGCAGCCGATCGAGATTGGCTGTCCTCGCATGGGACAGGTCAGCTCAGGTCACCGCAACATGTCAGCCGGCGACAGCGCCGCTCCATTTGCGCACGATGTGCAGACGCAGACGACTGACCGTATTCAGAAGGGCAGCTCGCTGAGTGCCCAGAGCCGCACCACCTGGACGCCGAACGCCGCCGGGATTGTTGGCTGCCAGGAGTCCATGTTATCGTCCAGCTTTTTAAGCGGGATTCGGGCGCTCCTTGTTGTCACTGGGTGCGTCTGTGTCAGTGTTGGCCGGGTCCTGGTGCTCCTGGTCGTCGCTGGGTGCTTTTGGTCGTCACTGGGTGCTCGTGGCCGTCACTGGTTGCGCCTGTGCCAGTGCTGGCCGGGCCCGGGTACCGCTGGTGGTGACCGCCAGGGCGCGCCTGGCCTACAGGTTCGCCCCAAACATGGACCTGGCGTCGCACGCCAGGGTGGCGCAGCGCGAGTCCACCTACCTGGCCTACATCGCCGGACAGAGTACGTAGCGCCGCCACCGACGGCCGGCACCGGCCGCTGTTAAGTGAAGTGTCCACTGTTCCGGTGCGATGAAACCCAACGTTTGGCGCTTTTGATCGCACATCTAGGAATCGGTTAGTTTCCGACGTTTTATAAAAGCTTTGCCGGATATTTGGCACAACACAGAAGGTTGCCAGTGTCATGTGATCGTATGCAAATTAAATGACATCAGATCAGATGTTAGAACCCATCTATCCGCGACCACCCGTGATGCCGCTCCAGCTCCAGCTCCAGCTCCAGCTCCAGCTCCAGCCGTCTCTCACCCCGCATGCTCCGCAGGTCAGCAGGCGTCGGAGAGCAGCGCCGCCTCCACCATCAGCCTGGCGTCCACGGCCTCCTCCCAGACGGACACGACGGTCGAGTCGGCCGTGCACGCCGAGAACGGCGACGCCTCGTCGCAGCGCGCCCTCGAGCTCGGCGACACGGACAGCCAGCCGGGCGGCAAGCGCTCCACGCACAATAGGTGACGCTGCTGCTGGCTGCGGTGCGAGGCGACGCACGCTAGCTGCCACCCGCAGTGATGGTGCTTAAGGCAATGCGGAGGGTATTTTTACCGTGGTGGAGCACTGTTTTGGGCTATAAGAGATATCTGAAGCAAGTGTTTGGTCGTAGTCTTGTTGCAGTGAGATTGAAGCCCCTTGACTCGAACTTTTTATTTTTTTTGTTTTCAAAATCATTACCGATTTTGAGCGGTATTCAGTCGTGGCGAGCTCCGAGTGCGGCGCGCGCCAACACTGTGCCCCGGCGCGCGGACAGGACGCTGAGCACAGCGCACGACCCCGGCGCGCTGTACCGGTACGACAAGCTGCTGCCGGGCGAGGCGCGCGACCTGCTCGTCTGCTTCCTGCACGTGGTGCGTCACGTGCCCGACGAGCTGCTCGTCACGTGGTGGAAGTACGCCGCCGAGGACGACGTGGTCAACTTCTTCACACTCGTCCAGTGAGTGGCGGACGGGCTGCGGCCTCCGGACCTGGATGAGAGACCTCAGCCCCGACGCGCTGAGCGGTGACACCCGCTTGGGTGACAGACTGCACGGAGGTCTCTTGGGCTCGCGGCTCATCGTGCCTTTCAGGTGCGACTGTTGCCAAATGGACGGGGATACTCGGTTAGAGCTGATCTGAATGCACGTGATGTGAGTTGCTTGAGGCCTTGGGCATTCGCTGGCGCCCAGCGCCGCCACGGTGCAGTTCAACGTCAGGCTACTCTGTCGACGGGCTGGATGTGACACACAGCCAGCCTGCTGACCAGCCACCGCCGGGGGACCGGCTGACGTCGCGTGCCTCTCCGCGTGCCAGGATGTGCCTGTGCCAGTTCCGGTACTCGGGCGGCCTCATACGCGCCCACCCGCGCGTCAGCGAGGTCAAGAAGGCGTTCACGCTGCCTGCCCGCATGGACCCGGCGGCGGCGGCGGCCGGCGGCGGCGCTCCCAGCGAGCCGGTTCTTCCGGAGCCGGCCGGCGGCGGTGAGCGTCACAGGAATGGCCGGCGGGAGTGTGACATGTGGCCCAACGGGCTGGGGTGCAACATGTGACCCAGGGGGCTCTGGTGTGACATGTGTCCTGACGTATAGGCGCGGACCGGCATTATTTGTCCATACCGAACGCAGGCCTTTGAACTGAATAATATCGGTGCTGGATGTTCATCAAGCACATCAGATCAATCCTGATCAGATCCAGGTCAATCCCGACGCTTTATTGGATCGCATTTACCGTCGCCCACGCTTGGCATAACCGCTCCGAGCGTGCAGCGAGTTGTAGACAGCCTTCACTGAGGCCGGACCGGCGTGGAGGCCGGTGCCGCCGGCCCACAGTGACGGTCGGACCCTCACCCCGTCAGGCGGAGGCGCCTCGGCGGTCGGTGCCACGCCGCCGCACCTGGCCAGCGAGGTGGCGCTGGTGGCGCTGGACCTGGCCTGCCTCTACTCGGCCCACTTCTCGGAGCGGGTGGCGCAGCGCGGCGGTCAGAACGCCCAGATGGCGCTGCTCACCGACGTCTACCTGGGCCTGCTGCACCCGGGCCAGTCCGAGGCCGTGCTGCGGCACGCCTTCGCCGCGCTCCGCATGTTCGTCCAGCACTACAGCGCCGCCCTGTATCACGGTACGCTCGCATGTTTGTCCAGCACTACAGCGCTGCCCTGTATCACGGTACGCCCGCATGTTCGTGTAGCACTACAGTGCTGCCCTGTATCACGGTACGCTCGCATGTTCGTCCAGCACTACAGCGCTGCCCTGTATCACGGTACGCTCGCATGTTCGTGTAGCACTACAGTGCTGCCCTGTATCACGGCACGCTCGCATGTTCGTCCAGCACTACAGCGCTGCCCTGTATCACGGTACGCTCGCATGTTCGTGTAGCACTACAGCGCTGCCCTGTATCACGGTACGCTCGCATGTTCGTCCAGCACTACAGCGCTGCCCTGTATCACGGTACGCTCGCATGTTCGTCCAGCACTACAGCGCTGCCCTGTATCATGGTACGCTCGCATGTTCGTCCAGCACTACAGCGCTGCCCTGCATCACGGTACGCTCGCATGTTCGTCCAGCACTACAGCGTGGAGACGTATGGTGGCGTGTGGTACTTGAAGGTCATGTAAGGTTTTCCGATTGTTTTGGTTTAATTATTGGTGATGTTCTTCTATAAACACAATTGTATTTGTTTTGCGAGAACTCCCTACCTTGTCCACCCCTTTCACCTGGTGACTTTGTCTGAGATACACCTTATTACTGAGCTTATGGCGGAATCCGACCGGTGAGAATGGTCTGTTACTCCCGCCCCGTGTGCGCCCTCAGGCCCTGCCGAGCTGTGCGGCCGCCTGTGCTACGACCTGCTGCGCTGCTGCAACAGTCCGCTGGCCAGCACGCGCCACGAGGCCTGCGCCCTGCTCTACCTGCTGATGCGCGGCAACTTCGAGTTCACCAACCGCAAGGCCTTCACGCGGGTCCACCTGCAAGTGGGTTTGGTTTGGATCTGAGGATGGCCTTGCAGGCGTCCCCAGTCGTGGCCGAATGCGGTATAGACTGGCTCCTTGTGTTTACTGTCACATTTGAGGTGGGAGTTGAGTCGCGAGATGCATAGTTCAGATTTGATGTGGCGAAATACTCGTGGGGACTATACTGAGATCGGGATGCCGCAGAAACAACTCCAACCGCTGTGATCCGGAAAAGAATATAATGAGCTCTCGGACTGGCCAGCTGTGCGATGTCTGTACAGCGGCGTCAGGAGGTAACGTGGCGGGCGATCGAGGTCAGTAATTCCGTGTGATAATCAGCAGCGCTTAGTGTGTCCGCTGATGTGTCATCCTGTCAGCTGATGTCATTCGTCAGCTGATGTGTCACCCTGTGATCGCAGGTGATCATCAAGGTGTCCCAGCTGCTGGGTGAGTCGGTGGTGCTGGACTCGTCCCAGTTCTACGAGAGTCTCTCGCTCATCAACAGCTACGCCAACAGCGACAAAGTCATGACCCGGACCGGTGAGTGCCGGCGCCTTCACGCCCTCGCGTCCTGGACTGCAGCGCCCCAGACGGCGGTCGCGTCGCTGTGGGGTGCAGGGGCTGAGAATATCTGTTTGGTCATTCTTTGGCTCTACATTTGGTCTGGCCCATCCCTGACCCAGGCCTCACGCGAGGAATCTGGTGGAATAACACGGAACAAGAAGACGTGACCACATACATCGGCTGAGACTCGAAGCGGCAGGAGTCTCAGAATGTCGCCAGCTTTGGTCGGTTTGAGGTCGGATAACTCGAATCATCTTTGGAGAAGTTCATTTAACTTCATAGCGGGAATTATGTGCAAGCATTGTTTGGAATGTTTTTAGTCAAACGTTTGGCAATATTCCGTGTGTGTTGGGATTAAGAACCTTGACCGCTCCATGTAAACCATCGAACACGCACACGTTGCAGTTGCCCACATGTACACCAATCTAATGATTGGTCATTGCTTCTGCACGCGCCCCCTACGTCAGAAGGAAAATTGACTTGTCCGCCTTCCAGTTTGATTCTTGCAGCATTGGGACAGTACTGGCCTGTTTTTACTGGCTCTCACATCTGTCAGTAAGATCTCTTACCGGCCAGAACATTTGTCTTGAGTCCCCTCTGTCGCGCTCAGTCACGTTGTTTCTGAGATCGCGGCTGGGCGCGTGCCGCCGTCAGGTTTCGTGTCGGACGTGAAGGACCCTGACGAAGCGCGTGCGGACCGTGCTGATGGCGACGGCGCAGCTTAAGGAACACGAGAACGACCCGGCCGTGCTGGTCGACCTGCAGCACAGCCTGGCCAACAGCTACGCCAGCACTCCGCAGCTGCGCGAGACGTGGCTGCGCAGCATGGCCAAGTGCCACGTGCGCGACGGTAACCTCTCCGAGGTAGGCGGGGGAGACGGTAACCTGTCCAAGGTAGGCGGGAGGGACGGTAACCTGCCCAAGGTAGGCGGGAGGGACGGTAACCTGTCCGAGGTAGGCGGGAGGGACGGTAACCTCTCCGAGGTAGGCGGGAGGGACGGTAACCTGTCCGAGGTAGGCGGGAGGGACGGTAACCTCTCCGAGGTAGGCGGGAGGAACGGTAACCTGTCCGAGGTAGGCGGGAGGAACGGTAACCTATCCGAGGTAGGCGGGAGAGTTCACGGGCCCAGGGTGCGTATATTCTCATATCGGCACACACCTTCGCTCAGTGGCCGGTCTCGACGGCGGGTGCCTGACTGGCGTTCGTCGGGTGGAGCGGGGGCGCGTCGGTGGCGTACCATGGTGCCCGCTGTCACAAAACTGATCCTGCGTGAGGCTGGACTGGGCAACAGACGTGACACCCGCCCGTGTACCGCCGTGTTACTGGGGTCAGGCGCCAGACCGTGTGACGGGGAGATATCACGTCCCCTGACGGTTGGCGGGTGTTCGTGGCCGTGCCGCAGGCGGCCATGTGCCAGGTACACATCGCGGCGCTGATGGCCGAGTACCTGCTGCAGCGGGGCGAGCACGAACTCGGCTGCCAGGCGTTCCACGCCGTCTCCGCCAACGTGGTGCGCGACGAGAACAACCTCAAGTTCGATCTCGGTCAGTGGCTGCGCTGGCACCGCGCTTCGTGTCGCGCGGACAGGGATAGGACACTTAGCCGTCGTGGCCGATGAGCTTTGGCCGCTCCTTCAAAAAATAAAACAGGTTTTGAAAGAATTGTATGCTTGTATTTGATGTCCAACACGTTACCATGCTAAAGCATCAACCAGATTCCAAGCCTCGGTGTCGCGCTTTAGACCATCACAAAGGACTGAATGGCGACATGACTAATGAGCGGATACGTGACGCACATTGGCTTTTACATTGACAAAGTTCTGTGCATGAAATGCAGGTGCATATCAAGCCCTTTCGAAAATTGTCTGCTATTTCTCAGAGAGGGGCCAGAACGTACCGCGCGCAACCGGGAGTTAATGCTCACCACACAGACGCTAACACGGGTAACCAGTCATGCACTCATTTCGGGTAAATGATACTATCAAGAACAATGAAGCCTTTCATATGGGCTCCATTGGACCAAGGCAATGTGCCGGCGAACTTGTCCGTCAGCTCCCGGCGCTGCCTGCGTAATGGCCAGAAGGTGACTCGTAAGTGCCGATCCTCACACTGTGGTCCCGATTTGCGGTAGTATGACCAGTCGGCCAGCCGGACGCACTTTCCGGCGGCGTGTGCCGCCCCTCCCTGACGCCCCCCCCCCCCCCGCGCGTCAGGCATCGGTGACCTCTGCTACACGGAGGAGTCGCTGGTGGCGCAGCTGAAGGTGTGCGCCGAGGCCATGGAGCTGTGCGAGCGGCAGGAGCTGCTGCCCAACGTGTACGACATCCTGGTGCCCATCTACCGCAGGCGGCGCAGGTACGTGCCGTCCGCTGGGGTGCCCCGCCCCCCCCCCCCCCTCCGCTGACTTCTGTCAGCGGGTGTGGGAACTCCGGCTCAGTGGGAGTCGGCTGGCTTAGTCAGTGCGGCGCGATTTGCTGCGCATGGGATTTGGCGTTCGAGATAAGTGATTTAATAGCAACTGCACAACATAGTGCCTATGGACGCCATATGACTGGGGCAGTCGGCGCGCCACTAAGGCTTAGTTATTATCTTCGCCTCAAATTTTCCCGAGGAAACGTCGATGACGTGAGGTTTCTGGACACTGTTATCTTTTGGCCACTTCATGAGCTCCGCGCCATCGCCATCCACTACATATCGAACCTAAACACTATGTGTCACCGGAATGTGGCAGGGCGGGAATGACTGACTTGGTGCCGTGTAGTCGGCTCTCCGTTTCATGCTAGAATGCACCTTGCTCTGTGTGTGGAATATGGAAGCTGTTAAGTGTTTTGGCTGTCCGTTAGTCGTACGTGTTGTTTGTTGCGTGACCTGCTGTGGCGGCGCAGTTACGGTGAGCTGGCGGAGGCGCACCATCACATGCACCGCTGCTACAATCGGATCGTGCAGCTGAACATCTCCGGCCGCCGCCTGCTCGGCACCTACTTCCGGGTCATCTGTCTGGGTCAGGTCAGTCAGGTCAGCCGGAAGGCCGGAGTGTCGTCTGCGGATGTCTAATACGCGTGCCACGCATCGTGTCGCTTCTGTTCGTTTTGTGTGTGTGTGGGGGGGGGGGGGGGGGCTGGTCATTGTGGCTGCAGACTCTGGAGCTATTTAGCTGCTTTGATAGCTCGTCCGTTGCACTGTGGACTCCTCGCCATGAGGAGACGGGTGCTGACCTGGCCGAGACCGTGCCCTGTGCGATGATGTGCTGGTGTCACGAGCGCCGGCAGCGGATCTGCGGACCTACGCCCCGCGCCGCGTCAACTCCCCGCGCCCCTGCCGCCAGAACTACTTCGACAAGGACCACGACCGCGAGTACGTGTACAAGGAGCCCAAGGTCACCTGCCTGGCGGAGGTCAGCGACAAGCTATACCACCTGCACTGCCACAAGTTCGGCAAGGAAAACGTGCGCATCATCAAGGACTCGGCCCCGGTACGGACTGGACCGGGCCGCGGCCTGCGTCCGGCGGCGCGGCGGCAGCGCTCCCCTCACTCGGCCAACGGCGCGTGCTCGCCGAGTCCGTGCCGTGGCGGAGCACAGTTGCACCTGGGGCTGGCTTTCACTGACTGGTTATGGAGGTGTTTCGCCGAGCGTGAATGTGTGGATTTGTTAGAGTGGTCCCTGGTTGCGTTTCCATCCACCGTTGGATTTTGTTAGTCATGCACGGGGGACTTTGGTGTGTGTGGTATGCCAGCTATGGTCACGAGCGCGGGCTGAGGGCGATGCTCGATACCTGTGGCGACGTCTCCAGCCTGGCGCTGTCCGTGGTTGCACTCAGCTGATTTGGAGGAGGCTGGCCGGTGTGTGGCCCACGGCGACGGTCGGTGGTCTTGCCTGACCCCCTGTGACCGGCGGTGACCTCAGGTGGTAATGGCCGACCTGGACCCGCGGCTGGCCTACATCCAGGTGACGCACCTCACGCCCCACTGGGACGACGTCGACCTCGACGCGCGGCCCACGGAGTTCGAGCGCAACAACAACATCAAACAGGTGGGACGGTCGGCTCACGGCGCCGGCCTGGGAGGCGTCACCGCCTCCTGCGCCCGCGGCGACCGCTGGCGGAGGAGTGCGACGGCGACCGTTTGGGATATAGCGGCTCCAAAGTTTCGTCTTCCTTTGATGAACCCCACTCGCAGAGCTTAACGCGACGGCAGTGACGTCTGAATGGCTATGTCTTGTTTATCATTGAGCCGCTTCTGTACGCGCCAAAACTACGTATTATACCACTTCACATGCTTACCAAGTGCTCTGACTTCAAACGCCCTCGGATTTGGGCCGTGTGGTTCGATTATGTGTGCCATGCAGTGCGCAGTATTTCGGCGCCATCATCGCTTACAAACGCAACGATTTTGGGTACTGGCAGTGTCCTAGCAGTCTGCAGCCCAAGTTTTCTTTGGAATAGTCATTAAGTGTGGTATGTGCACAGTTCAGCGAGTTTTTCATCAGCTGACAATGATGATGGAAGTTTTGAGGCGTGCTCTAGGATAGAGATCTTGTCCTCGTTTCACGTCTTGCACTGCTATATAACCAGCATATGAACACTTCAAACGTCGAAATCAAACGGGCTCAAGTCTCAAGTGAAAGTGTGTCGGATCCAAACCCGTTCCCATTCCACTCTGTTCTGCAAACCCGTCCCATCAAATCAGAACGGCTGTGCGTCGCTGGACAGTGCAGTGGACGCCTCGCTCGTGGAAGACGACTGCTGCGTTCAGTTGCATCTACAGACTCGAGTGTGGCCGTTTCAGTTCATGTACGAGACGCCGTTCACGCGCGGCGGCGGTCCACGCGGCCCCGTGGAACAGCAGTGGCGCCGGCGCACTGTGCTCACCACCGACTACTGCTTCCCCTACGTGCGGACGCGGATACCGGTCATCCGGCGCCAGGTGTGTGTGCGGTGACTCCGTCAGTCTGATGCACAGCTGGGCCTGGGAGCCGTCGCGTCTCGCAGAAATACAGCACATTGTGGTGTGTTGACTGGTGTGTGGACGCATGCGGACTAGGCGGGTAGCAACGGCGGGGCACGGGCGTCAGTGTCGACGCCTGTCGATAGAGCAGCGGCCGCTGCTGAGCGGCGGTGGCCGGTGATCCCGGCCGCCGTGTCGCGTCCGGCCACGCCGACCGACCCTCGTGCGCTGCTGACCTGTGGCGGGCGCGCGCGGCAGGAGTACGAGCTGTCGCCGATCGAGGTGGCCATAGACGAGATGACGCGGCGGTCCAGGGAGCTGGTCGAGGTGGTGGAGCGCCAGCCGACCGACGTCAAGAAGCTACAGCTGCGGCTGCAGGTGAGGCAGGGCGGCGCCGGCCCGGTCGTCAGCTGGCAGGCCCGCCGCTGCTGACCATGGTGTCCCGATGACAGCCCCTCTTACAGGCAGCCGGCTTGGAGTTGCCATTGGGTACTTGCGTTTGTGGCCGCCGTGCTGTTGGCCGGTCTGCGATGGCTTACTAACGCTGCATTTCAGTTCAGCCAGCTGGCGACCGATGGCAATCAGTGTTGCCAGTGTTTGGCGATATTCGGATAATCACTGGTCCGTAGCCCGTCGGCAGGAGAGTGGTGACTATCACTCCGAACAGTCGGCCCCTGGCAGCCGTGTTGCCGCCGAGGCAGCGTCAGCTGTCGGTTTTCACACTGGATGACTGGTGGGCAGCGCGCGCGTGCGTGCGTAGCATCGTGCCGGTGACTGTGCGTGCCCATGTGGCCTTCAGGACAGTGCGTCTGCGACTGTATGTGTCCGTGTCGCCTAGGGCATCGCTACGGTGGCTGTGTGTGCCCGTGTCACCCCCAGGTCAGCGTATCGGTGGCTGTGTGCGCCCGTGTCGCCCCTAGGGCGGCGGGTCGGTGACTGCGCGTGCCTCCAGGACAGCGCATCGGTGACTGTGTGCCCGTGTCGCCCCCAGGGCAGCGTGTCGGTGGCTGTGTGCGCCCGTGTCGCCCCTAGGGCGGCGGGTCGGTGACTGCGCGTGCCTCCAGGACAGCGCATCAGTGACTGTGTGCCCGTGTCGCCCCCAGGGCAGCGTGTCAGTGACTGTGTGTGCCCGTGTCGCCCTCAGGGCAGCGTGAGCGTCCAGGTGAACGCCGGCCCACTGGCGTACGCGTCCGCCTTCCTCGAGGAGAGCGTGCGCGCCTCCTTCCCGGGCGACAAGCTGTACCAGCTGAAGCAGGCGTTCCGCGAGTTCGTGGACGCGTGCCAGCGGGCGCTGTCACTGAACGCGCAGCTGCGGGCCGACGACCAGGCCGACTACCATGGCTCGCTAGAGGCCGGCTTCCAGGACCTGGTGGCCGCGCTCGGGCTCATCGTCGGCGAGAGCTTCCCGGTCAAGACGGAGCTGGCGCGGCACTCGCAGCATCTCAGCGGCCTCTTCCTGCTGAGCAGCATGACCGGCTCCAGCTCGGTCTGAGCTCAGCTCAGCTCCAGCTCCAGCTCCGACTCAGCCTCAGCTTCGACGTCGTGCCAGCTCCAGCCCCAGCAGCGTATCTCAGCTCCAGCTTCGTCTCGACTCGGCGACTTCGGTGTCAGCGCCAGCTCCGTGGGAGCAGCAGCTTCGGGCTCGGCTCGGCTCGGCTCGGCTCGGCGCAACTCGGCGTCAGCCGCGGCTCCAGTTCCGGGCGCCAGTGGGCCGCTAAGTGTGGTGTTGGGGCGGTCGCCGGGCGGGCTGGCGGCCTGTGCTGTCACCCGCTGAGAGAGGCGACGCACTGTTGACAACGCACGCCCCCCCCCCCCCCGCTCGAAGGGATGCGCTTCCTGTGTGCCTGCCGTTACTTTCGGCAAAGAGCTACGGTCTTGTGCTTGTCCTTGCTCTTGTTGCGTTTTGCGAACTGGTGCCAGAAATAATCGTGCAATTGTTGGTCAGCAAGCGCATGTGCCTGTTCGTCTATGCGTGCGGTTTTGTGATAATGGCTTATAGCATCCATTTCACCAGGGCTCTTTGCCCAATAATTCGCTGGTGTATGTAACTTTGATGAGAGTGATGGTGTAATGTATCTGCCATTTGCGTATTTATTTTAGTCTACCATGGTGACACTATTTAACTCGGTAACTCATTCAGTCTCGTGTTTCTTGTTACCGCGGGCCCCTTTTGGCTTTTACTTAACGGACTGGCCACGTTCCGGTGATGTGATGCGCCGTATCGGGGTACCACACCCAGCCGACGCAGCTCGTGGACGGAGCGCTCCGGCGGGCCGCCTGCTGTCGTCAGGCGCCCCACCCCCTGTCCGTGGAGTGTGGGCCCCTGGTGGCACGCGCCGCCGCCGCCCAACGGAATACAGCGGCAGGAGGGACTCAGTGTTTGTCGAGGACTTGGAAATGGAGTGGAGTTGGTTGGTGGCACACTAGTTATGGTCCCCCAGATCTGCAGCCACGAGGCAGGAGGCTGCACCAAGTGCCATCCATAAATTACGTTCACATTTTTTACCCCGTTTCTCGTGGTTGCGCTCTGGTTGCGCTGGGCGGAAACTACTCACCTGGGTTAGGAATTATGTCATAAAAACATTAAGTTCTTTTGGCACCTTATTGAGCTGGATGTACGAAACTCAGGTGGGCGTGCTGCTTATGATAACCGGTTTCCGGCGGCGAGGCTAGTCTATGTGATCAGCTGAAGCTGATGGCTTATGACTAATGCAGAGTTTTTGATTTGACTGTAATGAGGAAGTGCAAAACGCCCCAGCATTCGCAATGTGTTAAGAGAGTAGTGTACAATTAAATCAGTGTCAAAAATTCAATAGCCAACGGAAGCGACATCGGCCAGCAAGTCTTTTAGGCATGTGCATGTACAATTGCATCAGAGCATACCCAGCTGTTGCTCTGTGCTGCGCTGACGCTCACAAGTACACGTGGGGCTTCCGCTAACAGGCCTCCTTGATTTCACCAGCAGAACCCAAAACCAATGAGGGCCCTGGAGCAAGCAAGAGTGCTCCAGCCGCGTAACATTTAGGTCCCTGTCAACAGCCGATTTTAGGTCTGATGAAATGGGAACACCCAAGGCGAGGAGACGACATCTCGTGAGTGACCCAGTGATCGCGGTTGCAATAGTAGGTCCCCAAAGAGGCTCCCGTTAACAGTGTAGGGTCTTCCGAGCAAGCCAGAATAATTTAGGACCAAAGTGGTGCGCCCCTGAACGACTGGGAATTCCCTGGCAGTTTTAAGCAGAAATATCCGAGCAAACGGGAAGAACTGCCAAGGCCAGTGCACATGCATCAGTGCTCCTGATCGATCAAAGGCGCCTTGAAAGATGAAGGTACAGTGCTCCCGACAATAGCATAGAACCCTCCGAGCAGATGGGAAGCGTCCAGGGCCAATGTGGCGGACTCCTGTACGATCATGGGTGCCCGGGCAGGTTAACGGAAAAATCCCCGAAAAGAGAATAGTGTCCTCGCAAATGAGGTCAAATGAAAAGAACCCTAAGCTATTGTAGATAATTTCAAGCATCGAGTGCCTCGGTAATTTACCTTGCATGCCCCCCCCCCCCCCCCCCCGTAACAGCGCATGGTCCTCCGAACCCGAGACCAATGTGAACGACCCCTGAGCAATCGAGAGTACCACGGCACGCTGAACGGGTGAGCCTAATATAATAGCAACAAGTACGGTGGATACATGACTGGGCCGTGTTTGGATGTGTTTTAGCGTTGAGCTACTGGTCGCATTACTGCTCACGAGCTAGCATGGTCCTAAACTTAACAGCTTCCGTAAAAGTTGCATTTTCTGAGCTCAGGCAGACGATTAGGCTGGCCGACTTCGCGCAATTTTGAGATCTCGCTGGCAAAATGCCGCGCTAGTTTCAGTCATGGCGCACGATATTCTTTAATGATGAGCGGCAGGCTCCTAGCGAGGGCTCCTGGCCCTACTCACTGACAGTTCAAGACCATTAGGGAAGGCGGCGTGGGTGTGAATCCACAACAAGACGCGGACGTACCTAACCTTTGAAGGCAGGTTTAGCGTGTCATTTATATACCTTCGGATCATTTGCTTCAACATAGCAGCAGGATGCAGGATTGCCTTGGATCCAGGTTTGTGCTCTTGTACAGGTTGGGATGTGATGGCTTAGACACTTGTGATCTGAAAACAAATATCACTATCTTCCTCTTGTGTCAGGTATCTGGTTAATGGTATTGCATGTCTTATTGGTGTCAGTAAAAAATTGGGAAATGGCCAATAGTTGTGTTACCTTGTGTGTTGTTCGGTCTAAAACTATGCTTGTGCAATATCTAGAAATCTAAAATTGGTCTCAAATACAGCTGTTCAGGCTTGGCTCTAGATTTTCTTGATCCATGTAAATTTTTCAATTAATACCACATTGTGCAATGCAGTAATACATTTGATTAAAGGTTCTGTTGGTATTGATAAACATGTGAATATTGTTGAGCAAGTCTGGTCCCGCAAAATATGATCGGCCCTGAAATAATTTATTTTGTGGCATTCATTATCACTTCATATAGTCAGGTGGCTGAATGCAATTTATAAAGCCAGCTATTGGCCTGGGATTCATTTCACCAAGCTGGGTATCTGTGTGGCCCATCCATAAACATGATAATTAGCATGGCAACCTGCTAGAAATGGTCAACTTAATGCAGGCACCTGTTTCATAGCATGCTGCATTGATAAGTGCAACATATATCTATCTTCACCTGGCTGGATGGTGGGTTGAATATAAAGTTACCAGCTGTGCATGACATGTGGGCTGAGCTCAATACTGTCTTTATGTTTGGAAAACATGTCTTTAGTAACAAAATTGCATTTATTTATCTCACTTCACATAAGACACCTTTGATAATATGTTGTTCTAAATGTTGTGCATGCTATCTTTTCTAGGTCAATTCAGAATGTTGACATCATTGCTGAGAAGGCAAAGCTGCAAGTTGCAGAACTTTTGCCCAAGGCACAGACCCTGTATTTTGCTAAGGGCTGCCTTTCAAATGCATCACAGATGACATTGGTTGAAGCTGACAACCACATCTTGGAACATGTTGTACAAGGAGGCAGGTGAGTGGTGATTTGTGTGAATCATGCCAACCACACCACAGCTTCACTGTTATTGTGGCATAAGCCAGCTGGTGAGGTGAAATCTTCTTCATTGAATACATTGTTTTTTTTGGCACCTAACCTCAAGCATGCTATGCAATCTGACCATATGCAACCATAAGTGTAGGGTCCATGATGTGGCCAGATAATGCAATACCATCAGGGGAGGACTCTGCATGGAAATAATGTCAGGAGCTGTATGGACCTCCAGCCAGCTTGCATCTCATGATGATTTTTGGGGAGTTCCTTTGGCCCACCTATCCTGTGAGCCTGCCTGGGCCCTGGTCCACCCTGGGGGCCAGCCGGCACTTCAGCCTATCTCTTCTCCATGGCCTGAGCTCTGCTCTGGCACATGTCCATCATGTGTGCCAGCCCCAGCTCTGACCCATCCATACCCTGTGTGCCAGCCCCCTGCTCCTGCCCATCTGTATGCTGTGTGCTGGCCCTCTACTCCAGCTCATCTGTACTTTGTGTGCCAGCTCCCCGCTCATGCCTGTCTGTACCTTGTGTGCTGGCCCTCTACTCTGGCTCATCTATACCTTGTGTGCCACCCCCCTGCCCCTGCCTGTCTGTATCCTGTGTGCCAGCCCCCTGCTCCTGTCTGTCTGTACCCTGTGTGGTGGCACCACTCCATCAGTCTGTACCTTGTGTGCGGGTGCTGTTCCATCAGTCTGTATCTTGTGTGCTGGTGCTGCTCCATCAGTCTGTACTGTGTTCTGGTGCTGTTCCATCAGTCTGTACCCTGTGTGCTGGTGCAGCTCAGTCAGTCTGTACCCTGTGTGCCAGCCAGCCCCTGCTCCTGCTTATCTGTACCCTGTAGAGATCACCCTGTATGCCAGAGATCACCCTGTGTGTCAGAGCCACACCATCAGTTTGTACCCTGTGTGCTGGCGCCGCTCCATCAGTCTGTACCCTGTGTGCCAGCGCCGCTCCATCAGTCTACATTGTGTGCCAGAGCTGCTACATCAGTTTGTACCTTGTGTTCTGGCCCTCTGCTCCAACCCATCTGTACCCTGTGTGGTGGCACCATTCCATCAGCTTTACACCGTGTGCCGGCGGCGCTCCATCAGTCTGTACCCTGCGTGCCAGTGCCGCTCCATCAGTGTGCAGGCTGTGTGTGTGTGTCGGCACTGCTCCATCAGTCCGTACCCTGTGTGGCAGAGCCGCTACATCAGTTTGTACCCTGTGTGCTGGCCCTCTGCTCCAGCCCATCCATACCCTGTGTGCCGGCGCCACTCCATCAGTCTGCACGCTGTGTGCCGGCGCCACTCCATCAGTCTACACTCTGTGTGCTGGCGCCGCTCCATCAGTCTGCACTCTGTGTGCCGGCGCCACTCCATCAGTCTGCACTCTGTGTGCTGGCGCCGCTCCATCAGTCTGCACTCTGTGTGCCGGCGCCGCTCCATCAGTCTACACTCTGTGTGCTGGCGCTGCTCCATCAGTCTACACTCTGTGTGCTGGCGCTGCTCCATCAGTCTGCACTCTGTGTGCTGGCGCCGCTCCATCAGTCTGCACTCTGTGCTGGCGCTGCTCCATCAGTCTGCACTCTGTTTGCCGGCGCCGCTCCATCAGTCTGCACTCTGTGTGCTGGCTCCGCTCCATCAGTCTACACTCTGTGTACCGGCGCTGCTCTGTCAGTCTGTACCCTGTGTGGCGGCACCACTCCATCAGTCTGTACCCTGTGTGCCAGCGCCGCTCCATCAGTCTGCACTCTGTGTGCCGGCGCCACTCCATCAGTCTGCACTCTGTGTGCTGGCGCCGCTCCATCAGTCTGCACTCTGTGTGCCGGCGCCGCTCCATCAGTCTACACTCTGTGTGCTGGCGCTGCTCCATCAGTCTACACTCTGTGTGCTGGCGCTGCTCCATCAGTCTGCACTCTGTGTGCTGGCGCCGCTCCATCAGTCTGCACTCTGTGCTGGCGCTGCTCCATCAGTCTGCACTCTGTTTGCCGGCGCCGCTCCATCAGTCTGCACTCTGTGTGCTGGCTCCGCTCCATCAGTCTACACTCTGTGTACCGGCGCTGCTCTGTCAGTCTGTACCCTGTGTGGCGGCACCACTCCATCAGTCTGTACCCTGTGTGCCAGCGCCGCTCCCTCAGTCTGCACTCTGTGTGCCGGCGCCGCTCCATCAGTCTGTACCCTGTGTACCGGCCCCCTGCTACGGCCCGTCTGTACCCTGTGTACCGAGCCTCTGCTCCGGCCTGTCTGTACCCTGTGTGCTGGCCCCACTCCGTCAGTCTGGTGATCCGCGGCGAGCCGTCGGACGCGGCCGTCATCTGCACCGGCCAGCGGACGTACGAGGTGCGGGAGGCCGAGACGTCCAACGCGCTGCTGCTGCTGGACACGCTCAGCTGGCCGGAGGAGGTGGCCGCCGACCAGCCGCGACACGTCACCGACCGGCAGGTGGGACATGGCCGCTCATCATGGCCGCCATCACGGACCAGCAGGCCGGAAATGGCGGTCCGACAGGTGTGATGGGCGAACAGGTGGGACTTGATACATTGTCAGTAGATGAGTGGAACGCGCCACCTCAACGGCCTGTTACGTCAATGTGGTTATCAAGGCCGACCGCAAACGTCGACGTTTGACGCCTGGTATACGTGCACCGCACCCACCGCTGGCGCCTCGCCTGCTGACGGGAGCCGCGGTGGCGGGCGGCGTCCTGAGTCTGCCCGCCCCCCGACAGGTGCAGGGCACGTTCGGCACGTACCTGGAGCTGCGCGAGTGTCGCGCGCGGCTGCGGCGGCTGCGGCGGCTGCTGGCGGCCGAGCCGTACGCCGGCCGGCTGCAGCCGGGCCGCGGCTTCACGGCCGCGCAGCTGGCGCACACGGTCCAGGCCAGCGACGCCGAGCTGGAGGCGGCGCTCCGGCAATGCCACGCCCTGCTGATGGACGGTACGCCCGGCGGCCGCGCGGCCGGCTCGACACGCTCCACTCCACTCCGGTCTCGGTGCTGCGGTCAGAGGGGACAATGCTGCTTTTGCAGCAAACCGATGCGGTCCTAGGTCAAGATAGATGTGGTCGTCGTCTCGTCCGATACCATGCACCAAGCCATCGCACGCCGGTTTTGTCGCGCCTGTCTGCATACGTATCGACACAAAGGCGGATTTTGGCGCACATCCCCTCTGTGAGTTTAGCTGGCTTGAGAACGTAGTTCAATGACGAGACATCACGTGGTTTTGACTACTGAAGAGGTGATCTGTAGGTGGCATCTGATCGGTGTTCCAAGATTGCTTTCATTGATTTTTTTCAGTAAGTTCATGTAAACTGCATGTTTTATACATATTGCTGTGCATATTGAACACAGTCTGGAAACGCTACGCAGACGTGATCAGCACGTGGATGTCTATGAAGTATCTCCCCCCCCCCCCCCCTTCGGCAGTCACAATGATTGTTCGCCATTCTGAGTCGCCCTTTAATTCGACCAGGCCTGGGTGGTTTCCTGTGGTGTATTATGCATGTTCCAAAAACTGTCGGCCTGCCTCGGACTTGTGTGACGACACACCCCAGCGTCACGTACAGGGGCTGTCTTAACTGTTCTTGTATCTGACCATCCAGCTGCCTCTGACCATCCGACCGCGTCTGACCGGCGCGTGTGACGTCACAGGCCAGTACCGACAGCTGGAGTGCGAGTACGAGTTCCACGTGTTCAGCCTGGTCATGAAGTTCATCGACGAGAACTCGTGGTCGGCCGACGCGGTGCGGCGGCCGCCGACGCTGGAGACGCTCTCAGAGCTGGAGCCGGAGGCCGTGGTGACCGCCTGCTTCGACCGCTACCTGCGGCCCGTCACCGAGCCGGCGGAGCAGCCAGGTGCGCAGCCAGCCCCTGCTCTGACCTGACCTGACCTGCCCTGGCCTGACCTGACCTGGACTCGAGGACTGAGCCAGTTTGGGGACGTTTGAGCGCTGCCCAACAGCTTTTATCTCGCTCGAAAGCGTTGCCCCAGCTGCCGATGCTCACGTCTAAGTCGCTCTAACGTGCGGAACTGTCCATCGAGAAACGTAGCATATAGCGACGCTAGCGCCCTCAGATAAACTCAGTTGGCGGCGTGTTGGCACCTTTTTTCCGGCTCCGTTAGGCACGCTGTAGCAGCCTGTTCTCTGCCGTCGCTGCTGCAGCCTGCGGTGTGTGCACAGCTGCCTTACACTCCGCCGTGCGTCGCGCGGTATGCCGTCGGTGTCTGAGTATCGGCTGACACGTCAGATACTGCTGTCGGCCCGGGGAACACTGTACCAGTGTCGTCAAACACGGTGCCGCCTGTCGCCGCCTGCCAGGTGAGCAGCTGTTCACACTCCACGAGGACGAGGTGGCCCGGCTGTTCGCCCGGCTGCTTCTGCACACCATGAAGACGTTCAACCTGGCCGACTTCACCGCCTCCTGGCGGCAGAGCGTGCCCGAGGGTGAGTAGGGTGAACAGTCAGGACTACACCGCCCCCTGACTTCAGAGTGTGCCCGAGGGTGAGTCGGGTGAACAGGTGGGACTACACCCCTTCCCGACGCCACAGCGCGCCCGAGGGTGAGTCGGGTGAACAGGCGGGACTACACCCCTTCCCGACGCCAGAGCGTGCCCGAGGGCGAATCATCTCGGTCGCCTGCCCCCCTGGGGGCACGCCGAGACGGGCTCGGTCTGGTCTGGGTATGAGGACTCAGCCACAATGGATTCCAACCAAACGGGGAATGTTCGGTAGTGGCGTCTTGTGGCGGGATCTGAAAGTGGTCTGCCGCCACGCATAGCACTCGCGTTCTCAGATGCATTGAAGACAGTTCCTGGCCGGTTATTTGGGCGCTCTCGAGCTGATTTATAAGGGCGTCTTGTTCGCGGTCTGGTTGGGTATGCTGTGGGGATCATGGCTGCGGTCGGGCTGGGTACGCTCTGGGGATTATGGCTGTGGTCGGGCTGGGTACGCTCTGGGGATTATGGCTGTGGTCGGGCTGGGTACGCTCTGGGGATTATGGCTGCGGTCGGGCTAGTTACGCTCTGGGGATTATGGCTGTGGTCGGGCTGGGTACGCTCTGGAGATTATGGCTGTGGTCGGGCTGGGTACGCTCTGGGGATTATGGCTGTGGTCGGGCTGGGTACGCTCTGGGGATTATGGCTGTGGTCGGGCTAGTTACGCTCTGGGGATTATGGCTGTGGTCGGGCTGGGTACGCTCTGGGGATTATGGCTGCGGTCGGGCTGGGTACGCTCTGGGGATTATGGCTGCGGTCGGGCTGGGTGCGCTCTGGGGATTATGGCTGTGGTCGGGCTGGGTACGCTCTGGGGATTATGGCTGTGGTCGGGCTGGGTACGCTCTGGGGATTATGGCTGTGGTCGGGCTGGGTACGCTCTGGGGATTATGGCTGTGGTCGGGCTGGGTACGCTCTGGGGATTATGGCTGCGGTCGGGCTGGGTACGCTCTGGGGATTATGGCTGTGGTCGGGCTGGGTACGCTCTGGGGATTATGGCTGTGGTCGGGCTGGGTGCGCTCTGGGGATTATGGCTGCGGTCGGGCCGGGTACGCTCTGGGGATTATGGCTGTGGTCGGGCTGGGTACGCTCTGGGGATTATGGTTGCGGCCGGGCTGGGTACGCTCTGGGGATTATGGCTGCGGTCGGGCTAGTTACGCTCTGGGGATTATGGCTGCGGTCGGGCCAGTTACGCTCTGGGGATTATGGCTGCGGTCGGGCTGGGTACGCTCTGGGGATTATGGTTGCGGTCGGGCTGGGTACGCTCTGGGGATTATGGCTGCGGTCGGGCTAGTTACGCTCTGGGGATTATGGCTGCGGTCGGGCTGGGTATGCTCTAGGGATTATGGCTGCGGGCCGGCTAGTTACGCTCTGGGGATTATGGCTGCGGTCGGGCTGGGTACGCTCTGGGGATTATGGTTGCGGTCGGGCTGGGTACGCTCTGGGGATTATGGCTGCGGTCCGGCTAGTTACGCTCTGGGGATTACAGCTGCCAGCGCGCGGCTTTGTCGGCGTGCCATGCGGTGTCCGCGTTATCAACTTCAGATTCTCGTCGAGTATGTTTGGTCAGCACACACTACCATATGGCGACGCGTGTTCATGCTGATGCCAATGTTAAAGTGGTTCGAACCCGCACAACCGATTGATAATGGGGAGGTAACTCGATTTTATTAGCGGCGAACTAGCACGAGCGGTCGTGTTGGACGCTGTTGAGCCCTGACGGCGGCCTGACGCGCTGCTGCAGGAGTGACCACCGACCTGGAGCAGCTGCGGGGTCTGGCCGTGGTCAACAGAGAGGTCAGCCCCGAGCTAGTGGTGCGGCTGCAGGCGACCGACCTGCCGGAGGAGGCGGCCGGCCGCTTCCAGGCCCTGTTCGCGATCAAACAGCTGTGGACCGGCGACGAGCTGCTGCCTTATGTCGAGTGAGTGTCGCCCTCTGGCTGAGGGCCTCTGCCGCCGTGGTCGGAAACGCCAGGGCGATGAAAAAAGTGATCGATGCTTCTCTTCATGAAGGGCATCGGCCAGATTATAAAAATTGCTGTTTGAAGTGGAATAACGATTTGTTGTACCTAGGTACCATGTTGATTTTCTGCTGGAGGTTATTCTGGAGTAAAAGGTTTTAACTTGTTATGCTTGTGCGACCGGTAACGTTGAAATGGACCCAGCATGTAGAGCGTTGTAGTAGTCCGTAACAACACCGTGGCCTGTCATTCAAATGCTTAAATACGCTGTCCTGGTTATCCAGATACCAAGTCTATCCTGGGCCGGTTCTGAACTGTAACGGACCGCCGCGCAGACCGCCCGGTTATACGTGACTTGCCGTGGCCGTGTGTGGCTGCGACTGGGGCGCGGCGTGGCTGCGACTGGAGCGCGGCGTGGCTGGCTGACGCGGGCCGTCTGGCGTGGGCCGGTGTTCCAGGGACCTGACGTCGCCCACTCTGAAGCTGGGCTCGCTGCTGGCCAAGCACTGCCGCATGACGGCGCGACGCGGCGTCAAGATGTACGGCCCCAAGCACGGCCACTGACACCGCTTGGCCGACGGGCAGGGGGCTGTCACTGGCACTGCTCCCCGTGCGCGGCCTACCGCCCTGGCCGGCCGGCGGCGCCGGACCAGCCAGCGGACCGAGTCTGTCTAGCGTACCGCCGCGGGTCTGTCGGACCGCGCCGGGCCGTAGCCGGTGGCGGCCGCTGTGGAGCGGCGCGGGTGGCTCCGGCCGGACGGGGCGCCGGGGGACCATCGCTGTGATGCGGTCGGCGCTGTGTGGCGGTCGGCGCCGGGCGGTGCTACGGCACGGCACGGCCGCCGGCGACCGGTCGGCGGGCCCTGCCGGCTTGCGCTCCGTCGTCGGTGTCTGGTGTGGAGCTGTGTCAGACGCCGGTGTGAGGCGAGGGGCTCCGTCGTCAGTGTCGGGTGTGGAGCAGTGTCAGACGCCGGTGTCAGGTGTGAAGCTCCCTCGTTAGTGCGTGATGTGGATCTGTGTGAGACACCGGCGTCAGGTGCTGAGTTCCGTCGTCAGCATCTGGGCTGGTGCTCAGTCAGACGCCGGTGTCAGTTGTGAAGCTCCCCCGTTAGTGCGTGATGTGGATCTGTGTGAGACGCCGGTGTCGGGTTTGGAGTTCCGTCGTCAGCGTCTGGGCTGGAGCTCAGCCAGACGCCAGCGCTGGGTGTGCGGCCGTGTCGGACACGGCCGCCACTTGTGGAGCTGCTGGTCGGGGAGGTTGTGGCGCCGAGGCCCTGTGCGCCGTGGTCGGCCGTCGCCTCGCTGGTGAGCAGCGCTCTCTAGCATCAGTCAGAGCCTGCCGTCACTGAGATGTCGGCTGCCTGCAGTGTGTGCGTTCAATCAGCTCTGACCTCAGTGGACGGAGGCTCGTTATTTGGAGCGTAGACGCTCTTTGTAGGATACTAGGAGACATTTGTCGACATTTTGATGAACTTGATGATGTCCACAACGATGTTGTTGGAGTTTGTTCGGCCCTCATTCTTTTTGCGTTTGGCATTAATGCTCAAAGATGTAGCGAGGCGTGTGAAACGTCAGCTGCTGCATGTGATCCTTGGGAACAAATAAACGACTAGCTGCGTGTGATGTGTGGTGTTTACGTCGTGGCATGTCGTGATGGACTTCCGCGGAACGGTGTCAGCTTCAAACGACAACAAAGCACTGACATACTGAGGCTCATCCACTAACGCTTCATCGAAGGTACGACACATGTAGGCGTCATCAGCCGGGGTTCGGACAGCACGGGTTGTAAAGGCGCTGCGCTTTCGCGATTCTTCCCGCTGTTGCGCCACGTTTGGCCGGGGACCCCGAGCATGCCGGCGTTGAGTGCTCGCGCATGGTGAAGCAAGAGGGAGCGGTCGCACCTCGCGCCTGTAGCAGCTGACGCTGAGTCAGTTTGTCGGGACACGCTGTCGTTCAGGGTCAGGCGGGCACGGGCAGCGGCGCCGCCAGCGCCCGGGCCGCGGGCCAGGGCGGCGCCGCCGGCTGGCGCGGGCGCGCGCCGGCCGCCGCCGCCGCTGTTGACGGACAGGCAGGTGCGGCACCACCTGCGCCGGCCCGAGAGTGGCCGTGACGGACGACTGAGGGAGCTGCGCAGTGGGGGCGCCGGAGGCACGGCGGAGGGGCACTGGAGATGTTTAGCAGATCGGCGTTGCCGCGCCGGACGCGTGGACCCGGCGGACGACGTGGCGAAGACGCGAGCCGCGTCCTTGCGTACGTGTAGCAGCATTGTGCGATTGAACGGAGCTGGCGTGGCTGGCGCCGTGCGTCAAACAAACCGGGTCGGCCCGGCTGACGGTCCATGATCATGTGGAAGGCCTCCAGCCTCCCGCGCGAGGAGGTGGACCAGCGGCCGGCCAGCCGCGGTCGCCGGCCGCTGCTCTCCACCTCGCTGCTGAGCCTGCACCGCCGGCCGAACCGCAGCGCTCGACTGGCCACCAGCCTGGCGAGCCTGGCTCGCAACGTGGTGGACCTGCGCTCGGACGAGCTCGAGCCTGCGCCCCGCAGAGCGGCCAACGCCGTCGCCGCCGCCGCCACCTGGCACCAGAAGGTGTACCGCTCGCTGAAGCCGAGGAAGGCGGCGAAGGGCGGCGAGACGCTGGCCTGCTTCCTCTGCGCCAGGAGCACGTGCAACACCGGCTTCGTGGTCGTGCATGGGGTCCGTCTGCACATCAACTGTCTGCGCTGCGCCAGGTGAGAAGGCCGTCCCATGTATCCAAGCTGTCGTCATGTCCTGAAGTCCTTATCACGAGACGAGACGGTACAGACCATCGGCACTGCGCCAAGCAAGATATGCGCGGTACTCAGGCAGGTCAGAGATACCATGCAGCGCCAGGTGGGAGACATTCTGTATGGTAATACATCCGTGTTAGATTTAGAAACATTACACGAGACATTATCTTAGGAACAATATGTACAATTTGATTTGGAACATTATATGCAACGGTGCAAGGGGCAATACGAATGGTTAGGACAATAACACGTATTCCGAGTCTACGTATGCATCGCAACATCAAACATCCATAGTACGGCATAGTACGGCACGACACATTCATCGCGAGCGATGATGCCTTTTACGTTATAATCTACGGGAAAACACAACGTTGTTCTGGCGTCGTATGCAATGTAGCTATTTATGTCATGTATAATTCATGATTTTTCTTAAGGTATAACGTAATTTCCGTCAGCTCAATGCAATGCAAAGATGCGGTTTCTCCGCGGCGTAGAGGAAAGCTGCTGGACTCGCAACCCAGTGTCCCAGAGTGCGAGTCCTAGAGCAGAGCTGGTGCATTGTTTGACCCGACTGAAATGGAAAGGTCGGCTGGCAACTGGCCAACGAGGGTCAACGCAGGCTCGGGTCTGTTATACTGCAGCATTGTGCGGCTCCTAAAAGCCCCGCATTCCTGTCTGGCGAAAGAGTGAAAGCAAAATTATCCGTTGGACAGGACGGCGCAACCTGGGTGGTGACGTTCGGGGAACACGTTACAAACTATGCTTAACATTTTCTCCTTACCCAAAACCACCCATGCAAAATACTTGTAATCAATTTACTTTAAAAAAGCTTAGCGTGAAGACAATTATTTGGAGCGCCTTATGATGGCAACGCAGGAAGATGCACAATTAAATGCAAATGCCTTTCAGCTGCTAAACGCACACGACATACGGAGCTCAGCATAACACTCGATTTTATCGTAACGCTTGACCACTTCAAAGGCCCGAGCAGTGCCAAACCTGCTAACGGACACCGGACGGCTGGCGCACGCTCTGGGGCTCTCGCCGCATCTCCCGGTGGCCGCCCTCCGCGCGCTGTCGGCAGAGTCGGTCCGAGCCGGCGGCGGCCGCTCGGCTGCGGCCGACAACAGGACGCGGGGGAGGGCAGACCGGATGCCCAGCTCCGGCCGATAGAATGCTGCGCCGTCCGGCCGCGCCCCAGCGGTCGCGGTGGCGCGGCCACAGTGTGGTGAGGTCACCCGACGGTGGCAGAGCGCCGACCGGGCCGACGCCGAGCTGCCATCTGTGCCGAAAATCGATCGTGAACTCGGTCCGGAGGGTGCTTGCCGGCCGCGGGTTAGCACGCGAGCGGACGGCGCCGCTGAGTGCTCGTAGTGATCTCTCGGTCGGCGTGGTCTTCTGCGGACGCCGGCCGTGCGCAGCCAGTGACCCCGATGGAGGGTCGGAGGTCGCGGAGGGCGGTGGAGCGGGGCCGCCCGCCGCGGCCGGTCAGCGTGGACGGCCGAAGCCACAACAGCCTGGTGCGTCGCGCGTGCCTAAATAGCGCCCGCTTCTCCCTCGACCTGCCCCCGGCCGAGCCGGTCAGCGCTCCGCTCACCAATTTCGAGCGTCAGCTGGACGAACCGCGCGCGCCGGCCGGTGTGCTGCGCCGCTCCAGCTCGGTCCCGCGCTCGCTCAGCGTGCTGGACAGCGCCGGTGGCGGCGCGCCGCGGCCGGCCGGCGAACCAGGCGCCGCCTACCGGAGCCACTTTCTGCTGCGCGAGGACCGCCGGGCGCTGCTGCGGCCGGCTCAGGAGCGAATGCAGAGGCAGCGCAGCCGCCTGCTGGAGACGCTGCCGGACATGCTGGCGGTGGGCGGCGGCTGGGCCGGCCGGCGGGCCCCCGAGGCCTTGGTGGAGGCGGACGGCGGTGTGCGACTCCGCTCCATGGTACGCCCGATGGACTGGGACGGCCTGCCCTTGACTGCCAGTGGGGCTGCACAAGAACGGGCGGCGACCAGGTCCCTGGAGGTACCCTCCACAGTCCGATCCAGCTCCCTGGAGGCGACTGATGGTAACGCGCAGACAACACAGCCGCAGTAAGTGTACGGGTGCTGGGACGTTGGCGCCGTTCTGGGCGCGATGTTCGGCTATATGTAGCATGCGACGCAGAGAAGGCCCAGCACTTCTTAAGGCTGCATCAGTGGCATTGTTCTCACACACCGGCACAACAGCCTTAGTGGACATTTTTAAGAGTCATTGTAAACTTCTGAACACTCTAACTGGGTGGCCTGACACCTTGGCAGTAAAAGAAACGAACCATCCTAGAGACATCTGAAGGCATCAACGGCGTAACACGTTGTGAGGTGATTAAAACGGGCATAAAGCCAAAAGCAAGTGGCAGCTTAAGACAACACTGCAAGACAATGTGTTCATTGTCCCACAGAGGACAATGAACGGGGGAACGCCGCCGGTTAGAGGCGAGCCCTGGCGTGGCTCTGTAGAGACAGCGAAGCTCGTCCCGGGCCGGTGCGGCAGCTCGACGAGGCGAAGCGGGCCCGCCCGCCGGTGGAAGGCCGCGGTGGGGAGGGCTGGCCGCTGAGGGCCGTTGATTGGCGACTCTGCGACTGCCATTCTACCACAAGCTCCTGAACTCGGCCTCATTGCCACGGCTGAGTGTCCCTCATGCGGGCAACACCAGTGTTGGGCTGGTGTCCCGGGTGCTGCCCAATCATGATCTGCCGGCTCTGCTGCCCTCTTCTGATGAACTCAGCCTCATTGCCACAGCTGAGTGTCCCTCATGTGGGCGACACCAGT